CCATGAGAACTTGTAAGTAAAAATGTCTTATTATTTGAACAATCAAAAGTTGTATTGACCATTTGGCAATATCTTTCGGGGTATCACTTTATCTTAAAAGAAGTAGCTACGAAACAGAGAAAAGAAATCATGAACTTCACATGTCAACAAGGAAATAGGTCTTCTCTTGATTTATATTTAAGATAGCAGAGACTGAATGACATAGAAACAACATCATTATCATTCTTCATATTGAATTTATTGTTGTTATTTTCTTTTCTCTAAACAAAATGTGTTTGTAAAACACTATGCACCCTGAGGCAACAGAGTTGGAGAAAGCTGTTTTTAGCATATAGGTCACAGTCAAGGTCACAAGGTCATTTGAAAGATTTGATTACTAGAGTATGGATACCAAAAATGAAATCTGTATCTCCTATGGTTCATAAGTTATAGCTAAAGTTCAAAAGGCGATTTTTAGCACATAGGTCAATGTCAAATTCAAAGTCACAAAGTCATTTACCTTGGTGCCTTGTGATAACACTTAATTAGTGGAGTACTCATACCAAACATAAAGTTTCTATCTCTATCACTCCTATGGTTTAAAAGTTATGGCGAAGGTCCAAAAAAGCTTTCTTTAGCATGAAGATCACAGTCAGGGTAATTGAAAGAGTGTCATTTGAAATAGTTTAATTAATGGAGTATGTATATCAATTATGAAGTCCCACTCTTCAAAAGCTTTGGCGAAGGCTAGAGTTAACAACAACCAGACAGATAAACAGACAGACAGACAGACAGGACAAAACGATATGCACCCTTAATCTATTGATCCGGGCGCCTTAAATGAGAAACATCAAGATAAGATACGATCAAGAGAGATATTTAAATAAGGACATACAACCTGTGCTTTTGATTTACATTCTGTTAGATATCAGATGTTGTCTGCAAAGGAAATATTTAACGTTAGTTATATTTATGTCCTGCACTGCTAAACCACGTATATTGTCCAGTTATTCATAGAGTCTTGACAGGGTAAATTAGGTTTAGGGTCTTAAACTACTGAATGAAAGATAAAAAAGCAAGGTTTATAATAATTGACATAGTAGGCGCCATCCCTTGTAATCTGTGACTCTCCATTTTGCAGACTCAATCTTTTGCATTTTACAGCAAGCCATATAAACATTTGATGTAAACATCTTTATCTACAGTGATGATGCATACAAACTAATTAATGTAAAAAACTTCTATTGCTCACAAAATTGAACACGTTGTATCTTTCCATTTATAATAATAAGCAAGTGTGCATTTTATTCAACTTTTTATGATTAATATTTGGAAACGTAATGTTAGATAAAGTGGAAATAACTGATCATCGACATTATACTTAAAGCTTGCAAGAGTTACTTTTTCTTGGGCGTACACAAGTAATGCTCAATATTTCAGTGTACCCAGGGACCCAAAATTTAAATACCCTTATCTGCCTCATATCGAATTCCATAGTATGACAGGTTGTTTTGACGCCAAGTAAAATTTAAGTAGGTCAAGCGATAAAATACAGTAAAACATTATAAGAGCTTTACAAGGTCTAGGTCAGCATATTTCTGAATCAACTGATAGTGCATGGTTTTCATTAAATATTGATTATAGCAAAGTTTGGGGGTTGGTGTGTTTTTTGTTTCTTTGTTTTTTTTTGTTTTTTTTTTTTGTTGTGTGTTTTTTTTGTTGTTTTTTTTGAAAATGTACAAAATAGCGGATTCGTAAAGCCTTGAAAAATTGTGATTAATAAAGAAATTAAAAAAAAATAGGATATAGAGAATAATAAAAATGATGTTAAATTATGTAAAAGATGTATGTAATACAAAAATTGAGGATTTAACATTTCAACAGCACATGTAATTGGTTTCTCCATGGCACCTGACCCCATCTCTGATGTTTCTGGGGTCTGTTTGCTGTGTTCCTGTTTAAATTGTATTGTTTTATGGATTTTTGATCTTGAAGAATGTTCGTTATCTCCATATTTTTTATAAAAAGGATAAACTTGAACTGAAAATCTGGAAATAACTGAAACTTAAATTAGGAGATCATTCAACATTAACAAAATTGTTCTCAAGGGCATTTCTTTTTGTTTGAATAATTTGAATAATGCAATGAAAATTCGGCACACAGTAAACACTATGTCTGTTAAGGCAATGATAGTGTGTTGTTATTGGGTTTTGTTGCAATACGTGTTTAATGAATACGATACATGTAGAGTCCGAGTCTTTTTATCAAACTCATTAATAGTTTGTTAATTGAGGGAAAAACAAATAGCCTGTCGAACGGACAGACATGAACAGTCAGACCAAAACTAACATCGTCCATTCTCAGTGAAACAGTGGAAATGTGACGTTTTGGTACCTAAACTACATGTATCTCTATATACATAAACTGCGGTAATATAATAATAAAGTTAGTCTAAAGAGAGGAGACCTGCTATGGGGAAATATGCATGACTTTGCAAGTAATAAGGGTCTTCCTGCAGGAAAGTGTAGATCTAGAATTCCTTTTGCTATGGAGTCAGAAGTCCACAAAGATGGTTTCAATTTAGAGCCAGACTTTAAGGGGATGGAGTGGGGTTTGACTATAGAGAATTTTACTCTACAATACCGGTCCTTCCTTTTGTATATTTCATGAAGAAAAATAAAAAATGCATTTTCTAAATACATTAAAGTGGAAACAACTGAACATCGCCTTTACCCTTCAAGTATGCAAGAGTTATTTTTCCTCCATAAAAACATTACTCGCACACTAACATAGGAGTTTGTTGACTATTGTACTTGATGTGCAATTCTCTGTTATATTCTACCGCTAACATAGGTACCTGTGGTTGTTATTTTTTTAGGACATTTGTCATTTATATAACTTATTGGGCACTTTTATTTCAACTTTTCATATAGTACAATGTAACCCAAAAGACAAAAAAAATACACCTGGCATTCAAAAGCAATTTATTTTTGATTTCACCTTAGATAAATGATCAGATAAAATGTCTAAACTCTAGGAATTTTAAGGAATTCTTTGAACATTGTTTTATATTAAGTTCCTGGATCACACTAATTCCTTACATCAGAATTTAAGACATAACTCCGTACTTATATGTACATAAATAATCTACAAACTATAGGCACTTATGAAAAGATTTTAGATTTATCTGCATTTAAGTTAGCGTTCTTATTTCGATAGTCCCGACTAGTTCTCTTACCTTTTATACAACCGCTACAAAAAACATTACATTACCGCTACATATAAAAGTATACATTACCGCTACTTGCCTCTTTCGTTAACTATTATTAGTTATGTAGACACTTAGAGGGGTAATATGGAAATATGTGGGGTCCTTGAAAAAATCCATATTGGGCGAGGCGTAAGCCGAGCCCAATATGCATTTTTTCAAGGACCCCACATATTTCCGTATTACCCCTCTAAGTGTCTACATAACGAATTTATCCTGCCGATGATTCACTAAAGGATTAGATATTGATAGTATCAATAAACTGCTTTCACTGAACGTGCAACCAAGACGTTCTACATCCATTGTACATTGTCGTCAGACGCATTGTGACGTCAGTTATGAAGCTCCATGCGGGTCACGTGAAAGCAGTATATTGATGATGTGTGGTTGGTAAATTTTTAATATATGGTGGGTAGGTCACGTGGAGGGGGCGCATTAGCAATGTGAGGTGGGTAGGCAGCATAACATCGGTTCATGCAGTATTGCTATCGGCCAATGAAATTTCACGATTTTTATCAGAGGCAGGATAAAGCCATTTATGTGTGTACAAATGGATTAAAAGTACAACATATACAAGCACAAGTCCTGTTTCCCATATTCACCGTAGGACTTTGAGCTGGATGGTTTTTTTTTAAATATAAAATCTACAGTATGTTATCTTGTAAAACACTTTAAAAAATCAAAAAATAAAATCAAAGCTTCGTTCCTGGATCGAACCTACAGTCCTTACATTCTGACTAGAATTAAATTTAGAATTGTACATCACTACGTAGTGGGTGAATTCCATTGATTTGGAACTCATATTCCGTACCATACTTGTAGCGGTAATGAGTTGTTTTCAGCCAAAATATTGTATTGGTAGTGATCGGTCGAAATTTTGAAAAAATGAGTTGAAATTTTTAGCGATGTAGCGGTAATGTTGACCTCCGGGTCTCCCGCATAGCGTGACATCTTAGGATGAAAACAGTTTTTTCTTGTTTTCAATGGTTTTTTCTTACAATGTAGGGCCTACATGTAATTTTTAACATTCTAAGTTTCTTACACAGAATTTGTTGTTTTTCATTTCAGTTATTACATGTATAAAATTCACAATAAAATCAATATAGATAAGTACTTAAATTCGTTGTAAAACGGATTCCTTGCAAAGAGTTCATTTTAATTACTGAGTAATATTTTTGTTACATTAAAAGTTAAGACTTTATCAAGTTAAACTTATCTATAACACTGTTATAGATAAGTTTAACTTGAAGTTATAACAACTGTTATAGATAAGTTTAACTTGATAAAGTCTAAACTTTTAATGTAACATTTACCAATAGAATGTTCCTTTTAGATTAACCTTTCCTTATATCCCGAGCTAGATATCATTTCTTCACAATAATAATAACCTACCTGTTTTTTAAGCATTGATAAGCACAGATGCTTCCAGTTTATAAATATCATAAAATGTTTTACTTTTATATATGTTTTGTTACGATAATGTTGAAAATTTATAAACAAACTTGAAATTGGATCGACTCAGTTTAAATCTTTATAATCAAGCAAATTACACGTTATTGTTTCTTATCATTTACTGTCATAAGGAATCCTAGTGACCAATTTAAAAAAAAAATAGGCTACATACAAGGCGTAAAATAAAATATTGTTTGTTTGCAGTTGCCTACCGACCCAATGAAAATGCACCCAACCCAAACCTTTTAGCCATTTTATAATATTTATTTCATCCCCCCCCCCAAAAAAAAAATCAGGATATTGAAATTTTTTTATTTTCAATTTTTGTCTTTATCAATCAGTAGTTTATACTAACAGTGGAGCAAACAAAGATTTTTTTAAGCTTGGCTCCATTGCTCTTTTTTCCAGAATGAAAAAAAGTACTTGTATATGAATGATAAGTCACCTGTCAGGACCCTCTCTTCATCGCCACCAAACATTTAAAACTCACTTATTTTACTTTAATGCCAGAAAATACTACTTCATGGGCCCAATCTGAAAGCAAATGGCTTCCTAAAGCAAGCCTAATATCGACTTGATCCCCTGGTTTTAGGCGAATAATGAGAAGATTTGATGACGCTATGGCTTTGGGTACACCATAGGCGTTGGTCACAATCCTCTCCTTAGATTGTCCATTGACAAAGATATCGGCATTAAAGGTGTGGTTAGCATACGTCAAAATATTACAAAAGAAGAGATACGTCCCGTTTTGGGGGACTGTGAATATTCCAGTTCTTGCATTGTATCCACCACCCTGACTGTCAATCACGTCTGTGAATACAATTTTTTCTCCAATGGTCCAGTTCTGTTTGGTTTGCGTTCTCCCAGCCGTGAAGCTAATTCTGGCATTTACATCTAAAATTAAACAAGATGTGTTTCTGAAACACTGATGCTCCGAATAACAGCTCAAGGTCAAGCTCTTTTTAAAATGAAGGTTAAAACATTGCTACCCGATAAGAAGTTTTGTCAAGCGATATTAAAATGTGAAATATTACCCAAGCACCATGATTTCAAATTGGGATTTTATGCATCTAATTATCGGCTCTGAGTTATTTAGAAATTGTTCAATTCATAATTTTTTGAAAGGGTGGGGGGAACGACACTATTATTACCTGTTTCTAAGTATTGGATCTTTGTCTGCATTTCAGATATGGCGAGGTTTGTTGTCATTTCTCTATTCCTGGAGTCGTTTGTTTTACGATCTATATTGACTGCAAAAAAAGAAAAAAAAACATCAAAATGCATTTTGTTGATATATTTGAAAGTAATGTGATATTATCAAATCTATTTCTTTATGCGTGAATTTATTCGTTTTTAATTATTTTTCATATCGTTTGAGAAATATAACATTAAAGTTTCATTAACCAAAAGTTCTATTGAGCATCTTGATTAATTTGCCTGAGTAAAGTTTTATTCTATGAGTTCATTGGCTCTTTAATTTCTTTGGTTATTTTCTATTTTTTCCTCCAATATTAAATGCATTTTTCATTACAAGTATAAATTTCAGTGCTTTACCTGTGTATGTCAGAGCAGTATAACGTTTTCAAGAAAGAAGTTGTATTTATAATCCAGATTCCATCATATGCATCTTATGGTATGTAACATATATTTGATTATGTGTTTCCTTACCATTTAAAGATTCGATTTTCGTAATTATTTCGATTGCATTGTATTTTTACATTCAAAGTTGTCACTGAAATAGTAATGAGTCTGTAAGATTTCAATTTGAATCGTTTACAGTGCACATTTTTTCACAATTTCTTTAATTTTGACTTATTATATACTTTGTTTATTTTTTATCAATGCCTTTATTTCCTGAATAAATGATGATAACATAACATCTGCCTTATTGCTCGTTTACATCACTACTGTAACAACAACATTATAAAATGCAATTGCAAAATTCTATTATCCACCCCTGCTGACTTCTTAAACTTTTGAACAGAAACACAGTACTTATACATTGTTCAAGCGGTTAAAAAATCGGTTATCTAGTTTGTAAGGTATGCCTGAGCATCATGGAAGTTTGGAAACATGGGATGATTTGCATAATGGTCGACACTTGCTATGCATCAGTTATCCTGGCTTATTTCAAACTCTGACATACCAAACCAACTATAGACAGCAAATCCTTAAATTATATTTACCTTTATTTATTTGTGATTGAAAATTTGTAAATATCAATTTAAAAGTACTGTGTCTAATATAAATGAAAAATGAGGCTACACTAAATAATTTCATTTGTCGGTGCCCATTGACTTCATGCAGTTACAAACACAGCTGCAAGAGACTGATATGCATACATGTATTAGTCATTAGGCTCCTGTCTTTTCACTTCGCGAAATTTCTATATTCAGGTGTAAATATCACGAAATATTTACATTTCAATAACTGACTCCATGAATGTTTAGTGATTTGATTTCTTGATAATTAAACCTGAATGTAAATTTCGACCTGTGAAAGGTCAAGTGCCCGATATGCATGTCAATTTCGTGTGGCTGTCTTTGTGTCTGAAGTCAGTTGGCGTTAACTGTTGAATTTGAAAAGGGAGGCCTCGTGTATTCGACAGCATTCTGAGTCTTTCAGGTGACCTATTGCTATCCGTTTTCGTCCGTCGTGTGTTATCATTTGAACATTTTCAGCTTCTTCTCTGAAACCACTGAACCAATTTCAACCAAATTTTTCGTATACAGCATCAATGCGTGAAGGAGAACAACAATTTTGAATTTTATAGTCTCCCCCTTGGGGCTTGAGGGTTGGGGCCAAAACCACTAAAATTAATAAAATTTTAAAATATCTTCTTTACTTCTGGACATCAAGCAGTCTAACTGTTGGCATGAATAAAATGAGCATTGAGATTTCTACCAGAATTGAGAAATTCATGGCCCCAGGGCCAGGGGTTCTACTGCTAGGGTTGATTATATAGTGAAAATGCATTATTTCTTTGAAAATCTTCTTCTTTGCTGCTAAGTAACTAAGTCCATAGTTATGATGAGTAAGAGTGCTTCTACCAAAATTGTGAATTTTATGGCCCCAGGGTCAGGGGTTCTGTTGTAAGAGGGGGGCTCTAATGATTATATAGTTAGAATGAATTATTCCTATGAAATAGTTATGATGAGTAAGAATGTCTCTATCAAAATTGTGAATTTCATGGCCCAAGGATCAGGAATTTTGTTGTTATGGTGGGGCTCTATAATGATTATTTAGTGAAAATACATTACATCTTTGAAAATCTTCTCTGCCCTTGGGCAATAAAGAGATGAAATACCTTTATAGTTTTAATAAGCAAGGGTTTTTCTTTCAGAATTGTGAATTTCATGGCCCGAGGGTCAGGGGTACTATACAGGGGGGAGGGGGATGGGCTCTACTTAAATACTGAAAATGAAATGTTTGAAATCTGCTCCTTGGTATTAATCAAACATTTTTGATAAGCAAGTGTGCCTTTTCCAAATTCTGCAATGTGTGGACCTAGGGTCAGGGGTTCATGTGAGGTAGGGACATTTCTGGTTATTTCTGAATATTACTGATTAGTTGAAATGCATTTTTGTTCCCCTACCCTGCCTATGGGTATTAAGTAACCAAACTAAGCAATTGTATAGATACATGTATGAATAGCAATTGTGCATCTTTTCAAAATTGTGAATACCATAGCATCTAGCTTAAAACATGAACCATATTCAATCATTTGAAAGTTGTTCCATGATGCTCAGGTGACCTATAAGGCCCATGGGCCTCTTCTTTAAATTTATATTTACAATCTTAAAATATCACACATCAATGCCTAGAAGGTTGTTTTTAATGCCAACATCAACGACAGTTAGAATTATGAGATAATGAATACATGACAAGCAAGCAATTTTTATACCACATTTCAAACTATTGTTGATGCTTTGGCATATCCAACAAACTAGACATCGATCCTTAAGGTAAGTCACTCGTCAGCTTTTTAGAAAACTTCACGCAGAACCTCTAACTTCAAAAATATTTATTAAAATTCAATTTTTATAAAATAATTATATTCAACAATGTATATTTTTTAACAATCAAAGAAAAAAACTGCTCAAAAATCTTCAAAGAAGCAAGATTTATTAGGGACTATTTTTCGTGGTGGAAGGATATTTAGCAGAAATTTCTGAAAATCTGCACATTTATTAAATTTAACGTCTTGAAACTTTAGCCTCACATACTTTTACTCGGAGAATATTTTCGGTTATGATATTGATAGGAATATTTGATATAGGTCTTAATTTAATTTTTTAGAATAAGTTTTAGATCTTCCTTCAACAAACTCTGCCAAAAACTGGAGATATATCAAAGAAGTCAAGATAAATTTTACACCAAATTTTGCCTGAAAATCACATATTTTGTCCAATATTTCAAAATTAACATCACTGACCCAAACTTTTTCTTCCATTATTTTAAACTTCTCGATACTTATGACTGATCAGCACTTAAGTCATACAAAGCTTGATATAAGAAAATATTATATTGCCTATTTATTTTTCTAATACCAAAAATATGTTATATTTTAGTGCAAAAAGGTCAAATAATTAATTACGCGCATTAATTTGCAAGATTTGATCAATGATAAATATTATTCAAACTATTTTACGTAAAGTAAGAATAAATTTGTTGCCATGGTTACAGCTGAAAAAATATAATAAGAGATAATTGTATAAAAGTAACAGACTAAAGGGTTAAAATTTAAGTGCAAATAGGTCATCTTAAATGTACCATACATCAGTGCGATGCACACTGACCCCCTATTTTCTCTGCGATTTTGAGTCACACTTTATGAGTACTTATCCAAAATATACTTCTCAAAAAATCCTTGATATAAGAAATTTGAGGAGTGACTTACCTTAAATCAAGTGACACAACTTTCACCGTTTTATCACAGAAAAAAACAATAAAAAATGTAAATATTTTAACATAGTTTAACAATTATTAAATAAAGAGGCACAAACCTATCATTTCATTTGATTCAGTGATGTTCTTCTGCAGTTCATCAAGTAACAAAGAATTGTTTTCCTGATGTTGTTCAAGATGTCGCAAATCCCTTCTGACGTCATTCAAAGAGAGAGAAATATAGTGATTCTGTTTCGTAGCAATGTCAACAGAATTTCCAAGCGTCGTTATGTTGTTAACTATGTCACGTCTGTTTTGGCGAAACTCTTGCTGAATTTCAAAACTTATGGACTGTTTCATCGTGTTCATGCTTTGAACACTATTTGAGAGGTCGTGTTCAAAATTTTTCAGTGACTTGTTCAAGAAGTAAATATTCATTCCATTGAGTTCAAGAGACTTCTTCAAATGGCTAATATTATCTGCGAGACTGGAAATGTTCTCTCTTGTTTGTTGCATTCCTTCATGATTGGTCCGATTGCACAAAATGGTAAACTGCTGTAACGTTTCCATCTGGTGTCGTAGATTTTCTATTTCACTTTTGTGTACTTTTCTTTGCTCTCTCAGCTCACTCTGAAGAAAGGTAACTTGGCTCATTGTCGACGCAAGTCCTTGTTTCAGGAAAACGACATCTTGTAATAGATTATGTAGTGTCTCTCCTTCAGATTTGGAAACTGTGCCATTTGGTGGAACGGGCGTGCTACGTGGCTTTTGCTGTTGAAAAAGCAATGCATCACTCGCCTCTAGACAACAAATTAGCCGAAATATTAAAGAGGCGTACATTCTGTATTTTTTCTTATAATTCTTACTTTAGGAAGAAAACAGAAAATGTGACATATATAGTTAAGTGACACTTAAAGGTAGTTAAAACTTTTTACGTTGCACTGTATCTATACGACGAGGAATTTTACGGTAAGACATACTGCTTTATCTGAGCAAAATTTTATCTTTGTTTTCAATACAGTATATGGAATTTATATGCATCTGCACAATAACACAAAAATTTCTCTGTATATACGTAAAATCGTGTTTACCTTAAACATCTATATAAAATTGTATTGATTCATAATATTTCTCGCCCAAAAATTGTAATTTTTAAATAAATTCCATGAATACTTTAACCAGGTTAATCGAGGAGAAGGGTATATAAATAATAGAAAAATTCTCACTTCATGATAAAAATGGTTCTCCTTGAACAGGGACCTAGGAGTATGCTTCCCTTTTGAAAAACATTAACCTCAGCCATAGTGGCCACGGTTTGCATATTTAAATGTGAATTTTCCTGCAGCAAGATCTTTCTTTGGATTTCCTACTTTAAAAAGTAGACCTTGACCTTGGATATTAAGCTATATCAGAATCAGGTACAGTTTAAAAACATTGGTCGTGCTACAAGAGGCACCATTATTCTTTTTACTTATTTAGTAATATCAAATTTAAGTGTTACATGTACAAGAAAAAACATTTTTAAATATGCCAAACGGTCAGCATACAATTTCTTTCCGGGGAACAAACGCTACTGATATTCGAGTAAATGTCTAAACGTGATTCAATGAAGGGTTGTTTACATTAAGGAGAGGTTGACAACTATTGTTCACTTTCTCCCACTCTCCATATTCCCTCTCTCTCTCCCACTCTCCTCTCTTTCCCCACTCCCTCTCTCCCACTCCTTCTCTCTCTCACTCTCCACACTACCTTCCCTCTCCCTAACTCTCTCGCCAACTATCCACACTCTCTCTCTCTCTCCCCTTCTCTCTCAAACTCTACCCACTCCCCATCTCACTCTACCCCTCTCCCAACTCCACATGTCCTCTCTTTCCCCCACTCTCCCTCTTTTCCCCACGATCTCCACTGCCTCTCTCATCCTCATTCCCCTCTCTGTCTCCCATTCCCTCTCTCTCTCTCTCCCTCACTTCTTCCCTCTATCTGCTCATTCCCCCACTCCTTATCTCACCCCACTCTCCAACTCTCTCTTCAACTCTCCCCAATCCCTTTCCCTCTCCTATTCTCCCCATTTCTATCTCCAACTCTCCACACTACCTCTTTCTCTCTCCACTCCCTCTCTCCCCCAACCGCTCCTTTCTCTCCCACACTCCCTTTCTAACCCCCACTCCTCACTCCATCTCTCTCCCCACTCCCTCTCTCACTATCTCCAAACTAATTCACTACTCTCTCTTACTCTTCCCACTCTCTCTTTCTCTCTCAAAGCCCTCTCTCTCCCACTCCCTCTCTTTGTCTCTCTTACTCCCCACTCCCTCTCTCACCACAACTCCGCAGTCCCTCTCTCTCCCTACTCTCTCCCTACTTCCTCTCTCTCTCTCTCTCTCTCTCTCTCTCTCACCCCACTCCCTCTCACCAACTCCCCCTCATCTCCATTCTCTCTCTCTCTCTCTCTCTCTCTCTCTCTCTCTCTCTCTCTCTCTCTCTCTCTCTCTCTCTCTCTCTCTCTCTCTCTCTCTCTCTCTCTCTCTCTCTCTCTCTCTCTCTCTCTCTCTCTCTCTCTCTCTCTCTCTCTTGACATCTCTCTCTCTCTCTCTCTCTCTCTCTCTCTCCTCTCTCACCTCCCACTCCCCACTCCCTCTTTTTCTCTCTCCACACTACCTCTCCGCTCCCTCTCTTCTCTCTCTCTCTCTCTCTCCTCTCTCTCTCTCTCTTCTCTCTCTCTCTCTCTCTCTCTCTCTCTCTCTCTCACCACTCTCTCTCTCTCTCTCACACTCTCTCTCTCTCTCTCTCTCTCTCTCTCTCTCTCTCTCTCTCTCTCTCTCTCTCTCTCTCTCTCTCTCTCTCTCTCTCTCTCTCTCTCTCTCTCTCTCTCTCTCTCTCTCTCTCTCTCTCTCTCTCTCTCTCTCTCTCTCTCTCTCTCTCTCTCTCTCTCTCTCTCTCTCTCTCTCTCTCTCTCTCTCTCTCTCTCTCTCTCTCTCTCTCTCTCTCTCTCTCTCTCTCTCTCTCTCTCCCCACCCAGCTCCCTCCCCCACTCCCTCTCACTCTCCCAATTTTCTCCCAACTCACTCCCTCACTCTCTCTCTTCCCACTACCTCTCTCTCCCGTTTTGGCCAATTAGGTAAAATAGCCATAGGCATTATAACCGATTGTAATGATCATTCAATAGCAGAACAGAATAGGGCAATACAGGAATGTGTATTGAACTGTGATTCAGCTCATATCAATGGCGGATTTAGACGGGGACCAAGCCCCCCAATTGGCTTTGCGCCCCTCCTCCGAACTCAATCGCCTTTACAAGAATCCTGTATCCGCCACTGATATACAGACTAGAATAGAATAGAATTTATTACCATATTAGAACATATTGGGCATATACATAATTATCATCCCATTTACAAGGTATCAGCTTGAAATCCCATTTGGATCCTTTTTGTTGTACCATGAAAATGTGTGGCTAATGCACTAATGCACTTATCTATATGTGCAATTTTGTGCTGTCATCGAGACAGCGCGTTAAAAATGTACATGAACATTTGAGTCTACCATGGAGAATATTGACCCTTGACCTTGGATTTTTAGCCATATTTGAAAAACTTTAAGTGTTGAGTTGCCATTACGGGGCATCAACATCTTGTTTGAATCTAGTGATTGATTAAGCATCTTCGACTTAATTGAATATTTTAAAGTCTTGAATTTTAAATTAAAACATTGCATTAAGGTGCAAACAGCTAAAAACCAAGGGAAGTTTACTAAATAAGAACAACTCTAGAAGACTAGTGTACAAAAGATTTCGGAGAGCGTTTTATATAAAATATTTTTCATCACTTTACATAAAATCGAAATCAACCGGAGAGTGAGATTTTCTTTACATCGTGAATATTTACATGACTGTATATGTATAATAACTATCATATAGACATTCCATTATATACGCTATTTTTAAAGATGTAATATTTTACCCCATGTAAGAAGTGATATTTTCATTTTAATTTAGTTTATCAGATGAAAATCTGTACTATTTAATGATATTATATACTGAATCTGATATACTTAATTTAATTGTGTTTTCTTTTATCATTCTATGGTTTCTATGCTTTTGATCCAGTGTGTAGATGCACTTCTCAATGTCAAACTTAATCACAAGTCATGTTACATTATCCTTAATATAGAATTGTAATCAATGTTATCATTTTGTAATAATTGTTCATGCCCCCTGTGGGCCCTTGATTGGTGAATAAACATATATACATATACAGTTTGAAAACATTGGTCGTGTTACAAGAGGTGCCATTATTCCATTTAGCTAGTGTTATTTAGTAACATCAAACTTAATGTGAAACATGTAAAAAATAAAATGAATTGAATAAGCAAAACGGTCAGCATACAATTTCTTTCCAGTGAACACACGCGACTGATATTCGAGTAAATGTTTGTCTAAGCGTAATTCAATGAAAAGGGTTGTCTAAATTAAGGAGAGGTTGACAGTGGTATTTTTTATGAAATAACTTAGTCATTGCGAAAGCGAACTGGGTCTAAAGGAAAAACCTCTGATACATTTTTTTTATTTTGAGATTGAAGGTGACCCAGTGAACTACAGCCAAAGGATAAAAATAGACTCATCGTCTTTATTTTATTTCAAATTCTGCTAAAATAAAAGATACCTATCTTTTAAATTATATGTTTTCTTTGCTTCAATCAATAGCAATTTTCAGAACGAAATCAAGTAGTTCTAATTTCAAATTTTGAAGAGCAAATTTAAAAATTCTCTTATTTTTAAATTCATTTATTTTTGTACTCAGGCATGTTTAGTCAATCCTGTACGAGTTATCTTCCTTACAGCAGTAGCTTCGGATATACATGTAGATTCTCTCTCTCTCTCTCTCTCTCTCTCTCTCTCTCTCTCTCTCTGTGAATTAAGGTCACCCATTCCATAGACAATAATAAAGACTCGTATAAAACAGAATAAATTTGTAACTGAATTTTAAATTACTTGTAAAACATGTCTGATCTTTACAGAATAAATGAATGGACCTTTAAAGACAAAGTTCACTACAAGCTGGAGCAGATTAAACTTCGTCATACAGAATTTAAAAATTCAAAAAACATGGACAACGGAACTAAAATTATGTGTAAGGATTATCCTTTCCACACCTGCATGTACATAAATGTTAAATTAAACAAACTATTTAAACATAAAAGATATAGAATTTCATACTTTTCCCACGTTTACGAGTATGTGTTTTCATTAAGGTATTTAAAAGTTATTAAAACTACATGGGTGGATAAGTTAGATTATGGTACACGTAATATTTATGCACTCAGTTAATCTGAAAAATGAGATAATCGCGTTGTGTTTACGAAGTCTGTATAAATTTAAGACATTCTGTTCCAAAGATTACCATGTGTCAGAGACTTTTAAACAATACAATTGCTGTGAGATGTATGGAATATTTTACCTATATAATAACTGTTTACCTCAACTAACATTGTTTCTCAATGAGTCGCTACGAGGCATTTAGTCCTTTAATTCTTTAATGCATTCAAGGGGCTAGAATTCACCGCCTACGAACTAGTGAAATCCATATAAGGACAAAAAAATTAAAATATGCACTTTCCATCAAAGGCATTTTTTGTTTGACGTAAAATTAACACCTTATCGCGGAATTTTATTCTTTAGAAAAGTCCCTCCTATAAATAAAAACTGACCAATCAGCGCGCGACTTTCCAGTATCACGTGTACATGTGAATCACACGAAGTGGCCTCAAAATATTGTTTACTTTCTCAGTCGGAAGCCGGCGACGTGAACTCTGTGGGATATTTAAAGCAGATCTGGTCCAGATAGAATCCTCATCTCAAAAAAATGGCATACAGAGCAACAAAGTCTGGCCTGGCCGCGGAGGCCCAAGGAAAGGTAAGGGTGTCGGAGGGGAGCAGGTGTCCAGCTGTCACGGCCGGGATAATGCAGTGGTTATCGACCACAGCCCAGACAGTGATGGATTATAAATTAGTGTGAGACACGTGGATTAATTATGTCTAGTAATACCGATGGCGCGGATCTAGTGTTTTACTACATACAGTTTTATAATTTGTATCATTTATATATATGATATTTTTTCTCATATTATATAATTGGATTCTTCAAATTATCTTTGGATTATACAGTTATAGAGATCGGGATTAATGAAAAAAGAGGATTGACTTTTCATGTGAAATATTCTTTAAATCGCTTCAAGTTTACCTTCGATCTGTCTAGACCGACAGATTCAATTATTCAGGGCGAGAGGGATAATCTTTTCAGGGACTTTTACTGTTTATTCAAGATGAATCCCATGCTATGGAGACGAGACCCCTTTTGACACAGCACTTAAGAAAATTTTAATTAAGAACCCACCCTGGTCTCTAGTCAAACATTATCGTGTATTCAACGTGATCTGCTTTACATCAAAATGCCCTTTCTATTAAGCAACAGTCTGGCATATAGCAATGCCCAGAGAGAACGTTATTTTGTCGAGGTTGACATGGGGAATTAACAATACGCCGGAAAAAGATTGACTTAGGGGATGTTAGATAAGTACATAGTCTTCCTGCCAAGGGGTGACGGGGAGGGTAAAAGGGGGGACCGATTTACTGATTACATTTCTGATAGTTGTCAAGATTTTCTCTTACACGCTCTTTAAAGTTCAGACTACCTTTGTGTAAATGTGTCACATTTTGTTAAAGTCTGATAACCTAGCTTTCATAAAATGGTTAGAACTAATGAATTTTTCACATGCTTAGAATAGTTGTATCCATCGGTTAAAATTGTAAAGTACGTAGTTGAAAACCACCATTTATAAGGTGGGGAGTTGCAGGAGATGAGGATGGTTTGCGCTATGGATAACGTGTATATTTTGGGAAGTAGGTGATATATATATGTGAGAGCATAGAAAAAACATCTTTTTATTTGTTGGGGACTGGACAGGGTGTGTGTGGGGCAGGGGGGGGGGGTATAGGCCTATACGTCCAAAGTTTTGCAAGGGTGATAGAGACGGAATAGGTCACTCAATATATGTGTGTAAATCTGTTAAGCTATCACTTAAGCTCATATAATACAGAGAAAAAAACAAGACTATATAATAATGTCCTTATTTTATACAATCTACATCCCTTTAGAGTTCACGACTTAAAAAAAAAAAACAAAGACGCCTGCAGTTGCGTTGCAGGATAAGGAAAAAAACACGGTCTTAGCAATTTCCTCGTGTAAAAATCACACGCCCTTTGTTAAATTGTATATGTTTTTTTCTCTCTTTTTAATGTTTTGATCTATAATGGGATTTTACAAAGCAGGAAATATTTGAAAAAATAACCTTCCTCTAGCAAAATACGTAAATAATTCAATATGAATTGACGATTCTCAAGCGGCTAATGATAAAGTCAATTATAACTCATACACAGGAATGTTAATTTAGTGTATAAAAGAGACGGAAATACATCAGATGAGAATGATGAGTGTTTGTAACTATAATGATATAGTGTATTGTCGAATGATTGCGTCTCCCCGCTGAGTTAATTTACATGTAGAGAGCTACATGTGTATCTGTATATGTGTGGCCTAAATAAGTCGGCTTAAAGTGCAGAACGGAAATAAATGGTTGCTCTAACAGAACATATCAAAAGAGTATATAATTTATGATTTTTATAAAAAAAAAAAAATCACAAGTGTGCAATTTTCCACCACGCCCAAATTATACTTTATACACAAGTTTTATTGCCTCTTGAAGCAGTCTGCCCTCTTAAAAAGCTTCCCCCATTTCTCTTTTAATCAAACCCCCGAAACAGGTTTTGATGGGGGGAAAGCAAGTTTATCAAAATCTGCAACAGGTTTTTATCCGCACAGCCGAGACAAGGAGCGATTTGTTTGTCGGCGGAAAATATCTCGAGAATGTTTACATTTCAGTGACAGGCCACGGCCATATCAAATGTGTGGCCGTCACTGAACAGGAGAATGAAATATAAGGGTGGATCTAAAGGGGTACTGGTCAGTCACTGGCTACTGGCCTATGTAGGGGATAGATTTAGTGGGGTGGGGGTCCACTAACCTGGCAATTATAGCAGTTGATCCAAAGGACTGTCAATTAGTTGGCGAACTGAAACCCGTGGTGGATCCAGGGGTGTCACTGGCCAGGCGCGAAAGAAAAATACTGTAGATAGGATGGATTCCAAATGTTTTAATGGCCATGATTCCTAAATTTCATTTACATGTTACACTTTAATGCTAAAATTTTTGCTATTATGTCAATGTAAAGGAAGGGGGGGGGGGGTTACAGGTTGCTGATACAGTGGAACATATAATTCTGTCTATAGTACAGATTGTCTCGTTAAATTTCTGTTAGAGATATTATTCAGTGTATCATTCAAGGCGTTGTTCATTGATGAACATTCGTAAATTCTTTCGTGAATCATAGTGCCCGCAAGCTTGGTTCTAAATTCGATGAATTAGCGCCAATCCACTCTCTAAAGAAAATTTCACAGTAAATGAATTGACCCATTTTTTCGACCACTGCCCATCTTATTCAAAACCATTCTAGATAAGTATGACACACCGGACGTACGGTAATATTCCGTTCAGAATATCTCGGAAGGATATGGGGGGTTTGGCCATTACAATGTAATTTCTCGTGAAAAGCAATGTCATTTCTCCTTTACACAGCAACCACTTATTTTTCTATTTTTGCAAGGGACATGAAAGATGCAAATTTGTTTACTGGGGAAAATATCTTAGCTACTGATAAATCAAAGAAAATTTTAAAGCACAATATAGATTTAATGGAGAGAATTTCAATTAAGTTCATTTTAGTATCCTATTTGCACATTGTCGACTTTATATAAAAGCCCTCAGTTCAATTTGATCGAAGTGTCACCGACACTGTTTAGAAAGTCAATAGGAATACGTTTGTTATAAAACATTGCCCCCAGGGCAACGAACGAATAAACTTAATATAAAGGTAGCAAAAAATCGAAATGTGATATATTTAGTCGTTGTTGCATTAATGTTAATCGACGGGAGCGGATCATGGGGCGCTTGAAAAAAATATTCAGAATATTTCAAATATGATTTACTACGATAATTGACGAACGGATGAACTGATGGAATTTAGAATATGTTCCAAGCATCTTGAGTCTCAAGTTATGTGTCACATTTTAGATGTATGTATTTTGTTTTCACAACATGACAAGGTCTATGTGTTTAGGAACACTTGAATAACATGTTTATTCATATCAACCAAGAAATAAAAACATGAATTGAACTATAGGTGCTTTATTCTGTTAAGCTACAAATGTAGGATATCGTTTTTCATGTCAAATGGCTACGTTCCCTCAACTGGAATAAATGGATTTAGAACATTTATACCAACGAAAAGTGGATTCATCCTGTGTTCAATAAGATATTTATTTTCTGTTTCCTATGCTTGTTTATTGGGCACCATAAGCTGTTTTTAAATACCATTGACTTTTAAAGTACATTTCTCAACACAGGAAGGGCTTATATTTTTTCTGCATCGGTTAGCCTCTTTAATTTATATAAATGTACGCAAATCCATTTTCAAAAACTTAAAAACATATTAATCAGCAGAAAGCACATGTTATCAAGCGATTGACGTATTGAATGAGTCATGCATTGTCATGCATAAAACATGTGTATCTGCAGATATTTTAAAAAATACTTGTTATAAATTTTCGTGGGTAGTGGAATGAAACTGACAGAGTAAGAAGCCTTTGTACAGCAATAAAACGGTCGTAAAAATAAACTTTTAAAACACGTTCAAATTTCTTATTAACACGATAAAGGGAAAAGCAATTTGCTACATCGTTTATCGCTCTGAATGCGTGAAATTCATTGTGATAAAACTATTATTACAGTGTTATGAGATATCTTTATTATGATTTTAATGCATGTTAAGTGTGCTGAAAGAATTTGAACTTCGGATTCCATTTTTAAGATGTCGAGTAGAGCTCGATGGTCATCTAGCAGGCATCCAATCTCAGAATTTTAATATTTTATGCGACCGAATGTCAGTAGATGCATCCGCAAAAGAAAATAACAAGAGCAATACATCAATATCTCAGAAAATGCTCACAATGAATTACTATGTATAACTTTGAGAATAAAATTGCATCAATAAGGGCTACAATTGAATTATAATTTGATAATTTATTCTTTCAGATCAAGGGCAAATATGACCAGGGTGAAGCACAAAGAGCCCTCACATTCATTAGCCAAAAGATCGGAGAAAGTTTTAACACAGCGGGAGACATGGACAATTTCCAGAGTCAGCTCAAGGACGGTGTCAAACTCTGCAAGTAAGTCGACCTTTCTTATAAGTCGAATTTGAATATCGGTTATTAAGATATAGTTTTAACATATTGTAAAATAACCTATAAATATCAGAAGGAAGGAATAGTTAATTCTCGCCTTGTTGTGTATTACTTGAAATGTGCAATAAGTGCCAACTTTTAATCCATACTATATTTCTTTTCAGATTAGTAAATGCAATTAAACCAGGGTCCGTTTCAGCGAAGAAATATGAAAAAAGCCCAACTTTACCGTTCAAACAAATGGAACTTATTGGTCTTGCCATTGATCAAATGAAGGCATTGGGAGTCCCAGATCATGAAATGTTCGCCACAGTAGATTTACACGAGGCCCAGAATCTCCATCAGTGTGTTATTGGAATTAGTGCCCTGGCCAGAAAGGTACAAACATTGTTGTGGGAGAGTGGAGTGAAGTAAAGATATTTTGTCGTGGGGGGGGGAGTGGCTTGAAGTAGTGATATTTGGGAGGATGGCTTGAAGTAGTGATATTTGGGAGGATGGGTTGAAATAGTGATATTTTGGAGGGTGGCATGGCTTGAAATAGTGATATTTGGGAAGGTGGGTTGAAAAGTGATATTTGGGAGTGTGCTTGAAATAGTGATATTTGGGAGGTTGGCTTGAAAAAGTGATATTAGGGGAGGATGAAATAGTGATATTTTGGAGGGTGACTTGAAATAATGATATTTGAGAGGGTGGCTGGAAATAGTGTGAGATTTGGGAGGTACGTGACTTGAATTAATGATATTTGGGAGGTAGGCTTGAAATAGTGAGAATTGAGAGGGTGGCTTGAAGTTGGGAGGATGGTTTGAAGTTGTGACATTTCCCGGAATATTGTAAGAATCACACAATTAACTGATTTATAATGAAAATCACTTCCCTGTAGTGCAGCTAAGACCGGTGTAAGCCGGCAATATATGCATTTTGATTGAAGCAGGAGACGCATATATGTAACCTTATTTCCTCCTTATTGTTATTTCCTAATACTACGAAGTGAATGTATAATAAAAATGTAAGAAGTCTTTGTGTCTGGTTTTCAGATTGGTGCATATGGACCTAAAGAGGCAGAAGCTAACAAGCGTGATTTCACGGAAGAACAACTCAAAGCAGGACAGAATATCATTGGTCTACAGATGGGAACTAACAAAGGTGCTAACCAATCCGGAATGAATATTGGAAATACCCGGCATATAGTCGACTAAATCATCCAATCAATTTTTTGTTCAAGATATTCGCCACTCAAGTTAAGGTTAAGTTTCTCTTCAGCATTTATACTGTACTGAGTATTTTGCAGAGGTTGGCTTCTTTAAAAATCAATGCTAAATGTAACAACGGGCGATGGTAGATTTTAATAATTGTATTTGCTACAGCTCAGCAACATTTTTCAGGCAATTCGACCAATTTCTGTCATGAAAGCAGGCTATTTGTTTTTATTTGCAATAATGATTAGGGCAAGGAACGGGACCAATGATGATGACGTCATTCACTTTATGTCATAAACCATTTTATTGTTATTTAGCTATATTAATTTACATTTTTTGTTTACATGGTTTATATAATAAACTTTTTTATACATTGAAACAGTTTTATATGGATTATATTTATCAAGGTTTTTCATTCCATAATATCATCAGAAAACTCGAGGTATTGTGAGCAATGAGCTCACTAAATGATACCACCACCCCCACCCCCGACTGCCAAACATGTATGAATATCATGGCAATGTCCATCAGAAAAAAAGACAATGCCTTGAATAAACTACAGCAAGGAATCCCACCTTAGAAAATCTGTATTATTTATATACTGTAAAATCCTTCATTTCGTTGAGTCTCTTTGAGCTTACCATTTGATACATGTATATATGAACACCAGTTATAATATTGGATATTTTATAAATTTCATAGGGAGAGGGAGATAATTGTGGGTTTCTTCATGCCACAAACAACACTTTCTAGGATTGAGACTAGATACAAGAATAATAAAGATGCCTTACAAATTATCTTTTTTAAATAAAATTAGAGTCCCTGCAGTTCCAGGTGGCACCAAAGTAGCCCTAGTCAAGGGAGATAATCAGGTGACCTTCAAGGTTCCTTGGCTTCCTTTTATATCTTCGCAATGAATCTTCTGCTGTTCTTATAAATTCTCAGAAAAATGTTACAAAATTTTCCATATAGAAAACTCTTGAACTTGAATTGAGAATCTTCATATGGCGATACTTTAGTTCCAATACAAAAAAATAGGGGGGGGGGGGGGGGGGGGGGGGGGGGGGGGGGGGGGGGGGGGGGGGAAAGAAGAGATCCGTATGTTTTATTAAAGATTTTAAAAGGGGCTTCAATGAAACAGCAACCATATGAGAAGCCAGCACAAAAAAAATGTACGATTATAACGTCATTACGTTAACTTGCTTGATTAACACACCCTTTACTCCCCCACAATGCTACAAAAGTCAAATTACACACATGTATACTGCGCAAAGATCGACAAAAATATTTTCTAGCAATGCAGGGGCGAATATTGGAGATTACCAGCTCAGCGTGCACAGTAATGATGTTTTTCTGAGATACAAGAAGATAGGAGTAAAAGCCGATCAGGACGTGCACGAATGTTCCATCGCAGTCTGGGGGAGGGGTAGGTTCTATGACGTCACAGTCTTCCAATGAAATATTCTTTACCTGCATAAAAAATATATATAAATCATCAACAACCATTGTTTTTATATATATTTACCAGAAAATACAAAACATCACCAAAATAAAGTTATTAGGTGTTTAGGATTGCTAGGGTTCATCTTTTCCAAGATTCTTTTCCCCCTCGATGTAATTTAGAACCGTCCTCGTCAATAACTTCTCCAAGAAATATTAGTTCTTCAGACGTAATTTGTTACTTTGAGGATATCCGACAAAATGCCTGCAAAGGTGAGTAGATTTCATTTCAATGACAAAAATTAAAGCAAGTTTTCTATCATTCTCAAAAAATTCTAAATAGCATGACTTGACTGTCGATTAGAAACTCCGAAAAAAAATCAAAAAAATCAAAAAAATCAAAAATTGGTGATCATTGGTTTGTTTGAAAACGAATGATCTTTGTATGTATGGTTCTGAAAAAAATCAATTTGTTTTAAGAATCTACTCTAAAGTCCCTCAAGTTGTTTTCTTGCTGAAAGTTATGAATGAACTTTGCAAGCATGTGTTACAATTAAAGCAGGCAAAAATGCGTTTTTCAGCATCATTTTTTTTAAAATACTTAGATAAGTTTGGTGGTAAAAAAAAAAGCTTGAAGTCAAATGATCTTTGATAATTAGAGAAATTCTTTGGTAAGTTTTTTTTTAAATCAAATGTTGCGCTTGTGTGAATTTTTCTAAGCACAAAAATTTCAAAAGAGCGAAACATGTACATGCATATCATTCTGTTTACATGCAGTACATTTAGATGGAATGCTTTTTCCCGTTTGTTTTTCAATATTGATATCCGGAAGAATTTAACTGAAACATAAAATATACATCATTACAATGTTATTAGTCGTACGAATATATACCATACTTATCTTGCACTCTTAGAGGAGGGGGTGAAAGAATGGAGTCATTATAAGATAGCATCAGTAGATGACTTGGACTTCATGTTTTTTAAGCTGCTTTGGCATTCATTTCTGATGTAAACACGATCATTCTGCGCCAAACACTGTGTATACGTCATAAAAAATGGTTTCCATGCGTGCTTTTTTCTGGCTTATCTCCGTTTTCAAAGGCAATAAAATTGTATTGAGGCAAGATATAACAAAACGTATAATGAAGATTCTTTTAATTTGAGATTCTATAGGCAGTTATCTTGGCATTTTCATTACTCTTAATTTGTTTAAGCATTCCAAAGAGCAAAGAACAAACTCCCAAAAGACTGAATTAATTAAACACACATGGGGTTTATACATTCAACATTAACTTGAAATAATCTTTTCATGCAGTCTTTTTTGCAAATTAAATTTAACCTGCCAAATGCATGCTCAATCATCTGCCAGAGAATTCCTGAAATATGGGGCTATTTTTAAAGCATTGCAAAGAATCTGGCAAAAGCCAAAAGGTACACATTTCAAAAAAAGATATTTTGGGATGCATGTGGGAGACGAAAACTGAGCCTTAAAACATAAAGGCAACAGATATCACCTGTAAACCATTTTTGTTGCTCATTTGGCAAGTAAAAGGGGAAAGTGGAAAGTAAAAGGGGAAATTCGTGCTTGAAAAAAGTATTAACTCTTGGCTTCTTTATTTCTCTCAACAGAAGTTTCATGACGTCGTTCCATGTCGAGACAATGTGTTAATCTTGAGGCCGGTATACACGATGAGATTTGTAGTATAATACAAGTATTATAATACTTTTGTATTATATTATGTACACACGTATAAGATTGTAAATAAACTATTATTCCCACGTGTTTTCACCTGTCATATTTCTCTCTCTGTCAAAATAATAAAATGATAATAATAATCTCTGCTTCTAGCATCTCTTTTGTGGTAGTTACAGCTTGATATATTCCACAAGTCCTCTTCCACTTCCCATAAAAATTTATTAATCCATATATACATGTGCTTTATTTAGTAATGATATATATAGTGAGTACATTTGATTGGTTGAAAGTGAAAGGTGAGTTAAGACTTGTATTAGGAAATAGAACATTGCTTATTCAATACAATCTTATAAGATTGTGAAAATCTTATGATACACTGTATTAAGAGTGTATACACAGTAAGATTTTGCATTATAATACAAATCTTATAATACAAATCTTACCGTGTATACCGGCCTTTAAATGCCCTTCACATGCATCGCAACTAAACATGTGATAGTTTGACCAAGATGATTATTTAGCAAGAATCAGAGATATTGAAAACGATTCACAATAAGTCGTATTCATTCATTCTGAACTATATACATGTATATGGAATAATGATTTGGCTAGACATGAAAAACGAAGGAAGAAAATGGTGAGCACATTTTGACAATACTTGTATTAATTAAACTGCAGTAAAATGAGACCCTGAAATGCTTATCTTGACCCCAGGACACGTGATTATCTCAGATTCTGGTGAAAGCTTGCAGTGAATGTCACTTTAGATTTGGCGTGTCTGTGTTTGAAGTGATAAGCGCGTGCTGAATAAGATAGAGTGCAAATGTTTCTATCCCGTGTTCGGGTGATAATTCTTGATTAGTAAAACAGGTGTCAGTAAATGCATAGATTCATGAAGATTTAGATAGAAAGCTAAATATTCTACTTATGTTGGCATACAAAGCCCTGAATTGAAAGAAGATAGAGAGAACTTGAGAATTTCGTTGCTAGTCATGCAAAAGTTCAAAATAATACAAGATAAATACGTCAAAAATGTTGTATAGATATATGATTAATTACAAAAATTAACAGTTTCATATCGAACACAGTCAGAGGCATATATCTGAAATAAACAACCCCTGGTGATAGGCCCAGACAACCAAACCGCTCGTTCGCTCAGTGTAAACAGGTCGGTGTTTGTTGAATGATACTCACCGTAACCCGGGCCGCGTTTGTTTCTGTTTCCATTCAGAAGATGTGGGGTTAATTACTTTGTGTTAGGATATTTATCCATGTGAGCGATAGTGTTGCTGAGATGTGTCAAAAAATTGAGCTCTCCTGCAGAGCTCAAGATTTTGATTTTGCAGGGCGGAATTTTTGTACAGAGAACATACTCAGACTTTGGGTGTGTGTGTGTGTGGGGGGGGGGGGGGGGGGGGGTGATTTCTAGAAAGTTGGCTGTTATAATGGATCCTAAATTAATAGGTTGAATAAACAATGGCTATATATAGGTTTGTTTCTCATTGGCAGATACGCAAAGCCCGGACAATGCACTGTGTACCCCCTGTAATCGAACTCAGAAGAAAGCATTGTATATACAGTTTGTACCCATTACAGCGATATCTGAAGATCAAATCATACCAATCTTATTATTGAATCAAAAATCAAAATAATTTTAAAAGACATGTAAATAAAAACTTTAAACAAAAAATATTGCTTCATTTGGGCGTCATGATGTCTGTAGAATTTTAAGTTTTACAAACTCTCTCCCTAGAAAAACAGATAGAACGCACTGATAACGCATGCGCAGTGAAACAGTTGTGCACCTCATCGCATATGCCCCACTTCTGTAATCTGTGTACCGCAGGGTCTTTAACTTCCTAATTTTGCCCTAGACATGCAAAAATATCTGACTAACTTCTTAAATATTAAAAAAAAACATTTTCTCAAACACAGACATACAAAGGCTAATTAGGGTCATGTCCTCGAGCGGCCCGGCGTACTGAATGGGAATTCCACAATGGATTACTGCATTTGAAGGACATTGTATAAAAAGCACGTTGATGTGGAATCACTTTGAAGGAAAAATATTACATTTTCTATGGATTATACAAATCCTCACTAGTTAATATATGTAGCAGATACGGACTGTTTAATTAATTAACACAATGATTATAATTGTTGATCCAAACTTTTTTTTCCTTCTGAAAAGACCTTGGACAAAACTGGAGCTTTATCCACCACATTTTGCATGACTGGAATATAGTCACAACCATACTATATATGGGCCGTACAGTTTACTTTAACATTATAGATCCGCCTCTGTCCTTACTCCTTTGGTCAGTCACATACATAGTTTGTATGGTGCCAATATTATCCTAAATATATTAGGTATCTTTTATCTGATATATCTTGTCAAAACAATGCATATGCCAAGACTCAGCTGGAAAAATATTTTGTGAGGGCACATTATCGAGGGCACTGGCCGTTCACATTTAGAGGAAAATATTATATGTTACTTAGGGGGGTCAGTGGCCATGGGGATTACGTGAAGAGAAATCCCTCCGCTGATGAGTAAATTGACAACAATGCTGTTGTTATTCTGTCTACATGTATATATTATATAGTCAGCATGTCTGACTACATCAAAGCGAGGATATTAATTTATAGATTCATGGTCACTTCACTGCAAAAATGAAAATCATGTATAACATAATGCTTGAGTTAAATTTAGCAAATTGCTTATAGGCACGTTCTATCACAGATACATGTACGTTGGAAAAAATACTTGCATGGACTTTTACACTTTGCACAAAACTCTTCAAAAAATTGATTTGGTGAGATCTAAAAAAACTCGAATGGAGTGTTTGAAGTACATTTTGAAGTGTTGGATATTTACTTATGGGACGCTTGTGGCTCGCGTTTGTGAGTGAAAGGCAATTAAACATTAACATGGTACAGCCCCTCCCTCTAAAACAATTTAAAAAGTTGAAAGTTCCTGCATATAGCATACCATTTTATGACTATAATTCGCGCGAGCAATTTGTCCTCATATACAGATAAAAGAAACCAGACGAGATTACTTGAGATCAGACAAAAAAATTGTTCACGAAAAATCGTAGAGAGATTTTGACGAGCAAGCGTTTTATTACATAAAGTGCTGGGTCAGCACCGTCATGATTTCATATACGTATTTACACCCATCAGTAAAGTTACACAAATATAAATAGATAAAACCGCAATATAAGGCTTAACGATACAAAACACGGCTACCTCAAGTGTAGATCGAGAAAACAATATCCCGGACCACCCTCTACATAAATTTTAAGATTAAAAATACTTGAATCTGCAAAGGTCAACGGAAGATCTTGTATACTTGAGAACAGGAATCTATCTATCCCTTGATATATATATTGAACACCAGAGAGGGGTGGGGAATGGAGGGCTAAGCACATTAATTTATGATTCATACCCACTTTTTTTTTTTTTTTTTTTTAACTGAAAGATTAAACCAATTTATTTACAGTATATTCATGTAAAATTTATGACTGTCAGAAAATTGGCAGAGGGGTGGATAGACCAGAGACGGTCTATCGAGAGAGAGAGAGAGAGAGAGCGAGAGAGAGAGAGAGAGAGAGAAGCTAAATTTTCCACTTTCATTCAATTAATTTTTTAAAATATTTTTTGTTTTAATTTTAGAGAGACAAGGAGCTAGAGGCTCAGGCCCTGGACTGGGTGGAAGCCAATTTAGGGGAACCAGTAGACAGGAAAACCCCGTATGAAGATGTTCTAAGGGACGGAATCATCTTGTGCAAGTAAGTCCATTACAACAAGTGAGGTTTATTATAAATAAGCTGACAAGAGTTATCTCGCCTGTAGATAATGAATTTAGAGTCCACAAGGAGACCTTTCTCTCTCTCTCTCTCTCTCTCTCTCTCTCTCTGAATATATATTTTTGAAAGCCACCCAATTGATTTTTCTACTCTTTTTTAAGGTTGATGAACAAACTTATGCCTGGATGCATAAAGAAGATCGATACGAAAGGGGGTGGTTTCGCTCTCATGCAGAACATTGAGCGTTTCCAGGAGGCAGCCAAAAAATACGGTGTCCCCGTCAATGAGGTTTTCCAAACCGTGGACCTGTGGGAGAGGAAAAACATCCCCCAGGTTACCCTCTGTATCCACGCCCTGGGACGGGTGGTACGTACCTTTAAGGTTTTTTTAAAAAGGTCAAATTTCAAGGTTACAAGGTCATGAATCATAATATATTTGGAAAGGTCTTGTCACAGTTAATTTGTCCCAGTACATACAAAATATGAAAGACCTATCTCTTCTTATTTTAAAGTTCTTACCAATTTGAAGGCAATGTTAAAGTTTATGAAAAGAAAGTCGAACTTCAAGGTCAAGGTTAAGGGGTTAAAAATCGTAGTGTTTTTGGAAAATGGAAATTAAGGTCATGTCATATGTAATGTACATGTAAAATATAAAAAGCCCTATCCCTTCTCATTCTGAGATATGTGTATATAATTTTTCAGGCGCAGACACGATCGGATTATACGGGTCCAGTGTTAGGTCCAAAGATGGCAGAAAAACAAACTCGGGAGTTCTCGGAAGACCAACTCAGGGAAGGGAGAAACGTCATTTCCTTACAATACGGAAGTAACAAGGGCGCAAGTCAGGCGGGGCTTAACATGGGCAAACAGAGAATGATCAATGATTGATGCGCATGCCCAAAATTTTAAAGTGACTAAAATTATGAAAAATGACATTATTTTTTTTTATTTCTTAATTTTTTTCATTAGTTAAGTTATTTATTCTTTACATATCAGATTTTTTTTCAAATTTATGTGTAGACAATTTATAATCTGCATTCTGTCGCGTGTATTCATAGAGAATATGTAACTATATGTGGAAATTTATTATATTTTGAAGTGTATTAAACACTATCAAACAAAGTCTGCCATCTCATTCTTTACATCAAGTTGGTGTACATTGTTACATCAAATTCGAAATTTCGAAAAAGATTATCAAGGTCAAAGATAGACAACTCCAGGAAGTTTTTTGTGTATACCAGCTTTTTTCAGCGAGTTCTTTTTTGAAACACTGATGCGCCTATGGCGAGGGTTAAAGTTTCTCAAATTAATGCATGTGACACTTTATGGTCAACAGATGAAGCTATAGGACTTGGGCCAATAAATACACTCTATACATGGAGTATATGAAAAGAAAATGAAAATTATGATCAAAGTGTTTTAAAACGCCTGCCTGCCATGTGGACTATAGAGCGTCTGCTATAAATAAATCGCAAGGAGTTGATCCCTATGTCGCGGGCTCGAATCCCACTGGGGGAGGTGGAAACCGGTCCTTCGGATGAGACCGTATAAACCAGGGTTTCTGCAGCTGCGTCGCAGCAGGTGCATGCTAGCATGAAAAAGATCCCTTCTTGCAAATGTCCCCAAGTGCCGATCTCGAGTATAGGACAAATTTTCCGCCAGCAAATGGTGGCCTCTCCATATGAGTGAAAATTGTCGAGAACGAGGTTCAACAGCAAACAATCAATCTAAAAGTGCATGGGTCAAACTAGAAGGTGGATGTCAAAATTGTTAGTATTCAAATTAAGGAAAGTCGTGTATATAAGGAATGCACCTGTGAAATATGAAAGCCTTAATACTACATGACTTGTATCTGTTAAAAATATTAGTAAAGGTCAAAGTTATCAAAAGTAGTTTAGACTCTAAAAAGGTCAAGATCAAAAATACTATATAACAAGATGTGTTTGTGAAACACTGATGCCCCCGTATGGCAACATAACAAAGATGAAGCTTTTCATAATTGCAAATTTAATTAAATAGTACCAAAAGTAGGGTATTCTCACTGGAAAACAATTGTGAAAGTTAAAAGTAACCAAATGTTAATTTTTTTTTTAAATAAGTACAAAAATCTCCAAGGTCAAGGTCAAAATGTCAATGTAATAAGTATCGAATGAAAGGTCCTGCCACATAGAATACTTATGTTGAGCATGAAAGCCCTAGCCCTAACCATTCAGAAGTTATGGCCAACGTTCATTTTTTTTTTTAAAGTAGGTCACATGTCAAGGTCAAAGTTCTTGTTATCAAAAAATTTAAGAATCAAATGTGTAAAGTATGAAAGCACTAGTCCTAACTCTTTAAAAGGTATGGTCAAGGTTTGCTTTTTTAAAGTATGTCAATCTCAAAGGTCAAGGTCAGGGGGTTAAAGTTCTTGGTATCCAATGAAGGGTCTTCTCACAAGAATTATATATATTAAGCATGAAAGCCCTTTTACTTACCGTTTAAAAGTTATGGTCAAGGTTAATTTTTTTCACAAGTACGGAAATCTACAAGGTCAAGGTCAAAGGGTCAAGATCCAATACGCACAAACATTACATATGTTATAAGCCTGTTCAAAAGATATGGCCAAAATAAAATTTTAAAATTTTCATGTAAAAATGGGTCAAACTCCAAGGTCAAGGTCAAAATGTCAAATGTGGTGGTACCAAAGAAAGGTCTTGTCATAAGAAATATACATATGAAATATGAAAGTCATAGCTCCACTAAATCAAAAGCTATGGGCAAGGTTAAAGTTTTTGCGGACAAACAGAGAGACAGACAGACAGACGGACACGACAAAAACTATATTCCCCCGAAACTTCGTTACGGGGGCATAACAAACTCATTGACATGGCAAAAACTTTCAATTACGGCGGCATTAAAATTATGCGAAAAAATTTTATACACAAACTGCGTTATACGTAGTCTGGAAGTGAAAGAGAGAGGCGAATTATAAAATTTTAAATAAAAATGTCTTCTACATGCAACTGTTTCCTTAAGCTTCTTCTTAAATATCATTTAATTGCCATGGGTCATCAATAAAATAACAAATACAGTTCTAATTTTTATCTGTACAGAGCGAATTTAAGCGATTCAAAATCAAAGCAAATATTCCCGCTGCAAGTCTTTGGTCGCAAAAGAAAATTAAAACAATTTCATTTGTATACCCACTAGAAACCATCGTTCCGCGTAAATGAGAGTCTTTTGAAAAGAATTAAATCATTAACTTGTGTTGACGTGTTGTTTATTTGTTAATAATGTCAGCTAATTAATTAAGCTAATGGACAATCAATGTAAGTACCAATATATGTAACAAACGGATATTAGATTCATATTTTCTGTAAAATCTGTATCCATATAATGATTAACATACATACAAAAGGTCTTAAAGGGTCAAAAATCGTATAATTTGCTGCAAATTTTCTGAAATATACACTGTAAAATCGTTTGTTTTCAATCGTCAGATATTGTTGTTGCGTCTGTTGTCAGTGGAATCGTCGTTATTATCATCATAACAATCATCGCCATTCTGATATACAACAGAAAGAAAAAGGTAAGAAAAAGAGAATGGGGCATTGACATTGTGTATAGGTCATATTGTCACCTCTAGTTACGTACAGCATTTATATATTTCACACACCTATTACGTGTAGACTTACATGCATTTTCCACATTTTTAACAGGTGGTGAATTTATTTTTCTGGCACAATGTTGCACTTCTTCATTGACGAAATAAAATGTGGAAGGAAGAAAACATTGCAAAATGTAATTTAATATATGAATAAACATATGATTAGTACATAAATTCTTTATATTGTAATCAAATTCCTGGCAAAATATTTTTTAACCAATACATGTCTCTTGTAAAAACATTTTTTTTAACATTAAAACACAAATCACAGTCAACTTTTTTTTTTGTAAAATTGAGTGTGCACAGAAAATTCTTTCTAAATACCACTTTATTTCAATTTGATTTTTTATTTACATTTGAGACATTGGGTGATTAATAATTTCACTCGTTATTCGAATACTTGTAGAAGATACACCACAAGGAAATCATACTCAGTATTTCCGACAGAGACACGAAAAACACTTCAAACACTGACAGTAAGTCACAACTTTCTCAGGATGACCGGAAGTTACGAAGTTCCGGAAGCAGCTCAAGTGATGACACCTCCAGTCAATCAACGAGTACTTCCGAGGGAGAGATTGATGTCGTTGTTACTTCCGGCGCACCATTTTATCAGCAAGAAAATAAGACCACCTTAAAGTTAGAGAAACAAATGTGTGCTTCTGAAAGTACCCCAAAAACTACAAGTAGTACAGATCATGCAACTGTTGCAGCAGTCAAAGTTGTGGGTGGTCTTTGGTACAAGACAGAGACCGCACCAGAAGTTGACAAGAAAATAATCGGACTGGAAAACAACCAAATCAGCCAACCCCAGAAAAAGCAGGTGACCTTACCAGTTCAAAACTTAGAGTCCTCAAATACAAAATTTAAAACCAATTTCGATCGACGTTTTGAACAAAAAGTTAAAAAGTGACAAAAACAGAGAAAAAGGTGACAAATTGAAGAAATCCGAACGTCAGAAACCAAACAATATCAGAAAAAAATATCAAGTTCCGTCGCTAGTGGGAACTGAAAAATCCACAAAACCTTCAAAATCTAGATCTTTCATCAAAGAGAGGAACATGGATGACAAAAAGGAGAAAAGTGAAATAAAATCTAGGAAATGCAAGTGTGACTTCCTCAAACTCATCGTTAACCAGCCGCGGAAAAGACGAAGAGTTTCCAAGCAAAAACGTTTGTTAGAAGAGGATATTAAAATGATAATGGAAGACCCTTTCTTACGTAAAAACCTTTCTGTTTGTAAGTCCGATTATCGGATCATAATTCCAAAATTAAGATTTCCTCATCTGCGTACTCCACGAAAGAAAGGGAAGCAGGTAAATAGACGAACTCCAAGAGATTCTAAAATACATCATAAATAAATTTCAGAAATGGGGATTTTTTCTTGCAAATTTTCAATAATGAGAAGAACAATGTATAGTTTGCATGACGATATAAATTTAAAATGTTTTAGAAATGAATCAAATTTTAAAATTTTATGAAATAAAACCAAGCAATGAATTAAAATTGGACATTTGTGTAATTCAGTAGTGAGCTTCACAGCTACTCTAACCACTTAAACAGCATCAGAGCTCGAATACCATCACCAAAGCTTTGGATGAGTCGCTACAAAAATCTTATATTAGACTCCTGTACTCTCGAGGTGACCTATAAATTGTACTTATACCTGATACTTTTATGTTATTGTTGACCCTGTGGTGGACTCATTTACATATATCTCATGAATCAAAGGCCTTTCTATGTTAACTCTACTTTGTTGCAATTTTCAGATGAAATAACATCTTCACAAAATAAAACCGTGTTTTTATACATGTATGACTTAGGTCAGGAATGTATGTTAAGGTACTAATGGTCTTCAGTGAATCTACTGAGCCAATGCATGACTTACTTTAACATCTAGGCCTACTTTTGAATCAAATATCTATGAGGTTAAGCAATATGGATATTAATCATTAAACTAATAAATATGTACCTGTACAAGAAAACAAGTGGTGCACATTGATCTCCTATTGCTCTTATCTTCATGTATTCACTGAAGTATCACACCCTCAAATTCAAATGCACAAAAATTCTACATTAACAAATAACTTAGCTAGGTGATTAATTTTAAAATTTTATTCAACAAATTGTTTAATCGATAATTTATGATCACAGCCAAAACTTTAACTCAATGAACAACAGATAACACATAGATCCATATACACAATCATCTATAATGTAAAACATTGTAACACTTAAAACAATGCCAGCAATGTTAAATCACACACAAATCTTATCATGTGCATTCTTTCCAAGAATTCTCTGCATATAATGCCACATATATCCTAAAATAATGCACACTTTAAAATCGCACACTTGTATTTATGTAATAGTTAATCCCATAGGCCCATTTATTAAACATATTACACACACACATTCTTTAATTTTTAACAATATAGGAACAAGTTGTTTGAGGAATTAAATGAAAAATTTTACGGAATAAAATATTAAATGCAAGAGGTTTAACAATCAGACTAGGAATTTGAAATCCATCATTACTCATTAGTAGGCAAGTATTCAAATCTTTAAATACAGAATACAGCTACATTCCCCATGCCTATAGGCACCCATTTGCTATACAAATACATGAACTATATGTGAACAGTTTATAACATACAAGTAGAATGAAAATGTACATGTATGTGTACGTTTGAACAGTTCATAAAATATTTGAATCAAGATTGTATTTTTTTCTTCTTCATGTCCTAAATAACTTATAGGTGGAAAGCTTGTGAGACATGTACATGTATGCAGTGTCCCCCTTGATCCAGCAAACTTGAAGCCTACAGTCTAATTCATTACAATTGCTCCTGACTCTAGCCAAAGTTTTAAGGAAACAAAGATAATTTATATTAGGAACTATACTTTTTTGGCACAATTCATTATTATAAAATTATTCCACACCTTTCTTATTGTCAATCGACATAAAAAAAATCAATAATTTGGACTATAGTTTACATGTAATACTATTGGTGGATTTCAGTATGTTAGAGTAAATAGAATGGGGCTTATCTGGGACTCTGATATCACACATGGTGACAAAATATTTTGTATACATAATCTTCATTTAAAAGTAAGATTAATTATTTCAAAAGTAAGATTAATTATAGTAAAACAAAAAAAATCTTAATTAAAAATAAAACAAAAAATAAATAATCTTAATTTTAAAAATTAAAATAAAAACAAAAATTCGTCAGAAGTATTATTAAAATAACTAAATTTTAAACATTTTCAATTAGTAATTGAAACAAGAAGAAACTTGTATGGCAAGATATAAGTGACACATATTATGAGATACATGTACAGTTAAAACAATTGCCATCAATGTAAATTTGATTCGTAAAATCCGATATCTGGTTCACACAAAGACATCAGTAAAATTAGCTTATAGTACATTTTAAAAAAAAGAAAAAATAAAACGTTATGGTTGTATAGCCAAACCTTACACAAATGGGAGAATAAAACATCAATATATTGCTTGTAGTATAAAAATGCACTAAAAGATGGCGGTCCACTATTGCTGTTACTATAAATAGCACAAGGTCAGACTGGTGGGGGGTTTGACTTGGCCATACTCTGGGTACACCTGGACCGCAATTGCTTTTACTAAAAATAGCACTAAGGTCAGACCGGTGGGGGGTTGACATGGTGGTATTCTGGGTACACCTGGACTGCCGCGTACCCCACGGGAAAGAAGGACATGATGACGCTGACGGCGGCCAGGAACAGGAAGAAGATGACAGTGGCCAAGCGGAGCTTCTTACTGGCTGTCTCCCACTCAGGGACGTGCTCCCAAACCTTGGTCATCACTGTGTCTCGCAGGCTTCTGTACCAAAAAAAAAAAACTAAATATATTAGATTGGAAACATTTCACATTTAGTATACTGATAGCAAATGCAAGTAATGTTTAATAGGAAATCTTTAAAATTCCTATTTGAATGTCTTTATCAAATCCAAAAATACAACTGCAGTAAAACAAAGAATTTTATACTGTATGTAATTTTTTATAACTTTTCATAAATGACTTATAGTTTCAAAAACAAATTTAAACATTTATTATTATTCACACATTGAACTTTCTTAATGCCAGGATGTAAAACTCTTTTGGATTAAATCATTTGATAAAGGCTCATTTTCCAGAATGCCTTGTTACTGACACTTCCTCTGTGACTTCCTCCTCTCCCTCCTCACACTTGTCTCGTAGCTCCTCCAGTGAGTCGGTGATAGAGTTCTGCTGATCTCGTAACTGTTTGAGCTGTCCTGTTATCTGAGCCTTGTAGCCCTGCTCAAACCTACACAGAAATCAGGCATCATTAAGTGTACAACTAATATTTTAAATACAGAAATGTTTGATTTGGGAAAATATTTGCAAGACCTATGATGAGTAAAGGTTTATAAAATTTCTCTAGATGTGGTTTCCAAAGGAGCTATTGTGACATCAAGGTTATGCAATTTGTGAATTCTTAAACCTCTGCACATGACATTTTCTGGAATAACTTTGGTAAATGAAAACTGAAATTTTTTAACCAGTAAAACTTACTTTCTTCTTAGAATTAATGTAGATTAATGGCTTCTATAATTGATGTTATTTTCTATAAGCATATATATACTTTCGTGATGAAAAAGCTATGGCAAAATCTGGAGTTACCTACCCTTTCTGAAATGCTTCCTCCTCCACAGAATGTTGCTTGGAGCCAGATCCGGAAGACTTGCTGCAAAATGAGATTTTTTCCTTATGATTACATATTCAAATGTTGAATTTTATCAAAATGTAATACATGTATGAATACATAATTCATCTAAATGTATTTTAAGCACTTTAAACATTTCTTAGTATAGCATTAGAAAATTGACTTCGATGGACAATTTAAGAGCCATTCTCTGTAATGATTTGAAATTTTATGTAGGAGCTGTGGCACGCATAGTCTCAGAATTTCTCCAAACTCTCTATGATAAAAGTCATTGATACCCTAAACAAAAATCAGGCAAAAATTGGTTGCTATGTTTTATAGTTACCATGGCAACATGTCTTAAATTTCGAAAAATGGCATTTTTTAACATGTTTAGAGCCCCATAGTTAACATTTGCGGCAAAGCAAACAATTGGCAATGACTGTTTCCAAAAGTTGAAGGTCAGATGTCTCAAATGCATGATAAACATGTTTGGTAAATCAACTATTACATACGTTACTATGGTAACAAAGTATTCAAAAGTAAAAAAAAATATACATTGAATTATATAAAGTCATACAGTGTCACATAAAAATAAAAAGCAATTATAGGATGAAATATGACCAAATAATAGAAAAAAGAGTTTTGAAACATATACCATGAACAAAATATGATATTTCATTTTGGTTGGCAATGGTTGCCAAGGTTTTTACACCACAGAGAGCCATCAAAGTAACACTCTGTTTGTTTAAATCTGATCCTATCTTTTAAAAAAGCACATTTCCTCATAACTAATGATCAATTTTTAAAGATGTTGGTATGCTCTTAGTTTTCCCATTTGAAAAAATTCAGATTAGATTCTTTAAATAGAGCGTTGCTATGGAGATAAGCAGAAAATATATGCTTAAAAACCTGAAAACTATTTTTTTTTCCTTGGATACGTACCCTTAAATGTAGATTCCCAAAATTTTTATGATTGATATTTATTAACAGCTAACCTGACTTTTAATTTTGACTATCATCCAATCTCTAAGTGGATGCAAGAAGTTGGCACAAAGGGTTTGATATTGATATAAAGTTCACAAAATCGAACATTTTCCCTTCTTGGTTACCATAGCAACAGTGTTGTTTTCTTCATCAACTTTTATCAATATATGATATTCAACTTTAGTTCTAACAGATAAGTACTATTCAAGCTGAGTCCTTTAATTTGTTTCTTGATTATATGGCAATTTAATTCTTAAAGCAGTGAAAAATAATTCACTTTTAAGCACTGGTACTTTGTTTCCATGGCAACACTGCAAAGTAGCAATTTTACCCAATTTTTCTTATGGTTTTGGTGTTGCAAGGTCCTAAGGATGTATATTTGCCAGTCTTGAATTTTCATGTTTTTCCTCAAGACAGTAGCATTAACCCAATCTTACTTACTGGTTTTGCATAGTTACACTGTGTTACCATGGCAACCATAAAATTTATTCATAGAATAATATTTCTTATACTTATATACTTAAGGTCAAACATTTTCATTGTTTTTCTTAAGTCGATGATTGAGATTTAGCATGTAACACCTACCATTAGTGAATATGGAGTGTTTTTCAGCATATTTCAGCATTTTAAATGTATTCCAAATGTACCCTTGGTTACCACTTACTTAGAGATATATTCTAAACAGTTTGTTTACAGTTTAAGTGACATCAAGGTGTCATGTTTTTGTCAGGGTGGTTTCATTGCTTTTTCTAGTGTTTATTAAGCCACAGTCAGGATTTAAATTGGCTGAAAATCTCGATTTTTCAAACTTTTCCGGCTGTTGCCATTTAGCAACGAAATTTTGTTATATTTGTTTCTGGTGTCAAGTACTAAGCATGGGTGAAGTTTCATCAAAATCGGTGACCATGCGTGGCAACGAAGTTTAAGTGGTTACAGAGAATGGCAATTAATTATTCCCTTATACCAAATACATAAAATTTTCTCAAAAAGTTGAATAAAAAATTTAAGAAATGATTGCGGTTCAAAAAAATTCCATCAATTATGAAATAAAATTTTGGATATTGTATAAATTATTCTCTACAGAAGAGTTGACTATGGTACCTACCCGTCAGACTGGGTACTGTCCTGTGACAATCCGAGGTTCTGTCCTAACAGTGAGGGGGTGCTGGTCTGTTTACTACCTACCCTTCAGACTGGGTACTGTCCTGTGACAATCTGAGGTTCTGTCCTAACAGTGAGGAGGTACTGGTCTGTTTACTACCTACCCGTGAGACTGGGTACTGTCCTATGACAATCTGAGGTTCTGTCCTAACAGTGAGGAGGTACTGGTCTGTTTACTACCTACCCGTCTGACTGGGTACTGTCCTGTGACAATCTGAGGTTCTGTCCTAACAGTGAGGAGGTGCTGGTCTGTTTACTACCTACCCGTCAGACTGGGTACTGTCCTGTGACAGTCTGAGGTTCTGTCCTAGCAGTGAAGAGGTGCTGGTCTGTTTACTACCTACCTGTCAGACTGGGTACTGTCCTGTGACAGTCTGAGGTTCTGCCCTAATAGTGAGGAGGTACTGGTCTGTTTACTACCTACCCGTCAGACTGGGTACTGTCCTGTGACAGTCTGAGGTTCTGCCCTAATAGTGAGGAGGTACTGGTCTGTTTACTCATGGAGGCTCTCCTAAAGGCTGAGGTGGTAGAATTCTTTAGGGCGGCTACTGACGCTAGCTGCTGAAACTTGGAGCGGGCATCCTAAAAGCAAGGTACAACTGTTAAGCTAAAAAATCTTCACAGCCTAAAACAAATGTTTTATGTTGTTTACTCTTTCACTGAACATAGAAAACATTAAGATATTCAACAAACTCAAGCTCAGTGCAATTTATAAACTTTTTTTTACCTAAAAAAGACTAAAAAATAAAAAAGAAATTAGCAGACACAAAAGAATGGATAGATATATTGAAATATACATATATTCATGCATGAACATGCAAGGAATGATGCATCATATATATAAGGAATGTTTATTTGCCTCACCTGATTAAATTAAACTAAAAAAATTTAATATGTCCCCTTGTTTTTCCTTTTTTTTTTTGAGTCAGGTAAGGGGGGTGGGGTGGGGGGGGGGGGGGGGGGAGGAGGAGGAGAGGGGAGGTGGAGGAAATCTTTAAATTCAAGTTTTTTATTAGCACTAAAACTTAAATTAAGAAAACAAATCCTTATGCTGCATTATCATATTTGCACGTGTATTTTCCAAGGAAATTCATCTCCTGTACAACAACAAATAAATTTTCCCCTTCATTTACAAAACTTCAAGGGTCAGAAGAGAGCAAATAAATATATGTTTAAATGTGTCTCAATCATAATTTTTTGTCTTGATGGAAATTAAAAAAAAAATCTTTGAGAGTTTTTAAATGTAAATATAATTAAGATTTTTTTCCCTCATTGAAGTACATAGTACAATAAATTGTTACACTTTGTTTACAAGCAGTAGGAAGCACATGGCTGTATCATTCTCACCTCTTCTGTGACAGACAATTCTCGTCGTAGGGTTGGTGTAACATGCATGGCCTCAGAAAAGCTGTCCTATGGTAAAATAAAATGCATGCACATTCCCGCCTAGTAAATGCATTCCAGTGATATTGATGCTATTTTCGTAGATTATCATAAAATATGCTTTATGCTATGATGCTTATAATGCTGATATAATTGAAGTTAGATAAAATATGTATGGTATAAAAAAAGATCTTTATAATATTATGTAGCATTTACAATATAATGATGTGTACATGTACGTTATATTAGGCAGTTGATAATATATAGGAGCTTACATGATGTAAATTAAAGTTCGGTTTTGAAGGATCTCACACACAGGGTTCAAAAGGTGACTTACCATGGATACAGAGTGGGGAAGCCCACTTCGATTCAAGGTCGCATCACTAACACGGCGACGAGCACCCTGTTTAAGTTCATATAAAATTGTTTGTTACATGCATGCAGAGGTCCTATGTTTAAAAATGTGATAACAACTATTATTTCAAAATGACTTTTTAAGTGAATATAACCTGCACTCTACCATCAATTTTATTTTCAAACTGAGTATTCACTTTAACAATAATGTTTCAAGTTATCTTCTCCATTTATTGCAGTCATGAATTCCTAAGTATCATAAAATCAAGCACTGAAAAGATTTTTCATATTGAACATTAAAGACTTCCCTTTTTATAATGTACAAACAAACTTTGTTATTTCAAACCTGATTGGGCTGCAAAAAAATCTTCGAAATATCCAAGGATTCAAGATATTTAGGGTAAAATACTTAAAAAGAATATGAAGTTGGGACTTTCATATCGCTTTGACATATCCATGGTATTCGAGGTATCAGAGTTTGAGATACCGAACTTCAACTGTATTTAATCTTCATTTCAAGAAAGCCTAATAGTTTTTTATCCCAGTATGTTGGTATACCCAACAGTTGTAATATACCACCATTTCCCCACAGTGACTTATAATTCTACCCAGGGAGGAAGCAAGGGTTTTTACTGAAAAATCATATCTATCTTCTATTATAAGAGAATGGATCTATGCCTATATACAATGTTAGATAAAATAAGACTTTTTTGTTAGACAATAGATTACATATAATATCAGAGGCATCTAAGACAGACGAGCAAGATCCACAAAACAGAAAATTAAAGAATCATAAAGTGAAAGATAACTCTATATCTAAATTAACTGCAAAACTTGCCATGCAAGATAAACTAAACATCAGAAACCAAAAGTTGCAGAACATCAAAACTTTAATTAATTACAACTAATATTTACAGTACAGAAGAAGCCTTGCATGAAAAGCATGTATTGTTGATCTACATGTTCATGGGCCACAAAGGTACACTATATAATATATAAAACAAGATAACATGCTGAGTCTTCCATTAACATGACAAGTGTTGCAATCAGTGATTGGAATTGGACTTGATCATTAAGACCTATGAAGAATACCTGCAGTTAAATAAATTTTTTTTCTTTAACCAAGCTGCAGTGACGACTGATATTGTAATGGGATGTGACATAATTTTGTCTTGCAGAGAATAGATATTATAATCATAGAATTCTAGCTAATTTACTTTTGGTAGAAAGGGATTGCTCTGGCACACAGAAGCTGATCTTCTCGAAAGTCCAGTAAATTCTCCTGGAAAGAATATAATTAACAACAAATCATTCAAGATCCACAATTCATCAGCTAGAAATTTAATCAAACTGATTTTCTTATTTCTCTCTATCTACATTAGTAGAAATCATCTTTATCAATCTCACATCAACTGTCCCCTTACCAATTAAGCAATAATTTAAGAGTCATATCCATGAATTATCTTTGGTTTTTAGAGAAGTATTTTGAGATGAGGCATCACATTGCTTCACATTAACTTTATTATTTAAATAATCAATCTGATATAAAGTAATTATCAAGTGGTTGGTATAATTAAACCATTTTAGAAGGCATTGAATAACCAGCAATTAAATATGATAAGAAACTCTTACCTATTTCTGAGCTACCACCAAATGGTCTGTTGTCCTGAATCAATTTTCTACAGCAGAAAAATACAAAATCTTTATCACTGATACAGTATTTATAAGAGACTTTGAATACAAGCACTCAATATCACTATCATGAAAACAATGCAATATATCAATTTCTTCAACTTAACTTTTAATTAACGTTTATATTTCATAGTAAATTGTTCACTATTAATATACAAAAATTCAACTGTATTAATTTAACTTCCCTTAAGTACTGTATTATGGTTATTTTTGCCCTTTTACACTTGAAAAACAATTCTGTCCCTTTTTAAATTCGCCAAAAATTCAGTTCTGTTTAAGAAATTATACTGTTTTCTTTGAATTCACCCCATTTTAAATTCGCACAATTGTGATCAGGACGAAAGGGGCGAAAGTAAAATGGGGGCAAAAATTTCCCTGTATAAAGTAATCTGACTGATCCACATTACCTGGCCTCCTCTAGTTCTGCTGTCTGTCTCTCGTGAGATAATCTCAGGTTATCTACATGAGTCAACATGATCTCTATTGCCTTACTCATCCTCTTCTCCTGCATATAAAAACATCAGTTTATTAAGACATTTATTCTTATATTCAAATACTGTAGAAGTACAGTGTTTCCTGCCTGGAACTAGTTATTAATGCTAATGTACACAGTCACAAATTTTCAGCAAAAATTTGCTTCAGCACACTTAAGTACATGCATTTACAATGTAAGGCATTAAGAGGCAATCTAAAAAATTCCCATAATTTTCTATTCATGGATTGAATATACACAAATATATATAAATGATATGTAGAGTGCTGAGCTGAGCTCAAGTTTATTACTCTTTTACAGACTAGTTTACAATAGTTAATCTACGCTTTCACTATTACTAATATACAATAGATTTCTGAATTGTAAACATGTACGTAGTGCAATAAAACTGTTACATCAATATGTATACAATGTATTTAATTTCAAAATTAATATATAAGCTGCATATTTTATCTAAATGCAAGAAATCAAACACTAGTAAGTGTCCTTTCTATACATAACGGTAGTACATAAACATGTACCCCATAATTGAAGCCATTTTGTACGTGTCCGTCAATGACCTTTGACAGGTAAACAATTAAAGCGTGTCTCTTATAAAAACAGAGACAGCGAGACCCCGAGAGCTTGGGATAGATTTAAATTATGAAATTTGTGCAAACAATCAATGATTGCATGAAATTATTATCAAAAAAAAAGAAAACATGGTTTAATTATTCTTGTAACTGACCCCGATTTACAAGTATTTACAATTTTGTATTAGCTGTTTAATCAATATTCTTTCTGAATAGTTGTATCACGTCAGATCAGTTTAAATCTACAAACTAAACAAATGCCCTCTTCATTTAAAACAGTAAGAGGTAAACAATTAAGGAATAACTCTAATTGCTTTATAATTCGCTTCGCGGATTATAAAGCGTAAACTGACCCAAACCATATTATACTCGATAATTTGGCCAAGAATTAGAGTCATTTCTTATAATTTAATTTTAAAATAATTATTCAACTGGGGATGTAAAATTGTGTTGTTTTTATGAGTTCAAAGAAGAAGGTATGGTTTTAGCTTTATTGCGCCCTAAAAATGTAATGACATCAAAAAGTTTTGAAACTGGCTTAAATATTAGTCAAATAAATGACTCTGATAAATCAGGAAAGAATATGGCATGAAGGTTTACCATTCTGCAAACATGACGTCATTAATGTGAAGCATTTCTCTATTTTCAACAGAAAAAGCCTCAAAATGGCACATTTTAAGGGTGATTTTCCTTTAGAAAACAGTGTCCACAGCCGTCGCCCACGTTAATTTTTTGATATTTTGTGCAAAATTCAATAACAAATCACATATCTCAAGATCTTTGTGGGCGATGCCTGTGGACAATGTTATCTGAAAGAAAATTTCATTGAAAATAGGTGTCTTCTGCAACTTTTTAAGAAAATACGGGAAAATGCACATGTTTATGATGTCATAATAAGCATTTAAAAACACATATGAAAAAAATGACTTGTATGATTTTTCTGCATTGAATTTCAATTATTTAAAAAGCATGTGTTGTCAACTTTCACACCAGCTTTATTTTTTAGAAAATCACAGGGCAAAAGAACTATATGAGGTATATTGCATATGTTTGCCCCCACAAAAGTCAAATTTTGAAAACTTCCTGAAATGTGCTGAATTCAATAAATTGTACGAGAAATATAAGTTAACAGAAAATATTATAGTTCCAGAGCAGTGTATTCACAATTTCTGTTTTTATGACGTCACAAACTAGTCTGATTTTATATCCTTTTTCAGAAAGAGGACAAAATGGACAAAATTTCAACAATTTAAGCTTTAAAATCTATAGAGCGCATGTGTGTTCAGGAACAATATTGACATATTTCATTGATATTATCATTCTACACATTATATCAAAATAATAACCCTGAACACACATGCGCTCGATGACTTTTATTTAAAATATCGACGAAATATGTACATTTTTCTGCAAAATTCATAAAAAACTGAAATTTACGTCATATTTGTGACGTCATTACGTACATATGACGTCATTACTTATGAAATTATTCAGTGCTTTGAAGTCAGCATATACTCCCCTGTTTAAGGACTTAATTAAATATTACTCCATCAAAGTTTGATTTTGGGGGGCAAATGTTGGTTAATACCGCATATAGTTCTTTGTATGGAAACCATACCTTCTTCTTTACCGCGCAATAATACAACCGTAGTAATGGAAGTGATGGGAAGCAAGGGGAGGTAAAAACTGATACATAGATCTAGCAGCCATGATGCTTGTTTACATGAGGTAAGATCGAGCAACTGTTTGAAATTAAAGGTAAATTTATTAAATCTGGAATTTTCCATGAATCCCAAGGACTGGAAATGAGGGGATTGATGGATACAGATGATTATGCTAGTTGTCAAGGGGGTGTGTCCCCATACCAAACCAGATTATACAAAATGTTATGCGTTCCTTTTTGGAAATCAACCAATGAGAGGCAAGAATACAAGCAAAATTAAATTATTCCTTAATAAATATGTTTTATCTTCTTTCCCATTCTGATTTTTTTGACATTTTTGCAGAGAACTTACTATAGGAAAGTTTCACTTGAAGACTGTATATATGTTTTACTGATTCGGTACATGATACATCATGTTTGATGTTACACTGCAAAATACAAGTTGAGAATATACTATCACTAATTACTGCAGCTGACGCAACAAAAAAACTGTTGATTTTGATGTTTGCAGAACATGCATCGACGTACAAATAATTTCCTTTGAACATTATACCATACCCTTAATTTTACATATAAAAATATTGATCTGAAAATAAATGAAATGGGCAAATAAACATTTATTGCCTTAATTGAATTCAAAATTACTTTGATGAAACACATTTTTAACGTATAACCGACTGAAGAAATTTTAGTCGATAGTCGGTATGATCGAATGATAGTCGAGTACTCGAATATTCGTTGACATCCCTAACAAATACACTAGTAAATAGAAATAAGTTGGCCAAAATAGAAGTACAGAGCAAGTAATGGTACATTTTTTACATGTACCTGCAATACCACAAGTATACTTGAGCACTGGCTAGCTCACACTCACTAAAACTCAACCTGTCAAATATCACAATGCATTGAACACTATAGGAGATGTTCTGACCCTGTCTCTCACCTGTTGCACTGCCCCAAACACCTCAGCCCGTGAGGACACCCTGGCACTGGCCTGCTCTAACACAGTCACATGTTTCTGTATCTTCAGAAGGAGGTCTCGGACTTGAGTGTCCACACAGATCTGATTCAGTTGCTGTAATCAAATCAGTCAAAAGATGAAAAGTTGAAGCAATGGAGGGGGGGGGGGCACAGTTACTCCCTTTCTTTTTCAATTATAAAATTTATATACAGGACTAACAAGAACTGTGGACCAAGAATATTAGATCTAAGTCATATTCTCCTTCATATAAATCAAATTTGAACCAAGACAAATGTCTATTTTTTTCCTGACCTCGAGTGCCTCTCTGAGTCCTTTGATTTCCTTGGCTACGTTCTCCTCGGCTATGTCTCGAGATCTCTCCTGTATCTCTAGTCTCTTCTCCAATGTTATCTTGTCTGTCTTGAATGCCAGCGAAAGACTTGTGAACTTATTCTAAAAGAGAAAGTTGTTCTTTTAATAAAAATCACATATGACTAGATTTTGTAATCTAATTAACTTGTTCAAAGCATTTTCATGAGTCAAATATTTTTGTAGCTAGGTCTCAAGAAAATATTAAAGAATGCATTCATTAAACTCTTCAATGCTGCGAGATAAAGAAGGACATGTCACATTAAAATACAGTCAAACCATGTTATCTCAAACTCAATGTGACTGAGAAAAAAAACTTGAAGAGATCTGGAGGTTTGAAATACCCAGACGTGTAAAATACTTAAAGAATGTGGGATTTGGGCTTCCAAATTAATAAGGCATATATATCTATTGGGTTTGTGATATTCATTGGTGTTTGAAATACCGGTACTGAATTTTAACTACATAAGGAAAATTAAGTGCTAATTATAGAATTAAATTCTTCCTAAGACTTACTTCAATTTCTTGTTCTGACAACTGATCAGGACTGCAAAGAAAGAATATCAAATATATTAGCATAAAGATAATGAAGATTACTTCCTGTTAATTAAAAGCTTCCTCTTTAATATTTTTACAACAATGAAGTCTTTCAATATGGCATTCATGTATTATAAGATTATAAACATGGCAATTCAAAACTAACATTTTTATAAATTGTACATAGGATATACAACAAAATTTAGAGTTGTTTAAAATTTTAAAAAAAAAACAGTCAATCTAAAAAATCCTTTTCATATTAAAAAAAAAGTGTCTAGAGATAAAAAAAAAAATAATATGAAAACTTTACCTTATAGTTCTCCCAAATAATTTTAGAACAACCCGATAAAATGAATCTGCCATTTTTTTTTTCTATGTCATGTGTTCAGTTGCACATCATGCAAGTAAGTGAAAGTCTTCATATGACAGCCTTCAAAAAGGCAATTTCTTATCATTTTTTCTTGTGCAGGCAAAAATAAATCCCCCTTTTCTGATTTAATGCAACTATAAGTAATTAGAAAGCTATTTGTCAGCTCTGTAAATCATAGGTGGGGTACAGACTGCATTCAGGTATTCTCATGTGAATGCATTAAAAAGGGTGACAACTCTTCAGAAACACTAAATAGCTTACTCAAAGACATGCAATTAACCGAAACCAAAAATACTCATGAAAGCAACTTCAGATGCATTAATGAAGAGTGTGTTTTGATGTATAATCTTTTCTATAACACACACCCAGGTATGCATTTTTTAATGCTTTGTAGGGCCTAATTACACATCAATCTGTTCTTGTAGCAGAGGAATTTGATTGTTTTCTCAACAGTCTTTGATTAGTAAAAAAATTATTAAAAGATGCCTTTATGAAATAGACTGATTCCTTTGTTTAGCAGCTCTAAAGTTTTCTTGAACAATGATGGAGAGCTATGAGAAAGGCTGACAGACACACCAAAAATTATATGCCACCAAATCTTACATCATAAAGGCATGAGGAATTTTTCTGATCACCTCAAGTAAGCAAAAGAAATAACAATATTTCTCCAAATTTAAGAATTTATATCAACTGGAATTCAGGCACCAGGTATTAAGCTTATGAAGGTGTAAAGGTTTCTATGAAGGGGTTTAATCTTTAATGATATAGCTGGCCTAGATGCTTGAGAATGATATCTAACAGTAGCATTAATTCAGACAAAGTGTTTCATTCCTAACTTAACTACAACGATCTTGAGACCAGACTCAAGATTTTTATGGGTAAAGCTTAATATGTACATGTAAAAGCCATTTGATACTGAAATGACAGACAACGGATTGAAATACCAAATCAGCTTCATATATCTTTACAAATTAAAGATCAATTTCATTCTGATCTGAATTTGAAATCAAGGCATGTAGGGTAAATTAAGGGAATTGTGTATCGGTCAAGCAACAGTTGATTTTGAAACAAGAGGCCCAGGGGCCACAGCGCTCATCTGAGCACATCAGGCTTGAATTTACTCCACCACCCCCCTCCAGGCATTCATCATTTGAACAAACTAGAATCTACACTACCTGAGGATGATCCCATATAAATATCACAAATCATAGCTTTGAAGTACTTGAAAAGAAGATTTTAAAAGGTTTCCCTATGTAAAACTTGGGTCGGCCATTTTGGCCCCACCCTAGCCCCGGGGGTCATTATTTGAACAAACTTGAATCTACACTACCTGAGGATGATTCCACATGAGTTTCATCTCTCCTGGCCCAGTGGTTCTTGAGAAGAAGATTTTTAAAGATTTTTCTTATATATTCCTATGTAAAACTTGGGTCGGCCATTTTTGCCCCACCCTAGCCCCGGGGGTCATGATTTGAACAAACTTGAATCCACACTACCTGAGGATAATTCCACATGAGTTTCATCTTTCCTGGCCCAATGGTTCTGGAGAAAAAGATTTTTAAAGATTTTTCCTATATATTCCTATGTAAAACTTGGGTCAACCATTTTTGCCCCACCCTAGCCCCGGGGGTCATGATTTGAACAAACTTGAATCCACACTACCTGAGGATGATTCCACATGAGTTTCATCTTTCCTGGCCCAGTGGTACTGGAGAAGATTTTTAAAGATTTTTCCTATATATTCCTATGTAAAACTTGGGTCGGCCATTTTGGCCCCACCCTTGCCTCAGGGGTCATGATTTGAACAAACTTGAATCTACACTACCTGAGGATGATTCCACATGAGTTTCATCTTTCCTTTCCTAGTGGTTCTTGAGAAGAAGATTTTTAAAGATTTTTCCTATATATTCCTATGTAAAACTTGGGTCGGCCATTTTGGCCCCACCCTAGCCCCGGGGGTCATGATTTGAACAAACTTGAATCTACACTACCTGAGGATGATTCCACATGAGTTTCATCTATCCTGACCCAGTGGTTCATGAGAAGAAGATTTTTTAAAAATGCCATAAATTTTTCACAAATTCATAATTATCTCCCCTTGGAAGGGGGCGTGGCCCTTCATTTGAACAAACTTGATTCCCCTTCACCCAAGGATACTTTGTGCCAAGTTTGGTTGATATATTGGCCCAGTGGTTCTTGAGAAGAAGATGAAAATGTGAAAAGTTTACGACGACGACGACGACAGACAACGGACAAATTTTGATCAGAAAAGCTCACTTGAGCCTTCGGCTCAGGTGAGCTAAAAACTTTTCTTTACTAATAAAGCTATCTGTGAAATGACATTTGGCATTTACTTATTTTTTCTGGGGTCAAGGCAAATACATGTATTACTTAAAAGAAAGTTGAAATGTTCAAACAAAATGAAATGGGAAGTTGTTCTTTTATTCATATTCACAATGAATTTTTAAAAATACACAGAAATAGGTAGAGGAGGTTCAATCTGTTGAGCATTTTGGTTGTCAAGGTCATTTCAAAGTAAGGCATTTTAATAAGCAATATTCATAAGTAAGGTGAAATACTAATTTATAACTGATTATGTAACCCTGCTATGGCAAACATCTGAACACACATTAATCATTACCTGCCCGATACACATTCATTAAAAACACAAAGTAAAAAATTTGACAACAACAAAACGACACTGCACCTTAAGTCCTCTCCGTTAAACACATTCAACTCCTGATAAATCTCGTCCACGATTTTACGAAATTCCTCCATGGAAACGCCGACCATTCTTCTAAGTACTCAACTGATTTCTGCACGTGCACTAAGTCACCAAGAACTCTTAACTATAGCTTCATTGCATTTTGTGTTTTTTTTTTCTTCTTTGTTCTAAAAGATTACCTAAGTACCAATCAATTCTTCCATTGTACAGTTTGGTGAATAAATGTCCTTGATCATAAGGAAGTATCTAGAAGACTATCTGCTATCTTTAACACCTATATATGCCTACGTGTATGCATTACGAAGGTTCAATATTCAATCAGCCTGATAGTAAAGCCCCCATACAGCTTTGCATGGTAAAACTGATAACACTTTTTTTTTTCTTCCTAATATTTTAAATTGTTGACATTCAGATATATATCTCGATCAGTTTTAATCAATAAAAAAATCACCTGTTATTATTAAACTGTAACAAAAGCAATTTATAGGATACACTGATTTTAACCAGTATCTGAATCGACAATTCAATGACTACAAAAAAAAAATATAAAATTAACATAAAACAGGTGTCCTAAATGTGACCTTGATTTTTTTGTATAGAATGCATGTCCTGCATGTTATCTAATCCCCTTTACTTTTGTCACGGCTCTGATACAGATTTCACGTAAGAGGATTCTTTGGGATTACTTATTGCTTCTCAGACTCAAATACGATGTACTGAGGTGGTAGAACCTTAACAATTATGTATATAACTATCTATGTACAAAATATTATCCCAACACAATACCCCCTCACACTCTACTTATTCAAGAAGCTTTTATACCCTATGAACCTTGTACATGTGCATATGTACTGACTTGGTAAATGCCCTGAAAAACTGCTGTTTTGTCATGGTTTAACATAAGGACTGTTGCATTATCAGTTTTCTGTGCTGTTAAGCCACCTATCCTTCCTGTTTGACTTTGTCTGGGATGCTAACTTGATGTTCCCCCACACAAAGACCCCACCTCTCTTCTTGTTCAGGTATATCCTGGTCATTGAATAATACTATCTAAAGCAGGATATGGAGGATACTTACCTCCCCCTCCTTTATATGTAACGGGAGAGGAGAAAATGCAGTGGACCAGACCAGGATTCGAACCCGGGCCCCCTGAAACTCTGGTCAGGTGCTCTACCTACCGAGCTATCTGGCCACCAGCCAACACACCCAGCTGACTAGCCATATTCCTCCCTCCTTAAAGGTCTTTGGCCCCCCCCCACAGACCCCAACCCAGGCTGTCAGTTCCAGGGCATGCCACGTCACCAAATGTAACGGGAGAGGAGAAAATACAGCGGACAAGACTAGGATGTGAACCTGGGCCCCCAGAAACTTCAGTCAGGTGCTCTACCAACTGGGCTATCTGGCCACCAGCGATCAAATCCGTCTGGCCGCCACACATATAAAACCCACCCACCTCTCTGACCTTGCTCCATTTTTTCCTGGTTTACCCCCTCAACCCTCCCTCTCCCCCTATTGTAAGACCCCCACCAACCTCTCTTCTTGCTTTGTTTTGTCCCGTTCTATCCCTCCCACCTCTCCTCCTTTTCTGTTTTGTCCTGGTCTCCCCCTCCCCTATACCTCCCATCATAATACCCCCACCCACCTCTCTTTCTGTTCTGTTTCATCCTAGTTTACCCCTCCCCCTACTGTGATCCCCGCCCACCTTTCCTCCTGATCTTTTTTTTTAAGAGACCCCCCCTCACCAATATCCCCCTTATAAGACCCCTACCCACCTCTCCTCCTGTTCTGTTTTGTCCTGGTCGACCCCCAGGTCCTGCAGTGGTGTCTCTGGTATGCTGGGCATAACCTGACTGTTGGTCCCCCCCATCATACCACCTTTACCCACCTCTCAACCTGTTCTGTTTTATCCTGGTCCACCCCCAGGTCCTGCAGTAGCGTCTCGGGCATACTGGGCATCACCTGACTGTTGGTCCCCCCTATCATAACACCCCTACCCACCTCTCCTCACGTTCTGTTTTGTCCTGGTCCACCCCCAGGTCCTGCAGTAGTGTCTCTGGTATACTGGGCATCACCTGACTGTCGGTCCCCCCGTCCCCGTTGGTCATCGGTTGTCCTGATTCCTGCATCTCATTCAGATCTGGCATTCTCAGGAACTTCATCTGCTCCCGACGCTTGGCAAGGTTTCCCTGGAAAATTTATCCTAGATATTATTGTGCTCAAATATAGATCATTTTATCAAACATAAAAAGATTTAAGATTTATCTACAGATCTCGAGTATTTTAATCTTCCATGATAAAAGATTGTGTAAGGTTTGTAACAACCTATATATGCACAAGGTTTTGTTTTATTTCTAGATCTCTAAGACATGATTTCAGTATATATCAACATATGTTCCTCTTATTGTAGCATTGAATACATTTGTATGCATCTGCTGGGGATTAAACCCAGGGCCTTTGGCTTGCCAAACCTCTGTTCTACCAATATTGAGCTAAAAGGTTAACCCACTAGTCCAGGCTTGTAGGAATGGATGCAGTGTATAATAGAACACTACCACACAGAGATAGCTAGAGACTCAAGAGTTTATTTTCCATCTAATGCACTGTCAACTATTAAATAAAAACATAGTATTTTTGATTTTTCAGAAATTCACAGGACCAAAAAAGGCAACCTAAAAAAACTTGATCTTTTGAAGCATAATCATGATATAATTATCCAGAAATTCTTAAATTGCTATTAAATACAAAGACCATTCCAAAATCAATCCATTTTCAGAATTGTCAAAAAATTTTGAACTACCACCACCCACAGGTTTGTACATGACATATTGGTAACAGTTAAAAGATAAAAAAAAAACTTGATGTACATAGTTTACATAAGTTACAAAATTGTGACATAATTTATACCTGTACAAGTTGACTATCTGGGTATCTAAACTTTCCCGAGTAACGAAACAAAAACCTTTTCCTGGTTGCCATTATTCTCTATACTTGTGTGCACAGCCAACAACAATATTTTTTAAACCATCGAAATAATTTATCACACACCAACTCAGTCTAGATATATTGGACACTTGCAGAAAACATGAAAACATTGTGTCAAATGTGTTAATTGTATTCTCAATATTCTAAATTTCTACATGAAAAAAATATAAAGGTTGAGAAAAAATGTTATATAACTCCTGTAGTACTTTACATGTAATTGCCATCAATACTGGAGATCTGCATGCAGTTTTAAACCTTTCCGTTTTCTATGGCAAAATAAAAATAAAATTAAATTCATCATGCACTTAGATATGAATTGAATGACATAACCATCAGTGCAGCATTTACAGTCTGATATTGACATGACATCTGAAAATACAGTTCATGTTTAATAATAGCTCTGTCAGCACTAGTGTCCAGAACCTCTTTTTAGGGGGAGTGGGGGTGTGTTTGTTTGTCTGTTCAATTCCCTCTTATAAATTTTCTCACTCTTATGGAGACATCATCACTTGCTGGTGGAGACCTTTAATATTAATTTTGTCCTATACTTCGCACGCATGGCCATTGAGCAGCCACACCTAGGAAGAGCGGGAAGGGATCATTAAATGGATGAGTTTTCATTAACTTTCATCTCATCTTATAAATAACATTTAAGTCATATAGCACACCATGAGTGTATATGGTTTATAGTAACTAACATCAAATAGGGTCACCTGGACAAAAAAAGATGAGTTTTAAGGGACAAGTTATTATTTCATATCGCTTTCTAAAGACATATATATGAATTATTTCAGACTGTTTGTTCTTATATTACTTGATTAAGACAACTACTAGGTATCTTGGCATTTATTCTATAGAGCGTATGCCTAGCATGGAGTGTTATCTATCACAAATTGTATACATTCTATTCTCCTAATGATAAGCAAATTAAATGACTACAAGATAATTTAAGACTACAGCCAATCAAGATCAATCTAAATCAATCTAGATATAATCCTTATCTGCTGATTGTTACCAGTACAAGAAACAGGTAGATGTCAATCAATCATTGTGATAATTTGCACATGCTGCAATGTAAGCTAGCTGACTTTTTCAAAGTATTGATTTTAGACATGATATTGTAATTGCATATGATACATCATTAATTTCAAAGTTTTTGCTGCATATGAGTTTCATCAAACACTAGATTTTACAAGTATGGATCATTTATCACTCATCTGTTTGTCTTTTTATGCCCCTGAAATTGAGGATTCTTGCTTGGGGGGTTATTTATATATAATACAGTTTTTGCCCTTTTCATTCGTCTGTCTGTCAGCAAAACTTAACTTTGTCCGTAACTTTTAAATGTGTGGCTATGACTTTCATATTCCTTTTAACAAGACCTTTCTTTGGAACAACCGAAATTGACCTCCTGACCTTGACCCACTTTTACCAAAAATTTTGAAACATTAAATATGCAGTCCAAAACTTTTGAATAGTTGGTGCTAGGGCTTTTGGACTTCACATGTGTATTCACTGTGACAAAACCTTTCATTTGTTGTTTAAAATTTTTAACTCTTGACCTTGGCTTTAAGTTTAAAGTTTAGCCCACTTTTTAAAAATTTTAACCTTGACCATATAACTTTTGACCAGTTAGAGCTTGAGCTTTCATATTTCAAGTGTATTCCATGTGATAAGACCTTCTTTGAATACCAACACTAAAATGCATGTTAGGACTTAATTAAATCAAACCTACCCAAGTTTAATAGCTCATAATTCATTCACCTGCATAAGCCTCTTTCATATAAACAGGTTCATTTGCAAAATCATTCACACTTTATTTTGTTCAGGCACTGCAAACAATGCAAAGGATACACATAAGAAATATTAATATGCTTGATTTTTTCTGTATTTCCCCTCTGATCAGCCAAATAGTGACACTTAAATGTATGAAAATTTCTTACAACTATCTGCAATCTATCTGCCTGTGAAACCTCAACTCTGAAAGTAAACAATATTTTTTTGCAAATAAAATCTAAAATATGACAAATATTTTTTCAGGAGACTTTTATGTAACTTTTTAAGAGAACTAACATGATCGATTGCCAGAATTTCCAACACTTTTGCAGGAGTAGTTTTTGTATACAGTAAAACTTGTTTAGTACATGTATTAACAAATTCATGGATATAGTGAAGTTATCTTGAACCCCCAGCTATATTAATTTAACAAATTCCTAACAGGAATATAACGAATTATGGATATAGCAAAATATTTACATTTGCTGTGTTTTTCTAGTAAGCTAACAGTGAAATTGATTTGATTACCATTTTTGCATATAAAACTTAAAAACATTCCAAGTAATTTCATTGGTCCCACTGACTTTGTTATAATCAAGTCTTACTGTACCCAAAATTTTAAACTTGTTTCATGTCTGTGAGCATGTATGGACTCTACTTTTGGAATTTTTTTAAGTCTTAATTTCTTGCTTCTGCTGACTCTGTCTTAGGAGAACTCTGCTGTTCACCTCAAAGGACCACAACTGCTGTCTACATCAAAGGTACATAACTCTGATGTCTCGGGAGGTTGTCTTGACTGGATAGTAACATGCATATATGGTGAGAATACAGGTCCATTTTTAACAAAGAGCACAGTGTACATGTTGCCATTATGCAAAAATATATGCAAAAATATACTCAAATTTGGTTTAACTTAAAATTTATATAGCCCTATTAGTTTATAAAGTACAACTTACAGTAATACTTTTTGTTGAACTTTAACAGGTGATTTTAAGCATGACATGTGCACCTAAGCTATACATATACACCGGGGGGGGGGAGTTTCCTTCTTTGTCAACAGTTTCACATTATGTCTGAATGACAACACCCCAGTAACAAATAAAAATGTCCTACTAAGTCAATACAGAAAAGCCTTTTCTACACACCAGCCAGCTAAAATATACATCTAAACAGCATTTATTACAAATTAGTCTTATCATTTCTCAACTTAATGTTGTACTTAATCAAAGGTAGTTTCAATCTAACTGACAAAAAAATTAAGAAAGTAAACACCAGTATGAAGCATTAAAATTGAAATAAAGTTACCCAAATTGCTCATCTATTTTAGTGTTTAAAATTTTTTTGAAGTTGAATAAAGTCATATAATCATGACATCTGATATCTGACAAATTTATGCATAAACCATGCAGATGGCAGATCAACTTCAGCAATTATATAAAATTTCCAAGGACATACACCACAACTGAAGATCAGTTTCTGTAAAGCAACTAGAACTCATCTGATACTATTGCACATTTTAATTTTTGTACTCTAGCTGTAACATGAATAGAGTATTTGTTCTTTATACAGATCAAATTTATAACACCTGCATTTAGAGCTAGAAAAAATAATAGGGCATTATGCCCCTTTCCTGCTTTTCAATGAAGACATGTACATTTAGTACAAGAATAATTACAATACATCATATTTTAAAACAAGATATGTGTGTGAAATATTATCACGATTATGCGCCTGATGGAAAAAAAGTTAAAAAAAAATTTCTTAGCATGTAGGTCACAGTCAAGGTCACAAGGTCATTTTGACCTTGGTGTCATTTGAAAAAACACAATTAGTGGTCTATGCATACCAAATATAAAGTCTCTATCTCCTGTGGTTCAAAGATTATGGTGAAAGTTTGAAAAATGTTTTTTAGCATATAGGTCACAGTCAAGGTCACGAGGTCATTGACCTTGATGTCATTTGAAAGAGCTTTATTATAGGAGTATATATATGCACACCAAATATGAAGCCCTATCTCTCAAAAGTTCTGACAAAGGTCAATGTTGATAACAGACAGACAAACAAACAATCCGGTAGACAGACAGACAGACAGGACAAAAACAATATACGCCCCAGATCCTTAGAGCCATGTTTGATTCATACACATCACCTTAGATAAGATTCTGTCATCAAACACTTCATGTTCCTCTATTATATATCATGTAATATATTTTCATTTATTTCTAAAGAAGTATTACATCTAAATATTTATTTCTAAATATCACTAGACATACCTCTTTCTATAGTCAGATTGTACTGATTATGAATTTATGTAATCCCGAATGATGCTATAAACTCTTTTACAATTTTAAAAATTGCCCAGTGACTGAACTAATTGAACTCATTTAAAAATCTGTTTGGAAATAATCAAGTCAAAACTTTTAATGTTTATATTTAAGAGCTTACCTTTAAAAACTTCAGCTGATTGCATATGAGTGCATTATGAAATTTAGCAATATAAAACTGCTTACATCATTATAAATCCACTTAAAATAAATTCTTCTCCAATCTAAGATCAACCAAATCCTGTTCAACCAAATACTGTTCTATAAAAGTACCTTTCATGGTGAACAGAAAAAAGAAAATGTACCTGTATATTTGTTTCGAAATCCAAGTCTATACATATGTTTAAAACAAAATCACAATGCCAATATACCCTACCTGTAAACAACCTTCCAAATTGTTATTATTCTCCACAACTGTGATTAGCAATTTAAAAGGGCTAGCCTTTTGTCATGGACCATCAGTAACCATTTTCTATGGTGCAGATAAGAGATAGGTATCTCCCAAGTATTAAATGACCAAAACTAAGTGATCATGTAAATGATTGCTGTGCTCTCTTGTATCTGAACTGTATGCATGTTTCTGACAGCAGTCGTAATGAAATGACATCCTCAAAATGCTTTGCCACTTCTATCCTATGTTCATCTCAGTCTGATCATGATAATTACATCGCCTCAAACTCTTTTTAAATGCCAATATTTAATGTGACATCAATACTAATTTGTAATTGGCTGTGTGCAAAATCATATTTACACAATGAAACCTAAACTAATTCACATTAAGAGGTTGGCAACTGCTTTGAACTTTCCATTAAATACATTAAGTGCACCCAACAGGCAAAGAGACTTCCAACTGTTGAAGTTTTAAAGAGTTAACTCCCTTTAAGCATTCAGAGGAGAGAGAGAGCATTAATAAAAGAAAATTAATGAGTATAGAAAGTCGTAATAAATCAATGTAGGTTTTAAAAACACCACCCAACATCAAAACAACAGATGTAGAGTTAAATTTACTGGAGGGCTTAGAAGCAGCTCAAATAAATATACTGATTCATTATGAATTCTGTAAAATCAGACATTTAAACATTATAGAATGCAGAGTTCAAATAGTTTAACATCCAAAACTATTTTTCTAATAGCATTTATATAGATGCAATAAATTTTTTAATTATTAAGATTAAATTATTGTAAGTTGATGTATTTTTTAAAAATCTAGCAGTTTTAAGATGTGTACTCACTGACTTAATTACACAAAGTTAACACCTGATATTGAGATACCTACAGGAAGTTGAATTTCACAAATAAAACAAGTAAATCATATCCCATCCATCAATTTCTCTCAAAATTATTTTTAAAAACCATCCAAAAATCTAAATTCATGACTGACTTAAAAAATCCTACCTGAGAAGATATACATTGGAGATAATCTGACACTTAAGTAGTTATAAAATCTTAAGATCAGCAACAGCCACTACACCATTACAAGGTAGTAAACTCCTTATTAAAACGGAAACACAGAAAGAAAAACACTTCCTTCCTATTTTTTCACTGAACGACCCTCCTTTGACACTTCACACGAAATTAGCTCCACCTGGACTTAAAAAGATAAAGCTTCCCCAATGATTATTTTACTCCACTCACTGATATAGCCACAATAATACGGAGAGATCACCCCCTCACTGATATAGCATTGTAATACGGAGAGATCACCCCTCACTGCGGGCCCACCGAGTATGATCTCTCTACCTGTAACACTGTATACATCTGGAGGTAAAGAACAAATCTACGTACTGAGCTTTATAATTGTAGATGGCACTGACATGTGTTTTGTGTGGCGCTCCAAAGATGCAGGATCTGGAACTGAGCAAGACGTGAACACACTCAAGGCATATTTATCATGAGAGAAAGCATTTTTTTTTTTGTAGGAATTTTCCTTTCAATATGTCATCTCTAAATTTAGTTTTTATACATTAAAACAAATTAACCAAACTGTGGGGGTGTGTTTACAGAGTTTTGTTTTAGAGAAGTCATGTTTTTTGTCAGGAAAAATCCCCAGGCACATTTAAGCTATCATTTGTCAATTGTTTGCAAATTCAACAGATAAAAACACTGTCATTAAAAAATAACAAATCATTTAAACAAAGAGGTAGGAAAACACTGGATGCTTTCCCAATTCTGCAATTAAAATTTTACAATTACAAATTTATCTAACCATTTTCACAAGAAGGTGCTTATAAATTAAGACCTTAATGAATATTTTACAGCTATTTCCGTTAAGAAAGTTAAATTCTAGTGGCATTTGTACTGTGATTCAGTCATATTAAAAATCTAGAAAATAATTGTATATAAATTATTTAACCCTTGAACATTATATTTAACCATAATTTGTGCCTTACCTGCTGTGGGTGTTATGTGTACCTATAAGTGCAGAAAATGCAAAAAACTTGTCCTACGTAAGTGCATGCAGACAGAGATTTATGCATACTTTATCCCCTCCCCGAAACCCCCATATATCTTACAAAGCACAAGCTATCATGAAGTTAAACTATCAATAAATCATCAGCTCAAATTCTCCATATATTCCAAAATCAATGTACTGAACTTAGGAATGAGAGCTGGACTCTATCAATGAACAGGACATAATAATGCACACAAGATTGGATCATGCATTCTGAAAATGATTATCAGGAAAATCCTACAATTATACTTAGAAAAATATCTTGAAAACATATGCCACACTTTTGTACATTACGTAAAATTACATAGAAAAAGAAAAAAAAACTAATAGTTATCAGAAAGATAAGTTACCTGCTGCAACACATTTTTTTTCTTCCTAATCTTGGAAAGATGCCACAAATAAAGATGTTATTTGTCAAGATTCATTAGATTTCTAACACTTTCAACCTCTTAATGATACAGAAGTTTCCTCCCTTTACTCTCTCTCCCTCTCTCTCTCACTGTTGGTCTTTCTCCCTCTTTCTGTGTGTGTCTCTCTCGCTATCTTTCTCTCTCTCCCTCTCTCTCACCTGTCGGATTTTCTTGAGATATGGTGAAGACTTGAATCCACCTCCAGATAACTCACTGGATCCTGAACTGTCACTCAGATTCTAAAAACAGTAAAGTTCTTATGATTCCAACAGTTTTTGCCATCATTTTGTGAGTAGTAGATTTTAAGTGACAAAAAGGCTTAATTGCAGTTAAAATCAGCAACCAAACAATGACTTAGAACTTTTAAGTCATATAACACCCTCCCTCAACATTCTCATTGACAATCATTTTTAGTAAACGTAAGTAGTGCCTTCTCGTTTTCTTCCGAATCTTCGCTATACCAGTTTACTAGTACATATAACTACCGTACTAGATATATTACGTACGTTCTCGAACTGGAATATTATCTTTGCATTAATTAATTTTGTTTGTTGAGTCTCAAACAATCAATATTTATGTCATTATGAAAGAAATTTGTTAACTTACTTAAGAAAACATTAATCAATAATCTGTTTTTTGGACTGTGCCTCATATGTATACTTTGAAATTCATACTAGAAATCAAGAGGATAATAATTCCCTATTTTATGATTCCTACCAGTTTCTCTAGCTGCCTGATCAAGTTACTGGTCCCAGTAATGCTGTCCTCATCCTTCTCCCCCTCCTCTTCTTCTGTCGTATCTTTTCCTTTATCTTGACCTTTTGACTTCCCAACTTTGACCTCATTCAACTCGTCCTTTTTGACCTTTGAACCTAAGACCTCCATTTCTTCCTCTTTGACCTTTGACATGTCAGCGGTACTTCTGTTTTGGCTGTTGACGTCAGGGATGGTGGGTGGAGATGTTGTTTTGATGTGCTCTATGACTGCTCCATCATCAGAGGAGTTTAAGGTGGTAGAGGCTGATATTGATGGATTGACGCTTATAGCAGAGGGCACTGCTAAGGTTTTGTTGTCAACTGAAGCAACATAAACGATAAAAATTACAAGATGTGCATTTGAAAAGTAAACACTTCATGATTAACCAATTTCAATAAAAATGAAATTTGACAGAATTTTATACACAGAAATGTTTCAGAGAAGTTTATAACATACCTGTATTATTCCTTCCAGATCTTGTTACCTGGATAACATCTGGTTCTTCCTATAAAAATTTTATTTCATGGAAAGTGAAAAAAAAATGAATTTGTATCTAGATACATGTTTTAGACAAAATTACCAATAAAGATAAGTTAACAGATGTCATTGAATAATTCAGCTTTGATTCAATATAAAATGTCCTTATCAGTTCATTGAGGGTCATTACGTTTCGTTGCACTTTTCTTCATAATAAATCAGATCAGAAGATTTCATGACTGTGCAATAATAAAATAAGGAAATTTTCTATAGGACATTCAACCTTTAGAACGTAATAGTTTCCACCTGCAAAATTGTACATGATTATATCTTATTTAATACTGAGAACTTTCAATTTTACATTAATTCACATTTCTAGTAAATTAAGTGCAAATATATTTTTATTGGAATAAATCATATATTTATTATGTATACAGAATCTTCACAACATAGATTCCACTTTCCACATGTCATTACAAAAACTGCCTCTGAGTACAAATTTTGGTAAAGAAAATTTACTGAGCAACTGTATAAAATTTATTATTTTTACATTTTGCAAGAGATGCACTTTGGAGTTATTTCCCTTTAACTTTTGTTGATTTAGTGCATGCACAATGTACTTACAGGAGTGTCATTTAAGTCACCAGATCTACAAATTACAAGAAAAGGTGTGATGAATAGTGACTTGTGATACAAGTAAAGGTAGCATACATAAATACATATATGAAATAATGTCCCTAAAAGATAAAATAAAATAATTTTTTCTTCGTTAATAAACTTAAAATTTTTTTGTCTGAGAGTGACATATAATTCAAAGATTCAAAATAAATATAGAAATGTGCTTATTATAATACAAATTGTTAAACAATAAAATATTTAATGATAGATGACTAAAGTATGCAATATATATACCAATATACACAATCCCAGGGTTTTGAAAGACTTCTTTTTAATCATTGAAGGAGTTAAGTTGATTATTAAGAGATAACAAATGATGTGTCATACACTTCTTGATCAGATAAGCTCACCTGAGCTTTTTGCACAAGTGTCCTCAATTTTTTTTTTTTTGTTTGTGATTAACAAACATCCACCTTATATTTTAAAATTTTGATTATTTTTATTTATCCTTTAGACTTGAACACAACGGCAAGTTGTAAATACATGAATCGCTTTACTTGAACCATTTTTCAAAAGAATCTAAGAGATTTACAAGACATACATGTACCTCTGTTTAAGACTGGTGTCCTCCAGTGTATCTGCACTGTCATCTGCATTGTCCCTCCACTGAGTCCCAAACTCTCTGCTTTCATCCCCCATCCGTCCATCAGGAAAATCAGGGTCCTGGCCACACACCTCTCTGTATTTGTTGCCTGTCTGTCTGTCAGTGTTATCACCACCACTTCCACACAAGTGTTTAATCATGACATCACAGTGGTTATGAGAAGTATCCGTACAAGTCAGGTAACTAGAATTCACAGTAAAATCACCACCACACCCCACAATACCGGGACCTTGTACACTATCACAGACCGAGTAACACAACGGGGTGGAATTCTGGGAATATGACGAGATACCATGAGACTTTGACATGGATGTGGAACATCCCTCCACGTAATCATATGAAGAAACATAAGACTGATAACACTCCCCACTCTCCTTTGTCATACTAGGAGGTAAAATTTGAGTTGAGTTCTCGGTGACCTCCCCCTCCCGGTCCTCTCTCTGACCCCCCTCGATGGCCGCCTGGAAGCTGCCACTGCGACATCGAGGGTAGTGCTGTTCCCCAGGGGGACAGTTGTGATTGTCAATGGCTGCCTGATAACTGTGTCTCCTCTGTCCCCCTCCACTGTACCTGTCACACAAATACCCCTCCACTTGACCCCCACCATCGTCTAAATCCCCCTCATTATCCCCCTCCTCATCTAACAGTAAATGTTCCAGAGGTTGCTTCATGTTCGTTCCATCTGTACGTGTGATGTTCTGTACAGAAGGTAACTTTGACTGATGTTCCTCCTTGACAGCTTGGGTCTGTGTGACTACAAGGTCAAAGGGCAAAACACCTACAATGTAAGTGACCTGTTAAAATCCATTCTTCACATGGTAAATTTTAATCTAGAGGTACAGTGATAAAGAATTTAATACCTCCCAATTTCTTTACAGAGACTTTTTTCAATTGTGACCTTAATTGAATTTGTCCAAATGACCTTTCTTAAAAAATATAACACATCCTCTGGTCATAAGTAATCTTTTTTGCAAAATACTGTATACTGAATTTAATGATCTCCAACGGGAAACTATCTATCTCTAAAGAATTTTAACAAGTTTTCTGCCATTGACCTTGAACTTGTCAGAATGACCTTGTGTCATAAACAAACATTGTACCAGCAATGAGCTTCAAATGATTATTTAATACAAACTTACAACCCAGAAAAGTTACAAAATAATATTTAGAACTGCCATGCTCTGATCTTGTGTCCTTCTCAAGTCATGAGCAATCTACATTATATCAATGATATTCCATTACAAGGCTATAACCCAGAAATAAATTTATATACTGTTTTCCTTTAGACCTTGTCAAATGACCTTAGTTCAAGATCAGGACATACAATTAGGCCATTCATAATCTTTATATAAAGTATGATAAACTAATTCTTTGTTAAAAAGTCTGAACAAGAATTTTTTGGCTAGTGACCTTGAAATTGACAAAATAAACTAAATTAAATAAAAAAAATAAAGTTGGCACAAGATTAAAGAAAAAGACAAATATCCTTAAAGCAGTAAACTGCTCTCATTTATAATATGAATAGGTGGATCATGTTTGATGAAAATATTTTATTTCTTTGAATATCAGAAACTTATAAGGGAAGGAATTAAGGTCATGGTCATTTGAAATGTCAAGATCAGAATACAATGACTCAGATGAAATTTTACCAAGATTGAAGCTTGATAATTTACTTTAGAGACTTTCTTTACAACAGAGCTAAGAACTTTTCAATTTTATTATGTGATCACTCAAATGGCTTATAGAAAGTATGTTTATTTTCAAAAAGAGAAAAATAAACAAAAGAAAACTTTTCATTATTTAGAACATGATCCTAGAAACAATTTTTTTGGTAACTTACCACTCATGTCCGAGCTTTTCCTTGGATCCCTACACTCTCCTTTTCTGGAGTGGAGGAATGAAAGTGACTGATGGCTCCTCATCTGAAATCAATATCTATTTTGTTTTACTATCTTCGTTAACCCTTTGCTTTAATTAAACTTCATGACACTGTCACATTATCTGACAGCCTCTTTTCACTGCAGTAACTACTTCTTGGCTGAGAATTTTCATTATAGGGATAACTTTCTGTTCAGTAAGATGTAAAGTCTGTTATTATGACAATGTCCTTTTGAAGAAAAGAAAAAATTAAGTTATACAAGACTGTAATTTTATCTTAAGTTCTTAACAAAAACAATTTTTTTTCTTCAGATGAAAGGTAGATCTGAACGGTTGTGATTAAAGAATAGGAGAATTTTACAGTGATTAGCTATGACCTTGACCATTAACCTAGAAATCTGGGTAAAAAAAACCAACACATCCTATACCTTGGAAGTAAAGTTTGAGTCAGATAAGGGCCAAGGGGAGAAAAGAAATGAATGTCATGCAAACAGGTTTTCTGACCTTGGCCTTCGATCTAGAAAGTTGGTTGAAGGTCACTGCAACCCTCAACCCACAGGCACTTTGTGGATATTTGCCTGCTGAGCCCAATTGGCCCAAGAGGAAAGAAAAACAAGCTCTAGACAAGGATTTTACACAGACAAAACAGGCAATTATAAGTTTAATATACAGCAGATATCCGGACGCCAGATATCCCGATGTTTCAGTGTCTGGACGATTTTCTATCGGGACGAAATTTTTAAATGTTCTAATGCCTTGTTTAACTGGTGATTCAGGTATCCGTACGCTTCACATATCCGGACTTCTTGACTAGGAACCAAAGTGTCCGGATGAATGAGGCTCCACTGTATATGTATATAAAATTATTTAGAAATGTGAACTTTCACCTTGCATAAGTATGACCTTGACTGAACATGATGAGAGTGATATTTCCTGAAAACAATACCTCTAGGTTAAATTTTCACAATGGTCACAATCCTATATGATTGCGTCCATGTGAAAAGGGTCCTTATGGCAATTTTTATGCATTTTGTGTTTTTCACGGATTCTGATAGAGTAAGGTTAGAAGTTGTCAAATATGAATTTTTACGGTCCTACGTCTACTCTAAGTAGGTTTTTTCTTCATTTTTATCAAATATACTTTAACAGGTTAATAATGACGTCATTTTTTTCAACAACGTCAAACGTTTTCAGAGTGAACGTTAAATGATTTTCTTCTGTAATTTTACTACGGTGATTAATAGTTGTATAATATTTTTTATTTTCCCATGCACATTATTTTTGTCTAATTGTCTCTTTTAATTATTAATAATTATCTAATAGTTATATACATTATGGATTCATCAGTTGTGTTTAGTATTATGAGTGAGTGTTTGTTTTACATTTCTTTTTTCTATTACACCAGGGGGGAAACCTGAACAGCGGGCGACATCCATTCTTTTTTTTTCAAACAATTATTTTCTCAAACAAAATATTTACTGGTAATCCATGCAAGAGTCATTTGATAAGCCTGTAGAATTCATTTGAAAATTATTTTAATTTAAACGTTGCCTGATAGCCCATAAACGATATATCTTTGGCCATATACGTGAAAATTAGTTTTTTTTTTTAAATTAACATTACGCTACCTAAATGCTACTGCGAAGTGAAAATTTTTTACTAAATTTTATATAAAGAAAGATTAATTGTGAAGTTTGGTACATGTGACATGTAATTAATACACAATAGACAGTTAATTTAAATTATGGTAAGTATATACGCTTTTTTTTTTGAAAATATAATGTAAAAATGTTTTATATTAACCGATCAAAAGATAATTTTACAAACAAATGAAACTTTAACAATCATTTACACAATAGATAAACCCAGAATTAACATTTGTAGGATTATGTGTGCGTTGGTGAAGGAGGGGGGGGGGGGGGTAAAAAATCTAAATGGCAGAAAACAATTCTTGTGAACACGAGTTAAAATAAATTTTAAATAAATACATCAGATGTTTTAGGTGCATGCTGACATTCCAACTTGCAGATTCACTTTTTTATTTAAAACAAAATTCTTCATTTTATATTTGTACTTTAATTGCCATTTCAAAATCACAATGGTAAACACATGAGCCTGGAACTGAATTGCTATGAATTTATTGTTATCATGTATATAATGATACCTAAAATTAAAAAATCTGGTTTTATTTTATGAAACGGAGGGTTTTAGAAGCACACCCATAGAATTAAATTAAAGATGCCATTTACGGTTTATTTGTATAGCAGGGGTGGGTTAAAGATAACATGTAATTGTTTATCTAAATATACAGTTAGTTGAATATGACTGTTTTGTCTCTGACAATTGTCTGTGAACTGGCTGAGCTTTGAAATGTCATTCTAATGTTGTTTTCTAATTTTATTCCATAATGTGAGTTTTAAAGAGTATGAATTCCATTCTGGTCCTGTGCCCAGGGACATAGCAACAGGGGGAGGGGGGGGGGGGGGGGGGGCTGGCCTTTCCCCAACCTTACTTGTAATATAGGAATTGATAATTACTGCACTATTAGTGATCTGAAAACATAGTATAAATATTGGTACTGAAAAGTTTACCCCCCCCCCCCCCCCCCCCCCACGAAATAGGATTTTCGACTTTGTGCAACATTAACCTTTTTTTTTGCTTGTCAACTTTTTCGGGGAATTAAAAAAAAATTCTCTGTGCCTCCCCCCCCCCCACTTTCAAAAACAATCTTGGATATGCTAAGCCTTGTAAAGCCTATACATGTTACGGAAATATATAAGGACACCCCAACCCCATCCCCTGCACTGCAGCCAAAATAAAACAAAATGCAAGCATATTGTTGCGGTTTTATGTCATGTATTTCAGCATTGAATTTTATTTTCTGTTAGCATTTACATGTAGAAATAAAACCCGACCCAGAACTTATAAAGATTTTTTTATCAACCAAAACAAATAAACAATTATTGAGGATATTTAATAATATTTATCCATAATTTGATGGCAGGTTAAACAATATATTATTCCACAATTGAGATTATAAGTTCAGTGATGATTGAGTTTTTAGCATGATAATTGATCTGTTAAGAGACATTCAATGCTGATCGAGCTTTTATGAAAGACAAACTTCGGCATGGCTTAAAGAATCATTTTAATGCTTAAAACATTTGAACTCCGTATAAAAAAAATTGTAAGTACCAAAGAGTTACATGTATATTAAACTTGGAGATCTTGAAAATAAATAGCTATACATGTATATATAGTTTAGCGAACAAAAATGATAATTCTTTCATTTATTATTTCATTTGTTTAATATTAGTTAAATAGATTCAATATAAATATTTTTAAATTCTCTCTCTCTCTCTCTCTCTCTCTCTCTCTCTCTCTCATCAGATTTGCTTGACCAGCTCTATTAAAGTTAGAACATTAAGAACATTAAAAATTAATTTTATGCTTGTTTTAATTTCTAATTGAAGTGTCTTTGTGCAACAAGAATATAAGATAAAACAACATTTTTAAATTTTAATTTATTTAATTATGATTATAAGGACAGCTTTACATGTTTATTCTTTTTTTTTTAAAATGCAATTCGTCACGAAATTATTTCATGCCAAAAAAAAAGCCATAGATAAGAGATTTGAAAAAAAAATTCTGTCTGTTCAATTTTGCAGTTTTCTTTTTTTTTTTTTTTTCTTTATTTTTCCTTTTTCTACATTAACCTTATTCCCAAAGTAGAACAATATTTTTTTATTTAAAAATTCATAATTATGATGACGATTAAAAGTTTTTTTATTTGGTTATTAAATATGTCCTTTACAATGAAATGCAGCTGAAATGTGAAAAAGTACAATTAAAATAATGAATCTGGTATTACATCGATTGTTGACGTTGGAGTTATCTCTCCTATTTTTATTTATAGAAAATACAAATAATGATGATATAATCTTGACATTCTTGCTAGATTTGTAAAAAAAAAAAGCTTGGAAGATGTATGTTTAGTTTCAACATTTGTACAAACAATTTAACAACAGTTTAAGCAGTATGCACCGATGAATCAATGTTTACAAGTGATCGACGCGATCGCGATGTATATTTGAGAGTGGTGCAGACAATTTTCCTTTGCAATTTTTTACGATATACCCTGTCTAAGATGTATTCTGAAAATGGTATAAATATGTAAATAAAATTTATCTAGAGTATGAAGGTTCAATATGAAAAAAAACTTCTATAAAAACGCATGTATAGGAAAACTATTGGTGTTATAGAGACGTATTTAATAATGTTTGTTAAGAAACCAGTTCTAAATGTTTTTATTTAATATTTATATCTATTAAAATCAGTGGATTAGGAGATTCAGATATTGATTAAATTAATTCATAAATGAAAATAAATTCCACATGTTGGAAACAGCGATAAAAACTCTGGATGCGTCAAACATCAAAACACGTTGTTAAAAAAAAAACTGCGTCGAAGTTTTGCAACGTCACATCTTTATGAATTTCTCTGTTTTAGCAAAAATGCCATAAGGACCCTTTTGTCAAATCATATTATTAGAAAAAAATTCTTTGATTTTCTCTGTTAGCTTGACTTACCTCCAGTACTGCTTTCTCTGCCTCTAGGTCTTTCACTTTAGTTTGCTGGTTCTTAATATCTCTGTGTGCCTTCTCTACCTCATCCACCAATCCATTGACTTTACCTACACATCAGAAAATATTCTTATGAAGCTTTCAAATAAGTTTAAGTAGTTCAAAAACTTAGGACCAATAAGTCCAAAAATAAAAAGTCTTGTTTCCTGCTACCCGACCTACCCTATTTTTTTGCACCCAGCCCTAAAGTTTTTATTTAGTTTTTGAGGAAAAATCGAAAATATCATGACCCCAAAAGTGAAAAAAATATACATTCAAGTGGTATTTCATGAAATATGTTTTAAATATGGACTTGCGTGAAAGACTACTTATTTTAAACAATAATATTGACCAATGACATGTTTAATTTGGTTTTGTAATAGTTCATATCCAACAAATACCATTGGAAAACAAATAAAATAATAAAATAAAATAATTTTCCGACCTACCTATTCTATTTTTTTAAGCTGGTAGCAGGAAACAATACTATTATTTGTTTTGGCCTAATGTAATCATTTCCTCTACATTTCATTAATTTTTTAAATCAGAGCAGGAAATTGGCTTTTCTAAAATTAATTTTAGCATTGTAAAAGTGGAACTTTTTTTTTAAGTAATTAAGAGAGATATCCTGAAAGACTACTTTTTTGATAGTCTGATGTCTAAATTGTTGATTGAAAACAAACAAATCATTACAGAATGCCCCTTGATTTCAATTTCTGTAGGTCGTAAAAAGGTCATAATAAACCAACCTTGCAACTTTTTGTTTTTCTCTGTTAGATCTTTATTCAAACTGAAAAAAAAGAAAAACATCTCATTATCTACATAGATTTCACATTCTTTATTAGTTCAATTAATAAATTTGAAAAATAAAGCCATGTGTTTTGAGAATCTAATTCAAAAACATTAAAAAAAAACTTGACTTAAAGAACTTTCCTGCCAGCAATCTTTGTTTAACTTATTCTTATAGATATTTTATAGAAAGATCTTTTTTTTTTTTTTTTTTACTACACACTGGGAATGAAAAATGACTTCAAATATTGATTTTCTTTCAACAAACAAAGTCAATCAAGTTTAAAATCTGTTCTAACTTCCTGCTTAAGCACTTTTAACATGTTTAACAACATAAATCCCAAAATAAATTCCTACTGGCCCTAAATCAATCTACTACCCTTTTTTGTATTCTTTCCTTTCCTTCATTTTTTTATATGGGAAAATTCAAACATTGCAAAACAAGTAATGCCAGTCATATATAAATCTCTGACGTTTCATCTGATCAGCTTTTGATCATTGTTTGTTCAGGGTTTGTCTCGAAATGAGCTGAGCTGTTGCAGGACAGCAATGGAAAATAAAGGATTATTTTTTTTATTTTTATCCAAGAAAAATAGAATTTAAAAAAATTCATTAAGATATCATAAGCCTTAGGTTTATCTATGAAGCTCAATCCTTAACCCTTAAAGCAAAACCATTGGGGTTAATTTGCAGCTCTGGAACTGTATCAATGACATATAACGTTATGTAAAATATGTTACATTCAAAAGTTCTGATGACATTTCAACGTATGAACAGGAATTCTGTTTAGCAAATATGCAAAAGTTTCTCATGCTTATAGAGTTATCTTCAGCAGCAGGCCATGATAGTTGAAGTATATTCCCATTGGTGAAACTCTTCAGAAATGAAAGACAATTTTACTGCTTAAAATCATGGCATTGCAATGATCAGGCAAGAAAGATGGCTAAGCAAATTGTAAGGAAAATGCAAAATCATATCATATACATTGTATTTTCTTCAACAAGAGGCCCATGGGCCACATCACTCTCCTGTTAAGAAACCATTTAAATATTCACTGTATGGCACATACTTATCAAGAATTAATCTAGGTTTTGGGGGAAACTATCCTTTCTGAAGAAATTTGGAAAATCAGCTACGGTCTGGGGACTATGTGAGCGAGTGCATTGCAAGCCCTGTAAATGTGCCCTAGATTAATCCCTGCTTGTGTTGCCAAAATTCATGATTACGCCCACAACTCCTTACCCAGATATTGTGCTAAATTTTGAATAGGCAAATTTATGTACTACCAAAAATTTGATTTGGATGCCTTACGAGTGACAAAACCCCTCTGTATTTAAACTATAAAACAGTTTGAAGTTCTTTGCTAATATGAAAATTTATGTGTGTCAATGCAGAAAAAAATACACTACTGTACAAATGCAAGCCCCATGAGCGTAGTTGTATGAGAAACCTAAATCTTATGAACAAATGCTGTTGTATGTATGTATGAAGGCCTGGACTCATTTATATGAAAAAATTGTGCTTCATAAAAATTCATTGTGTATATCTACTGTTAAATAATGAGTAAAACGTGTTTGTGAAACACTATGCACCAGGCGGCAACAAAGTTTGAAAAAGCTATTTTTAGCATATAGGTCAAAGTCAAGGTCAAAAGGTCACTGACCTTGGTGTCATTTGAAAGAGCTTAATTAGTGAGCGAATACCAAATATAAAGTTTCTACCTCTCATGGTTCAAAAGGTAAGGCAAAGGTTAAAGTTGACAAGAGACAGACAAATAGACAAACAGACAGACAGGACAAAAACAAAATATGCCCTGATCTATTGATACAGGTGCTAAAAAATTAAAATTGCAGTCATATTAAGTCTAAACACAACTAATATCAGATGATACCACATGATGGTCAGATGATAAGTACTGCTTGAGAATTTCCATAAACTAGGAAAATTAAGCAATATATCTTACACATCATAAATCACAATGCACAGGGTGTCTGACTCAAGAATTAAGCATGGCATGATCAGCTTCTGGTTTTGTTCATTTGACATCTCTTTATCCATTCACTGTGAGTATATATAAAGCATACAATCTAGATCTGATGTGAAAATCCTTGAAATGTATCAAGATTTTAATAAATGTCCATAAAAGTTCACTTTTAAATTAAATCAAGTTCCATTCTATGAAGCAAGGAGAGGAAAACATCAAGATGTAGGATGTCAGGTGTAATTCTTTTTTTAAGTACAGTAAGTCTTGGCTCAATGTGTTGAAATCCAAGCAAAAAAAATATTAATTAAATTTTAAAGTTGACAAATTAAGGGAAAAAAAATTAATCCTCCCACAGATTACAATTATTCCAACTCCCCAATCACACCTCCATGTCAAAAAAAAGTTTGCACAACAAAGGCCTTAAAATCCTAGCTCCATATTCTACATGTCACACAATAAAGAGGAAAGTTTCTCCGAAGTCGTAAATTGCTATTCCCTTAAGTTCCACATCCCTGACAGTAAGAAGTTACGTAGAGACCTCCTCTTAACAACTCCGAGCTTCCTCTCTCCCTCTCAGTATTGATTGGACCATCTCGTTAAAGATGGACCAACTGTCATGTATCACAAAGATCTGAATCCCTGTTCTGTTTATTTATTGTTAAACGAGGGACAAGCCGCAACAGCTCAATGGAGGCCCCCCGTGACGCACAGAAGAAATGATACCAAATCCAATAAAGACAAAAATTAATGTAATTTAGGGAAATTATTGTCCATGTTGGAAGAGAAAATAGGGACTTATAGATGCCGTGCTGTGACAATTAAGACTTACAATTCCAACACAAACAATCCATTTCTGGCTTTTGTCTTTTTTAAGTGTAATTAAGTGTTCAACAGTGAGTTGCATCAAATATTATCTTAAAGACATTCTTCTATGATTTCTTCAATTAGTTACGTTATAGAACGTTTCACAAGTCTGGCAAAAACTTCAGAACAAATCTATAATTCTCACAGAACTAGATAGTATGTCAATCAAAGGAGGCCAAGCTTTTCACACAAAATGCATCATTTTAGCATTGACCAAAAACTGATGTTGAACTTCATATACAAAATCTTATCTGTGTAGCATAAATGACAGCCTTTTTGCATTTATATAATCATCTATTCAGTACTGTATTTGAATATCTATCTGAGCAAAGAATGAAACCTCATTCCAAAACAGGGATTAATTTACACGGATATATTTGGCATTGCGTTAGATATTTGGGGGTAACCCGATATTTGGTGGTGAATGTATGTAATTTTTTTTAATACTATGATACATAATCAAAGTCTAGCCTTCTTAAGATTGGGATTTGGAATATAAATGTTGATGGAAAAAAAAATGGACTGTCTTGTGCAAATTTGAACAATCCCTGCTGTATTGCATTTATACACATTTGAAACATTACCTTTGTAGTTTATAGATTTCCAGCTTTAACACTTTCTCAGCTCCGGATTTTTTGTTCTTGTCCACAATGACAGCAGTTCTCTCCTTTCCTCTCAACTACATTATGAAAACATACAACATATAAATTTTCCTGTATCATACCATAACCATCAATAGTTACTTAAAACAAACTTTATAGCATCTGAGTTATGAATCAGACAACATTGCTATTTCAATCACTGTTTCTAAATTTGTACAAATTAATCAATGCATCCAATCTGACTTGCAAAATAATTTTTTAAGTTATACAGCTCTGATTCTGGTCCTGTTTATAAATACAATTTAAAAATAAAATAATTGATTTACACAGTAATCCCTAAATATTTTACTTTTAGTCAATCTATCTACATTTGATCTAAATTTACTGGTTGACTTTAACATCTTCTTTGCCTACTGATCTGAGTATTCATTGGCCAAGGAAAATATAAAAATTTAGTTAACCTTGTTGTAAATAAGGAATTTCTGACTTCTAGGTTATTTTTAAATTTGAAATATGAATGTAAAAAGAATGTGAAAGCAAAAATCCCCAGAACATCTATCTATGCATGGGGTTAAGAACTCATTACGTGACACAAATTGCTAGTAAGACCAGACCTTTCTCTCCAGAGACCTGATGTGGGCTCTCTCATTATACATTACACTGTTAGTGAAGAGGACCAGACCTTTCTCTCCAGGGACTTGATGTGGGCTCTCTCCTGGTCAATCTGCTCCTTCAGAATCAGGAGTCGTTTGTCTGTCACCGAGTCCCACGAGATTCCATTCTCCATCACATCGTCAGCCGCGTCCTTCAGAACCGCGTTCTCCTCTGTTTATCAAACAAAACGTATTAAACATCTAATAACAGGACAAGGATAACAAGAAGCCCATGGGTTACAATGCTCACCTGAGTCAGACTTCCTCTTAATGAGAAATTAATATGCACATATACACTGTAAATAAACCTATTGTAGCCTTTATAATTAACTTTAAAGCTACTGATGTCAATTATAAACTGATAAATTTTAGCTTTTTATAATAGCAGTCAGTTTATGTCTTTTTAAAACTTTGATTTCCTGTTGTCAAGAAAACCCCAATATGATTTAAGCAAAGACACATGGATTAAAAAATATTACACGGACAAGCAATGTTTGTAAATTTTTCCAAGTCCAAGGGGCATAAATCTGTCAAAAATCGAACCCAAAACAGAACCTGACCTCGATATTCATCTTATAATTCTGTATATTACATTTCGATTATCATTTCAGTATGTGCAACCTCTGAAGAAAATGAATGGAAACTGCAAATAATTAAAAAAAATTCTAAGTCCAAGGTGCATAACTCTGTCAAAAATGGCACCATCATAACCAAAACAAAACTTGACCTAGATATTTATCCGATAAATCTGTATACCAAATTTCATTTCAGTATGTGCAACGGTTGTGAAGAAAATGAACGGAAAGTAAGTGGACCGACAGACAGCAGCAAAGCAATAACTAAAGCCCTCCCTTTTTCGAAGGAGGGCATAATTAACAAGCATGTGTAATAGACAAGATCTATTGATCAATACTATTTCTTTGGATTTTTGACATGTCCTAATGCCATTTTCCATGATGTCTGAAAACTGAATTTACCTTTAAGCTTCTTAACTTTCTTCTTCTGGCTACTCAACCTGTCAAAATGAACAGAAAACAATGAACTCACTAATTTTGTGGAATTAGACATTTACTCAAACTAGAACTGTCCAAACCGGACAAAATACCCCCGCTGGGTTTTTCAGAAATAAGTTTTTACATAATAAATATATGTATCACACATGAATTATGAAATTTTTCTTCCAGTGACCTTGAAGTTCCCCAAATGACCTTGGGTCAAGGTCATGACACACCCTTGGGTCATGGGCAATCTTTGTGTAAATGAGAACCTATCAAGTTTATCCATAAGAAAGATATGGATCGGACACGAATTATAAAATTTTTCTTCTAGTGACCTTCAAGTTCCCCAAATGACCAAATGGGTCATGGGCATTCTTTGCATGAAATGAAAACCTACCAAGTTTATCCATAAAAAAGATGTGGACCGGACACGAATTATGAAATTTTTCTTCTAGTGACCTTGAACTTCCCCAAATGACCTTGGGTCAAAATCATGACACACCCTTAGGTCATGGGCAATCTTTGTGTGGAATAGTAGATTCTAATGTCCCTCCGTAAGAAAGATATGGACTGGACACGTTTGCACAGACAAACGGACAGCTAGACAGACAGAGAAGGTGATTCCTATATACCCCCCCCAAACTTCGTTTGCGGGGGGTAAAATAAGTTATTTAACTAATGCACTTTCAATTTGGTTTTTACTTAAGCTACAATTGCAGTGGTCACCCTCTGTCCAAGTTTACCTTTTATCTGCATCTGCTGACCTAGAGTGCTCACTCTTTGTAATGCTTGTTTTAGTCTGAAGAGAAGTTGTCACCCTTTGTGACAGTTTTACCTTTTATCTACATCTGTTTTGGCCTGAGCTAGAGTGGTCACCCTTTGTGACAGTTTAGACATTTGATCCTCCACTTTCCTGACAAACTCGGAGGTAAATGATCCGTCCCCTGATCCTCCCCCTGCCCCCAGAAATTCCCGGATCTCCTCCAACAAGGTCTCCTGTTTATTCTGGTATTTCTCCATCTGTGTACAGAACATAAATTCAAAGAAACAAAAGAACATATTGCATACCTGTTCAAAAAGTGAGGCAGTTGGACAATTTGCCACTATTTAAAGCCACAAACATTTAATGCACTTCAAATTTTTTGTACAGATAACTTTGAACACTTAATATTTCACATCAAGAAAACATTACTGATAACAATTTCTTTATCTCAAATAAATTGCTCTGGCCTCTGAACTGCAGAGAAATTAAAACTCAGCATGTATTAACAACAGAAACTTTTCTCTGACTTTATAACCTCTCTTGTGTTACACCTACAAATTTGGATACATCCATAGTGAGGTCATCTTTCAGTGACACAGAGTAAATACTAATGTTAGGATCACTCCCCTCCAGGTCTTCGACATCCGAGGAAAATGCAGGGAAGATGTGGTCCATTTCATCGATTTCCTTCTCACACAAGGGAGACGGCATATGATCCCCACTCTCCAACTATAAGAATTTTTTAAAAATTAAATTCTATAATTCTTACATAATTATGTAATGGTTTGGGCCATGGATAGTGGCCTAAATTGCTCAGTTGGTAGAGCACCTGACTGAAGATGCAGGGGTCCCGGGTTCGATTCCTTGTCCAGCCATGTACATATTCTCCTTTCTAGTTACAGATTAGATTCAATATTGAAAATGCATAAAACAAATAACCTGTTTCTAAATCATAGAATAGTGATATTTCTGTCACTGAGATGTTCAACTAATAGTTAAAAAATATCTTTATCTAAACAAGTCACTGTTCCAGCAGTGGGATTTTGATTGACCCAAGGGGTTTTTATATCCCTGTGAAATACTTTAACTGTGAGAACTATAAACTTCAAGTCTCCAACATGCTCTTATGGAGCAAATAATAAATTATAATCTTGACCTTGTTCCAATAATATACAATACAATCTACACTTGGAACACACTATACAATTTGACTGTGACATACCATTCCCTTGAGTTCCATACAGATGGAGCTGTTCTTCTTTATTGGAGTACTACAGGGAAATCTTGTAAAGGTGTCCTCCTTCTCTCTGTCCTCAGCTGTCTGTTTCAGGCTGAAAAACCAAGTAAATTCAGGAGCAATTAAGACAGAAGTCTTGATAAGATCAATAATCAACAATGTCACTACTGTCAAAATAGATAATTAAAAAACTCAAATAAAGAGGGAAAAACTCTTGACAAACTGCAAGAGGACCAATACGTAATTTCGCGACCAATGAGTACCTCGCAGTTATCTAACTTACTACCGCTCTTTTGCGGGGGAGTCAAGAAAAGTCTACATTTCTGGGGGCAAATGACATTGTTTACAGTAGTGACAATCGAATGATTCGAACAATTTAATGCCAAAATCACGATGATTTGCCAGATATTGAACTTCCAATAGTAGATCGTCAAATAAGGAAGGTTTAGAATATTTTATCTGCTTAAAAATGTGACAATTTTCAATGAAAATTTAACGAGAGGGGTCCGCTTAATTAAAAATGTCGTTAAAAATGTGACAATTTAGAACTGGCTCCTCTAAAAAATATATTAGGCTGGTTCAGCGATTGTTTAGCGAGGTATTCCACCAGGATATTTTACTTATCTGTCCTTATAAATGCTACAATGATCGATCTTGCATTGTATTGAATAGCACATTGCCCCCACCCAACAGACGATTCCTACCTCCTTCGCGAAAGAGTTCCACTAAGTTAAGTAATTGCGATATCAAGTATTAAAAATCAAAACATTTGATTAAAAGATATTTACAGATGAGCAAAAATCAAAACAAAGTTCTAAATGAATAAAGTTTCAAGAAAATCACTTCTTTTTTTTTCAATAAAATGACATGACTTGTAATACTGTAATACTCAGACTGGTTAAAGAAACTTGTACAATTTTACCTTATAAAGGCTTCTTTAGACTGGGTCAGCTTAGATTGAAGGTCAGTGTTCTCCATTTTCAGTTCCTAGAAAATAAGTAAAATGGTTTCTCAATACTTTTTTTCTTTAAATTTATCTCAATACTTACTTGAATATAAATTAGGCCATCTTTAACAAGAGGCCCAGGGGCCACAGCGCTCACCTGAGCACACAGGTTAGGAAAAAGCAATTATTCTCAGATCAGAAATGAAAGTTAACTGAGTTTTGAGGGGGGGGGGGGGGCTTAAATCTTAACTCTTAATCTTAACTCCCCATGATTTGAATAAACTAGAATCTACACTACCTGAGGATGATTTAATATAAATATCACTAATTATGGCTTTGAAGTACTTGAGAAGGAGATTTTAAAAGATTTCCCTATATATTCTTATGAAAAACTTTGATCGGCCATTTTGGCCCCTACCTTCCCCCTGGGGTCTGGGTCATGATTTGAACTAACTTGAATCTACACTACCTGAGATGATTCCACATTACTTTTATCTTTCCTGTCCTAATGGTTCTTGAGAAGAAGATTTTTAAAGATTTTTCCTATATTTTCCTACGTAAAACTTTGATCGACCATTTTGGCCCCACCCTACCCCCGGGGGTCATAATTTGAACAAACATAAATCTACACTACCTGAAGATGATTCCACTTGAGTTTCATCTTTCCTGGCACAGTGGTCCTTGAGAAGAAGATTTTTCCTATATATTCCTATGTAAAACTTTGATTGGCCATTTTGGCCCCTACCTACCCCAAGGGGTCATGACTTGAATAAACTTGAATCTACACTATCTAAGGATGATTTCACATGAGTTTTTATCTTTCCTGTCTCAATGGTTCTTGAGAAGAAGATTTTTAAAGATTTTTCCTATATATTCCTATGTAAAACTTTGATCGGCCATTTCGGCCCCACCCTAGCCCCGGAGGTCATGATTTGAACAAACTTGAATCTACACAACGTGAGGATGATTCCACATGAGTTTCTACCTTTCCTGGCCCAGTGGTTCTTGAGAAAAAGATTTTTAAAGATTTTTCCTATATATTCCTATGTAAAACTTTGATCGACCATTTTGGCCCCACCCTACCCCCGGTGGTCATAATTTGAACAAACATAAATCTACACTACCTGAAGATGATTCCACTTGAGTTTCATCTTTCCTGGCACAGTGGTCCTTGAGAAGAAGATTTTTCCTATATATTCCTATGTAAAACTTTGATTGGCCATTTTGGCCCCTACCTACCCCAAGGGGTCATGATTTGAATAAACTTGAATCTACACTATCTAAGGATGATTTCACATGAGTTTTTATCTTTCCTGTCTCAATGGTTCTTGAGAAGAAGATTTTTAAAGATTTTTCCTATATATTCCTATGTAAAACTTTGATCGGCCATTTCGGCCCCACCCTAGCCCCGGAGGTCATGATTTGAACAAACTTGAATCTACACAACGTGAGGCTGATTCCACATGAGTTTCTACCTTTCCTGACCCAGTGGTTCTTGAGAAAAAGATTTTTAAAGATTTTTCCTATATATTCCTATGCAAAACTTTGATCGACCATTTTGGCCCCACCCTACCCCCGGGGGTCATAATTTGAACAAACATAAACCTACACTACCTGAAGATGATTCCACTTGAGTTTCATCTTTCCTGGCACAGTGGTCCTTGAGAAGAAGATTTTTCCTATATATTCCTATGTAAAACTTTGATCGGCCATTTTGGCCCCACCCTACCCCAAGGGGTCATGATTTGAATAAACTTGAATCTACACTATCTAAGGATGATTTCACATGAGTTTTTATCTTTCCTGTCTCAATGGTTCTTGAGAAGAAGATTTTTAAAGATTTTTCCTATATATTCCTATGTAAAACTTTGATCGGCCATTTTGGCCCCTACCTTCCCCCGGGGGTCATGATTTAAAAAAATTAAATCTATACTACTTGAGGATGATTTCACTTGAGTTTCATCTTTCTTGTCTCAATGAATCTTGAGAAGATTTGTAAAGATTTTCCCTATATATTCCTATGCAAAATTTTGATTGGCCATTTTTGCCCCACCCTACCCCTGGGGGTCATGATTTGAACAAACTTGAATCTACACTACCTGAGGATGATTCCACATGAGTTTCATCTTTCCTGGCCCAGTGGTTCTTTAGAAGAAGATTTTTAAAGGTTTTTTCCTATATATTCCTATGTAAAATTTTGATCAGCTATTTTCGCCCCTACCTACCCCCTGGGTCATGATTTGAACAAACTTGAATCTACATTACCTGAGGATGATTCCACTTGAGTTTCATGTTTTCTGGCACAGTGGTCCATGAGAAGAAGATTTTTGAAGAATTTTCCTATATATTCCTAGTATGTAAAACTTTGATCGGCCATTTTGGCCTCATCCTACTCCCGGGGGTCATGATTTGAACAAACTTGAATCTACACTACGTGAGGATGATTCCACATGAGTTTCATCTTTCCTGGCCCAGTGGTTCTTGAGAAGAAGATTTTTAAAGATTTTTCCTATATATTCCTATGTAAAACTTTGATCGGCCATTTTGGCCCCTACCTTCCCCCACGGGTCATGATTTAAAAAAATTAAATCTATACTACTTAAGGATGATTTCACATGAGTTTTATCTTTCCTGTCTCAATAAATCTTGAGAAGAAGATTTGTAAAGATTTTCCCTATATCTTCCTATGCAAAATTTTGATCGGCCATTTTGGCCCCACCCTACCCCTGGGGGTCATGATTTGAACAAACTTGAATCTACACTACCTGAGGATGATTCCACATGAGTTTAATCTTTCCTGGCCCAGTGGTTCTTCAGAAGAAGATTTTTAAAGGTTTTTCCTATATATTCCAAAGTAAAATTTTGATCAGCTTTTTTCGCCCCTACCTACCCCCTGGGTCATGATTTGAACAAACATAAATCTACACTACCTGAGGATGATTCCACTTGAGTTTCATGTTTCCTGGCACAGTGGTTCTTGAGAAGAAGATTTTTTTAAAATGCCATTAATTTTTCTCTAATTCATAATTATCTCCCCTTGGAAAAGGGCCTGGCCCTTCATTTGAACAAATTTGAATCCCCTTCACCCAAGAATACTTTGTGCCAAGTTTGGTTGAAATTGGCCCAGTGGTTCTTGAGAAGATGAAAATGTAAACAAGAGGCCCATGGGCCACATCGCTCACCTGAGCACTGTGGCTAGGCTAGGAAAAAGTAGCAATTGGTTTATTATTGAAAAGTTTAAATCCAAAAATAGTCCCATGACCAAACATGGCTTTGCTATTCTTGAGAAGATGATTTTTAAAGATTTTTCCCATATATTTCTATGTAAAACTTTGGTCGACCATTTTGGCCCCGCCCTACCCCAGGGGGTCTTGATTTGAACAAACTTGAATCTACACTAGCTGAGGATGCTTCCATATAAATATGATCAGTTATGGCTTTGCTATTCTTGAGAAGAAGATTTGTAAAGAATTTTCCTGTATATTTTTATGTAAAACTGTGGTCTGCCATTGTGGCCCTGCCCTACCCCCGGGGGTCATGATTTGAACAAATTTGAATCTACACTAGCTGAGGATACTTCAATCTATAAATATGTTCAATCATGGCTTTTCTATTCTTGAGGAGAAGATTTTTAAAGAATTTTCCTATATATTTCTATGTAAAACTTTGGTCGGCCATTTTGGCCCCGCCCTACCCCCGGGAGTCATGATTTGAACAAATTTGAATCTACACTACCTGAGGTTGCTTTGATATAAATATGACTATTAATGCCTTTGCTATTCTTGAGAAGATTTTTAAAGAATTTTCCTATATATTTCTATGTAAAACTGTGGTCGGCCATTTTGGCCCCGCCCTACCTCCATGGGTCATGATTTGAACAAACTTGAATTTACACTGCCTGGGGATGCTTCCATATAAATATGACCATTCATGCCTTTGCTATTCTTGAGAAGAAGATTTTTAAAGAATTTTCCTATATATTTCTTTGTAAAACTGTGGTCGGCCATTTTCGCCCCGCCCTACCCCCATGGGTCATGATTTGAAAAAACTTGAATCTACACTACCTAAGGATGTTTCCACACAAGTTTTATCTTTCGTGGCAAAGTGGTTCTTGAGAAGAAGATTTTTAAAACATACCACCAAATTTTTATTAATTCCCAATTATCTCCCCTTGAATGAGTGTGTGGCCCTTCATTTGAACAAACTTGAATCCCCTTCACCCAAGGATGCTTTGAGGCAAGTTTGGTTAAAATTGGCCCAGCGGTTCTTGAGAAGAAGTCGAAAATGTGAAAAGTTTACAGACGGACAGACAGACAGCTACACAGACAGACGACGGACAAAATGTGATCAGAAAAGCTCACTTGAGCTTTCAGCTCAGGTGAGCTAAAAAGTTTACGACAACGACTACGACAACAACGACAGACAACGGACAAATTTTGTTTAGAAAAGCTCACTTGAGCCTTCGGCTCAGGTGAGCTGAAAATATGTTTGCTTTTCATAAAAGTAAGCATTACCTATATTTTGAAGTCTTTATTCCCTTTTAAAAATGAAAAAATCAAAACTATCAATTCCAAATTAAATACTGTATACAGGGTTATTTTCACCCCGTCTTATTTTCGCCCTTTCACACTTGCAAACAATTTTGCCCTGTTTTAAATTCGCCCAGTCATAGTTTTGTTTTAGAAATTATACCGTATTCTTTGAATTCGCCCCATTTTAAATTCGCCCAAATGAGAGTAGGGCGAAAGGGGCAAAAATAAAATGGAGGCGAAAAATTCCCTGTATACAGTATATTTTATTTCCACTTGTATTTCATTATATTAGCATCGACCACTTTTTGTCAGAATATACTTTTTATTAACCCCAAATAAGATAAAATCCCAATTACCTGAACAGTGTTTGACAAATACAGCAGCTGGTTCTGTTGATTCTTCAGCTCCTCAAACCTCTAAAAAAATTAAAAAACAGTGATTTCATATTTTTAAACATAATACTGTATGTGTATTTAAAATAGCGGGCTTCATATTTTAGCACCTTTAACGCAGACATCAATGCACTGCAGACATCTAATTCATGAATACCGCCAAGAGATAAATTATAAGTAGAAAATATGGCACAAACTTGTCTGGCGCTAATTTATGATTATGCCAACAACTCCAAATCCACTGACCGTGCTACATTTTGAAACCGCTAAATTATGTAGCATACAGTATATCATTTTTTTTAAGGGAAGAGTTATTGCCTATAATGTATCATCTTTGTCTCAGCAAGATCACAAAAGCTGGTGACTGTAATTCTCTTTCAAAGTAAAATAGAAGAAATTCAACATATAATAAAACTATATTAACAATTTAATTAAAATCAAAGCAATAATTAAATTTTTTAGTCAAGTTTTCCAATGTAGAGTAATAATGTTTCTATATACGGTACAAGATAACAAAGTTGACTTCCTTGGTTGGGGAAGAAAACTTCTTTAATCATTAATTATTATCAAGTAATGAATACATATGTGTACCTCTTATAATCGTTAACTCAATAACTGTGTATGACTATATAACTACAATATACTTCAAAATAAATCTACTGAGTTTCCAAGTTTTTCTTCAGAAAGCATGCATACAGTGAAAGAAGGTTAACTCTATAATTAACTTAAAAGGCCCAAAAACCTTAGTCACCCTTAGAAGCAAAACAAAACACTATTCAGAACTCATACATGTGTAAAATTAACAAAATTAAATTCATTAATGAGTATTTCCATTTCTAATTTTTTTTCTCTGTGATAACTCCTTAAAAATTAGTGGAGATTGTTTCTTGATATTTCTACCAGAATGTAAATTAAGCAAATCGATAGGGGCTAAGGAAGCCAAATATGCATGAAAATCTCGAGCAGCCATCTTTGTGTTTGATGTCAGTGGGTGGGGACTATTGAAATTGGCATAGGTGTATGTTCCCATGTAATTAAAATCTATTACTCTACATTTTTAAAATCTAAATCTACAATTTTCAAAATGAAATGGAAATATAAGTAATCACTGTCTAGTTAGTATAGCATGCTAGGGACATCAACGGCAGTGGGAAACACGGGATAATTTATGCATTAAGGGCTTGCCCATTATGCAAATTATCCCACATTTCCCAGTATCGTTGATGCCCTAGCATACTTATAATACTTGACTAGACAGTTATTCCTTAAATTTATTATATACCTAATGTGTATCACCCAATTTTACAGTTGAATTTACACTATCACGTGACGTCGTGATCCGACTTTCCGGATCATCAACATGTTGTTTTTTTTTAATCCATATCACCACATTCTGAAACTGATGACGTAGTACGCAGAAATATGACGTTATTTTCTTGCGCGTTAAAAAGTCCCTTGTAATTATGCTTTGTTTTATGAATAAATGTTATATATAGTTTTCTTTTGCTATATTTTGTGACATGAGGGGGTATATAATAAATTTATCATTATAACAGTAATTTTACAGTTGACAGGTGCGGATCATCAGATCAAACTCGACGCTTCGCGTCTCGTTAGATCTGATGATCCACGCCTGTCAACTTGACGTGATACGACCCTTCGGATCAAGTTACTGTTATAATAATATATATATATATGTTGCTCCAAGCAAACAAAATATGATGGTCAAGGATTTATGAACAAAATATTTTTATGCACTTCAGTCACAATCAGAAAGCAGCTCAATTGACTTGCCTGCTCTTGTCAGTGCTATTACACTCTGGTTTGTCAATTTCACCATAAAGACTAAACATTACAGTTGTAGCATACAACTCATTACATTAAACAGTTCTTCATAATTTTACAATTTTACATTTTTTTATACATTACCTCAGAGAGTTGAATTTCTTGTGCTCTTTTTACCTCTGTCATCTGCTCTATCTTGTGCTAAACATTAAAAAAAAACATTAATAATTATATTTTCATTCATCATATTATATAACATCTACCCCAGACAATTTCAGCTGTAAACAAAATTAATATTACCATCTTTAATTTAAATTTATTTGTGTGACATTTCAGTCGATTGCTGAAATTCTGCCAACACATGCTTACTTAATACCCATTAAATTGTTGGTTTTTCCTACTGAAAAGAGAGACCAATGGGCCACAATTCTCACCTGAGTCATTTTGCCAAGGCAGATGTTTTCCCTTGGCAGACTTTTCCCCTTATGTGTTTTACACTTATTCCTAATATACAATTATTATATACATTCATTGCATGATAATTAGGGAAATATGTAGAGTTAGGCAGCCAAGAAAAATCATATTCCCCAAAGGCTTCGCCTGAAACTTCACTACATATAAATATGATTGACCACTGAAGAGAAAATGAGGGTGAATTTTTTTTCAGGATTGGTCTCCACATTACCAACATTTTATTTTTTTTTTTAAAATACTATAAAATGTGGATTTCAGGCTACCTTTAAATGGATGTGTGCCAGCCAGAGAACCATAATTTTACTTATTTAGCCTTATACCTCATATTCAATGATATTTGCCTCCTGCTCTTTGTTGCTCGTCTTTAAACGATCTAAATCACCTGTAAGACCAGCTATCTGTTTAAAAAAAAATAATATTCAGAGATCTAAATCCACACACACAACTAAACAAAAAAAACTTATTCCAATGTTCTGATTTTTTACCATTCTGTTTAAAAGTAAGCTTGAAATATCTTTTTATTTGGTCATATTTGTTTTTCCAGTTTAAGACAAGAAACAGATTATGTTTCACGAGTGCTAATATTAATTTATACAAATCTCATACATGTACATTAATTCTCAACTGACCTGGAAGTGAAGTTCCTGTTTTTGGTCCTGAAGTCTCAAAATAAGCTCCTCGTTTTCGTTGTCCTGCTGTTGTTTCAACTGTATGGCTTCCTGTAAACTACAGACAGAGAATTCATCAGTGACAAGGCATTGTTTATAAAATCTGCTTATTAAGTATTTGTTTTTACCTATTAGTTTACCTGTATCTTGAAATCATTACAGAGATAAATGTATATTTTACAAATAACACATTATTATCCTATACAATGACCAGTAATGACAGACTTTGTAAAAAAAAATGAAAAGACTTTGTAAAATAATGAAAAGAAAATCGATTGATATTTTTCTTAACTAAAGCACATTTTACATTGTTCATGTATCAGTTGATGATTGGAAAGAAAGAGTTCTAAACACTGTGTAAATATTAGTAAAAGAGTGATAATTAAATTCATTTAATACTATATTGTGTAAATATGTGGCGAAAAAGATTTAATACCATTCATCCTTCAGGCTAATCAAATGATTGTAAAGGCCGGATTTTAAAACTGATTTTAAACCAATTCTGATTCTTTAATAAAATTATTGAATGGCTGACCATTTAGAACAATTCAATTGTAATTCATTTTGTTCAAAACAGAATTGATATTTAGGATGAAACCATTTAAACCAAGGTCCCATATCGCAGTAGGTATACCAGCATGAAAAACACTGTTTTCTCAACGCCTTCTACCCCCAAGTGGTGGCGATTCAATATTGGTGAAAAACGATGTGTGGGTCTATGTGTCTGTTTGGGGGAGGGGGGGGGGGGGGGGGGCATGGATGATAAAGAAAGGGAAGAATGGAATTAGGAACTTTGGAGGAAGAAAATAGAAGTAGGAACAGGAAATGAGAGACAGAGCAAGAAAATATCCCTGTTTACTACTTGACTTTCTTGACCAGGCTGTCATTACTCTCTGTTAAGTCTCCTCTTGACTGTAGATCTGCTGCTGTAGTGTGGTGTTTGGGAGGGGGGTGGGGGGTGAGGTGTGTGTGTGGGGGGAAGGTTACTTACTACTTTACCTTCCTGACTAGGCTGTCATTACTGACAGACTGTAGATCTGCTGCTGTAGTGTGGTGTTGGGGGGGGGGGGGGGGGTAGGTTGAGGTGTGTGTGTGTGGGGGGGGGGGGTTAATTACAAATTGACTTTCCTGACCAGGCTGTCATTAGTGGCGTTACTCTGGGTCAGGTTTTCCTCCTGACTGTAGATCTGTTGCTGAAGTGTGGTGTTCTCCTCTGTTAATTTACTGTTCTGGAACTGAAGCTCGTGGATCTTGTCCAGGTATTGTTGTACCTCCTCAGGAGGGGCACTCATCTGGTGAACTCCACTACAACAGTACAGTAAAGACAGTACAGTTCAAATGAAGTTAACAAAGTAAACAAACTAAAAACAGTACAGTAATCACAGTACAGTTAATATGGTACAGTAAACACAGTTAAGTATACACTGTACAGTTAAAACAAAAGTGAAGAAGATTACAGTTTCAACTTGTGATCAATCTTTTGAATACATTCAAGAGAAAAAGCATACAATAAAGACTCCTGATACTCTTAGAGCTTTCTCCTGCCAAATGACATCCAAGTTCTCCGTGAGAAAGCGTGTTTGTCAATTAATACAGTCAAATAAATGTACATGTACTTATTCAACATAATAACTATCCTTTTTCAAACAACAATGAAATCAAAACCAATCAAAGACTTAAATTTAAGGCCAAAAAAAAATTATAGTTTGTTTGGACTTGCCTCCAGCCTCATTGAAATGCCTCCTCCTGAAAAAATTTTATTGACCAAAAGTAGGAAGAATTTTTTTTATTTAATGAATTTATTTGCTGATTACATGTATCACATGCACCATACAAAACACTGAAATATAGTGTCAGATCTATGTAAAATTAGTTTTCTTTTGTTGATTGTAGATACTTTTTTTGAATGTCAGAAAATATATTTACTGTTTACTGAGATTTTTATCATAAAATATAATATTTATCTTCAATTATAAAAAAATAATAATTTCCCTCCCTCCTATGTCTGACACCCTTCGGGCTGCAATTCCAAACAAACATTATTTTAAGGGTGGCCTAAGTTAGAAGCTCACAATTTCTCATCCTGTCTGGAATATGATCCTAGGTCTGAACTTCCTGCTGGATCTGCCAAAAGAGAATTCAAATGTTTATCTTACACAGTGCATGTACAGATTCATAACTTGACTAATGACTACATGTGGAAAAAAAAAAACAAAGATGATGGCACTAAACTTGGTATGAGTAGGACATTAAAGATCCCCATACAAGCCTTTGAGAAATATATATTATTATAACAGTAACTTGATCCGAAGGGTCGTATCACGTCGAGTTGACAGGCACATATCATCAGATCTAACGAGACACGAAGCGTTGAGTTTGATCTGATGATCCTAGCCTGTCAACGAGTCGTGATGCGGCTCTTTGGATCAAGTTACCGTTATAATGATAAATTTATTATATACCCCCTTATAACTAGCAAAATAAAACTTAAGAGATCAATTGTATATATATCCATAAAACAAAGCATAATAACAAGGGACGTTTTAATCCCCAAGAAAAACCAGAAGTCTCTGTCGAGACTGAAGCTCTACTGGTTTGTACTTATAGCAAAGGAAGAGAAAAGTAGAAACTTTTCAACAGCAATAAATAGAATAATGATCCTTAATTAAGTCTCTTTATGTTCTTAGTGCAGTCTACTTGCATGCCACATTTATATTATAATCAGTCTAAAATTGTCTTTGGAGTAGCATTTTGAAAGAATTTCACAGAAATTTCTATTTTTAGTAACCATGGCAACACCGTTCATCGAAATCAAAAAACGATACACAGAATTATGTATCTTATTGTAGTCTACTTGTGTGCCAAGTTATATTGAAATCAGACCAAAACTGTAGAAGGAGTAGCATTTTGAAGAATTTCACAGAAATTTCTATTTTTAGTAACCACGGCAACACCATTCATCAAAATCAAAAACCGATACACAGAATTATGTATCTTAGTGTAGACTACTTGTTTGCCAAGTTATATTGAAATCAGACCAAAACTGTAGGAAGAATAGCATTTTGAAAGAATTCATAGAAATTTCTATTTTTAGTAATCACGGCAACACCGTTCATCGAAATCAAAAACTGATACACAGAATTGTGTATCTTAGTGTAGTCTCCTTGTGTGTCAAGTTATATTGAAATCAGACCAAAACTGTAGGAGGAGTAGCATTTTGAAAAATTGTTTACAGACAGACAGACGGACAGACAGACAGACAGATGGACGGACGACGGACGCATTACTATCGCATAAGCTCTTCTGGTCTCTGACCAGTAGAGCTAATAACGTCATGTTTCTGCATACTACGTCACAGTTTTAAAGACGGTGGCGATATTGATTCAGAAAACCACAGTATGGTTATCAGGAAAGTCGGATTATGACTTCAAGTGATAGCGTAAAAACAACAGTAAAATTGAGTGTCAGATACATGTTAGGTATATAATAAATATGATTACTGAATACTTTTTGACTGATAAACTAAGTAGCCAATCAGTTGTTTGATCCTGCTTATTTAGAAATGAATTACCGTATATACTCGCCCATAAGTCGGATTTTTGGGAGTTAATTTCTGGTCCAAATCTCTATGTTCGACTTATAGGCGAGCTATGAAATGAATGTTATATAAGCTTATAAAATAAACCGACTTATAGACGGACCGACTTATAGGCGAGTATATACGGTACTGTACTTCTTGGATAGGGAAGACAGTGATAATACTCACCTTTGACTGAGCTTGATTGTGAGGACACTCGATTAGATGAGTCTGAGAGGAAATCTTCATACTCAGAGCCTCCATCACTACAATAAATGTACATTTACAATTAACTATCAATAGATCTACATAATACATTCTGTAAACCTGGTTCTGCAAATGTTTATAATTTTTATAAAGCAATAAGCCGTCTGTCTGTCCTTTAATGGAAGAAAACAAGTTTTGGTGAGAACAAATCAAGAATCACACAAGGTATTGCAACAGACTACTACATTATCCTAACTATATCACATAACCTCAATCTTTAATACAAGCCTAGGGTGCCTGAAAGATGGACTTCTAAGAAAATCCCACCCACAAAAACAAAGATTTAAGGACGGATCACCTGATCGACTTGCTGGATTTACTGGACGTAGTGGTAGTACTAGTGGTACTAACAGTACTAGTGCTACTCATCATTGACGGTAGTCGTACTACAAACGAGTCAGTCAGACTGGATTGAAACTGACTCTTCTTACGACTCTGTAGTGAAAACAAACGAAATTTCTGTCTTCTCTGATTAGCATCCATTGTTAATTGAATCGATGCACAGAATTATCACATTCAAATTCAACGTTGAAAAAGTAATACAGATATTCCGGGGTAGAGATTTCACCAATTTCAAACGCAAAATAACCTTTTTATTCACTCCACTGTTAAGTGTTCAGCCACAGTAATTATAGATCTATGAACATCTTAAAGGCACTGGTAAATAATAAAATCTTGAGACATGTCTCTTCGATTTTGTTTTTAAAGTATACAAGCAAAAAATTGAATCATCATCACACTTTCAAAATAAATACTATGGCATGTGATAATTTATATTACTTTAAAAAGGTCACATTTTCATCACAGTTATTCAGAAAGTGTTAATGAATCTCACACACTCTGCTTATATATATATATATATATATATGTCTACCAACAAATTATTAAATTTTCCAAATTAATTTTCCTTGATTATGATGCTCTAAAGGTAGGCATTATACACAATTATTGGTTACGGTTTCAGAGTTTCACAGTTCTTTTTTCACAAAAATAAGTGTTATTGTTAAATTGCACACAACTCCATCTCCTTTTAATAATGTCAATGTTTGTACATTCCATATTTCTATGACTACTGAAACATGCACATTGATGTAGACCTGTTATAAACGGAAGCTTAGACAAGTGGCTTGAATAATTAATACACACTATCAATTTCATCAATAAAATGTGTGTGTTTATTAGCTTAACTAGAAGACTAGATCAAAACTTACAACCTGTCGTTGTTTATCTTGCTCAGTTTTCAGACCTTACAGTTATCAATTCTTAGGTTAACTTGTACACCTGTATTTTTTAATGGAAAACATCTTTTACTCTCTCTCTCTTCATATTAAAGATTACAATAATCAAATATTTTTATGTCACTGTAAAATTAACTTTATCTCATGAATATAAAAATTTGATAGCATACATATAAGGAGGCTTTTAGTTTTAAAGAGGACTTGAGATCTTGTGCAATGCCAGCTAGTCTTCAATTATTAAATGTGCAAAATAGTCCTGAAATGCCAAATCCAAGGTACAGACAACTAATTGGGATGTTAACTGCATAATTTTTAAAAAATAAAAAAACTTTCCAAATCTAACATGGATCAAGTTGATCTGCTATATTTTCCTTAAAATGCCAAATTTTCATTAACCCAATTCTTTTTTCTAAGACTTAAACATCCAGTTAAGTTGTCCAAAGTTGTCAAAATGCAGGCTTTCACAAGAAGTGTAATGTAAAGGTGTTAATAGTTGTCTTGTAATATTACAAAAGGCCAGTATATATTATACATTTATAGCATAATAGTGAGGGAAATATAAAGACTTATTCAGCCAGGAAAAATCATATTCCCTGAGCACTTCGCATTTTCGGTCAAACATTCATATGATTACTTTTTAGTTTTAGAAGTTTGGCTGTAGCATAAATTTCATCAGAAATATTTTAAAACATACAGTTGCAATAGCAACTTGATCAGAATGAGAGAGAGAGAGAGAGAAAGAGAGAGAGACCTCAACCCTGTTTGACCTTGACTCCCGTGATCCGTTCTGTAGCTGTCTGATCCACTGCCACATGATCTGTCTGTACTGCTCCAGGGTCAGGCGGGGGTTATTTCCCCCTGGGTCCGCCAGCCTCACGAGGATTGATAAATCTTCTTCATTCTATCAACAAGAGCAAAAATTAAACTGCCTTGTGAAATTTTTATGATTGTGTAAATTCAAACTACGAAGGGGTCTGATAAACTTTCTTTTTTTAAGTGTAGTGAACAGGTTGTTGTTCTTTGACCCTTGGCTAATGTAATTTATTCAAACAAAGGATTCTATATGTAAATAAAATGCATCCCTCTTGCATGCTTAATCCAGGGGGATTTTAATGTAAGCTGGAATTATGCAGTGCTACAAAAAATAAAATAAAAATTAACATTTACAAATAAAGAAACCTTTTGCCTCCTAACTTAAAAGTTGTTGACAGGAGACACATAAACTTGTAGAAGCTAGTTTTTTTCTGTATGTGTGTTTTTTTGTTTTTTTTTGGGGGGGGGGGGCACACACTGTTTTATATATGCCAAGGAAGTAGTACTCTAATAGAAAATGCAGTTTAATTCGTCCTGCAATCAACATTTTTCAGAGACATTACAAAAAGCGCTGAAAGAAAATTTTTTTTATGCACACTGTTTTACAAATGTCAAAGAAGTAACTAGTACTCTATCTAAAGAAATTGCTATCTTTCCAGTGGCGGATTTAAGGGGGGCGCACCTGGCGCGCGCCCCCCTAAAATTGTCAAAGTTAGCGTAAATCAAATATGTTTACTTGCTGCCCCCCCCCCAACTCCAAATCCTGGATCCGCACCTGCTTTCCTTAAATATTTTTCAACCTACTTCACCAAAGCTGGTATGGATTCTCAGATACTCGATGATGCTTGACACTGGGACTAATCCGGACTCCTCCACGTCACTGGTCCGGAACAGAATATCCACGTGGTCTCTAATGTCCTGCTCCGTAAATCCTGATTCATCCGACGAAAATAGCTCATCATCTACATCCATTCTAAGGAATAGCAACAGCTTATATCAAAATTTACAATCTATAGATTAAGTTTACATTGATCAAATTTTTATAAGGCTTATGATGAGTTTATAACATGTTTTTTGTTTTTATTTAATTTTTTAGATTTCCAGGGTTTTTTTCTATAAAGCAAATAAAGCTGCAATAGGAATGATAAAAACACATACCTTTCTTTAGAATAATTGAATAATTTTCCTTATGTGCAAATGCCTTCAAATTAGAGAATGAATTTGAGTTTTACGATAGATCAGTACAGAGGACTGAGATCGTGTTTACATCTTTACAGATTTGTGTACTTTACCTTCGGGTTGATGGGTAGAATACTGAAACATCTACATTCTCTTTGAATTATACTTAAGTTGCTAAACCTCCATACTAGGAATGAATATGAGTGCTGCTTTAAACATTAAATTCAATGAAAAAAGGAATCAACTTTGATGTTCAACGCAGACGACCTCGTATTTCGCGCTCCGTGTCAGCGACCTCATGAAGGCCGATCCCGATTCAATTTTTTCCATTATTGAGGATTTTAAAAGAAAAATACTTGCATATGGTTCCTTTTAAAAAGTTCAAGTACCCCCCTCCAACCTGAAAATGATGTTTTGCCATAAACCCGATACCCCCCCCCCCCCTAACAAAAATCTTTAAAAATTAAATCACATTTATTTTTTTAATTTGATTGTGATTTAGTTTTTAAAAGATTTTTTTGTACTTAACATTTGTATATTTGTTCTTTTTAAAAGTTCAACTATTCCCCACCAATCAGAAAATGGTGTTTTGCCAGAAACCTACCCCAATCTTTAAAAATTAAGTCGTATAGAATTATTTTTTTTAATGTGATACACATTAGAATTCTCATTGAAATTTTTGAAGATTCATTGGTACTCAACATCAACCCTTCTTTTTCTATGGCTAGTAATTGAGTACAATAATTTATATTTTTATTATAGGAATTCTCGAAAATAGAAACGAAATTTATTGAAATTTATTTCACTCTATATTGAAGAGAGAGAGAGAGAGACTTACCATTATCATTCATTTATAGCATCTGCTCCGTTCTTCTGATCTGTTAATTGTTCTTCTTGTACATCTAACAAATCATTGATGTAACAATAATCTTCATTCCCTGGACATCATTTTAAATGTATTTGATTTAAGTGTCAGCTATTGTGATATGAGTTTTGACGAGAGAGATAGAAACAAGTCCTGATCGATAGCTTTTCGATTTACGGACGATAATACTCAGTACATTGAGATCGTTACCTGAAGTGTGTTTTTTTTAAGTTTCCCAATGAATATATTTATTGATTCTGAGATTTAAAAAAAAGACTGGATTTCTGTATAACATGTATTTAATATGAAGAGATCAATTGTGTTGTAATGTTATAAAGCTTATACTGTCTATAAGAGTTTATAATGTTGATATGATATACGAGTATGTATACATATTCTAGATACAGAACTGTAATTAACATCTTCAAACATGTATACCCCCCCCCCCACGTTCTTTCCGATGAAGTACAAACACTGGTAAGAAAAAACCGCATTCACTCGCCCTTATCGTGCGTGTCACCGCAAAAGAAAAGGTATAGGGAAATGGCAAAATGGTTCCATACACGTGTATACCACTTGCATGCAAGTGCTTTTATAAACTTAATTGTTTATGAAAATATAATCGAATTTTATGACGATGATCGATCCATAGCGCCTACATCACTGTTATATTAGGTACTCTCTCTGTGAGGTGGGGGGGGCACTTTTTTCTCAACAAATGCTCATTGTAAGACCAATAGCCCCCTTCTTTTTTTATGCTGCAATACACATAAATCCTCCCATGTTTATGAACTAAAAAAAATAATTCGAAAATGCCCCCCCCCCCTTTAAGTGGAAGTCGGGATTAGAGTTTATTCTCCTTTTTTAGCTGGAGAGGCGGTCACTTATTTTCCAATCCCGTCCTCAAACTTTCAATAAAATACAGATGCCATGGCACTTGTAAATACAATCATTTGCACCGCATGCACCAGGACAATGAAAAACATGAAGTACCCCTGCATGTACTTGCTTCACAAATATTGATGGATAAATTAATGCACTTTTTTAATTAATCAAACATTTTTTATGATAGGAAAAATACTGGTGGACCTCAGAGTATTCAATCATACTCACCGCTTCCAAGAACGCATTTGTCTTTTGTTAGTATAAACATGGTAAATTACGGAAATCAATTAAGGTTCATTGATACTCTGATAAGAGAGATAACTCCTAATGCCATAAATTTCTATATTAATCCTTTATAGATTTTCCGAGCGGAAGCGTCTTTTTTTTGCCTACTTTTGCCCCGCAACCTATCATATGCTATAATTGTCTGATTTTAATTACTTTCAAAAAACATTTCTTTTGGACAATGATGTAGGTTCAAGAAACATTTTATATCAGTTAGCAGAGGGTTTATGAATCTTAAGTGAGTCAGTGGATCTCAAATTGAAATACTACAATGGGTTTAAATTGTTTTGATTGCAAACAGAGTAATTTTCATTAACGTTATAACTCTATAAATAGCAAGTTTTATATCAAGCAACAGGGAAAATCTTTATATATTGATCAGCATTATTTTAAACAGAATAACATTTTTCTTTTAAGCTTCAAAGTAATGAAGATCGCTCTACATACTCCTCTTTTTATAAAGATCAAATAAACACCATCTCTGAAATAAACACACGTGTCTCAGTTCGTATTAAACACCTGTTAAAGATAGGACAATATTCTAGAAATAAGAATCTGGGAGGATTGGCAGTGCTACGTGCCAAAATGCATTGTAACGAAAAATTAAAAAAAAAATCAATGAATAGATTTTTGTTTTGTTTATTACAATACATGTATGCATACAAAATTGAATATGTAATGATACAGTGACTGAGAAATTGAGAATGATTAACACACGAAATGAAAACAAGTTAAATTGACCCGACCTAAACATTTTTTTTTTACAACAGAGAGTATACATATATCATCAGTTATCACTTCCTTTTTGTGAACTAATTATGGAAATTTTTTACTTGATTTTCACACTTGCAAAAACTTTTAAAGAAACTCACTCGTATTCAAAGTTCAAAATAAGGTCAAATATATTTGCTAGATACAAATAAGAATATTTTGTTATGAAACATTTGGAGGTAAGGAACAATAATCAAGATCAAAAGTTCATAAAACAATACTAAACAAGGGCAGAGCAAACACGGACCTCCGAAACATCAGAGGTGGGATCAGGTGCTATGGAGGAGTGAGCATTCCCTGACGACTGGTTCCACCCGCCGTGTGCTCCTAGCTTGTCTTGATCGGGAAATAACGGGAAAAAAATCTGTCGTTAATTCAATGTATGGACTAACAATTAGTATGGAAAACGTCAGTCATCATTGCACTCCAATTATAAAATTAAAATAAAATGGATTAACTTGTACATGTAATAATGAAACCATTAACAATATTTTTTTACGTTCTGTAATAACGTTCTATAGCAGAAAACTTAAGGTCATTTTTTCTTGTTTAGAATTTCGATATAATCAGCAAAAGTAAAAATCACAGTAAAAAGTTAAATCACAGAGTTTTTAAATTCTTTATCAGTCCGCCATATATTGTCTGAGAGAGAGAGAGAGAGAGAGAGAGAGAGAGAGAGAGAGAGAGAGAGAGAGTTTAATTCAGATTTTTTTCATAAACTATGATGTTTTAAATATTGATTGTTAACAATGTTCTTGTCATTACGTTTCAGAGCAAGTCCGTAAATACAACCAATTATACAGTCATGTACTTTGCAGGAGCCTGCAATGCAAACGTACCCTCAAAACAAATGTTTGTATACGCTGGAAAGTATTGTGCAAAAAAGATACATTATTTTTTGGAATCTAAATGGATTATTCTGGTCACAGTTAAAAGGTCCTTAGTAACGGTATGACATTAACTTTATTTTACAGCTAACTAAGAAGTAATAGTGTTATTGTCAAGATCTACGAAATAAGTTTAGACTGTCTTAATAAAGTGATGTGATCAATTTAGAATCTCGACTTTGTACCAGGAATTTTCGATCCTGGGGTAACATACCAACCCTTGGTCTTCCATTCCACAGAGCCAGTAAGACGTTTGTACATGTAGAGCCTTTATAGAAGGCATCTTTCCATACGAACACTCTTTCAACTTCATTTTGAGAATTTCCCACTAGGAGCGATTAGAATGCTATTGCTTACAATTTTTTTTTCAGAAAGCATGGGTATTACTTAAGGAAAACAAAAGTTAATTTTTTGTCACTATGCAAAGGCACTTCATTCCTATACATCATGTACGTTTAATTACACATTGATGGCGTTTACCTTATCTGCGTCTCTGTTTATAGAACAGGGGCCCGTTTCACAAAGCCTATGCTTAGGACTAAGTTAAATCTTAGGAAAGAAATTTTTTCTTAGTTCATTACTTATCCGTTTCACTTTACTTCGTCTTATCTTTGGATATTCCTAAGTTTTGTCGTAACTAGCTAAGGACAGGTAAATCGATGGCTTAGGAAGAAACTAAATATTGTGGCTGCATATCTTAGGTTTCTTATGGAGAGAGAGAATGTGTTTTGGGAGAGAAAATTTAATCTAATGGGCTACTGGTATATGAATGATTGTATATTCTCTCTAGGTTAAAACTGCTTTACTTTCCATGGAATTACTGGGGTTTCAATAATAATTTTTTTATGTGTCAAAATTCGTCCAATGTATATAAAAATGTCCGTTCATTTTGGGAGCACTGGAGCTGGCGAATTAAATGGCATACATGCTGGAATAATTCCCCATCATTTGAAGAGCAAGCCTTTGTAAACAAACAAAAAAAAAAGCGCATGCATATGACTTGACCCATTATTATACAAGCATGCATACATTATGTTAATATCTACAGGTATATGTTTATAATACTCCCGCTTGAAAAGCGGGTGGGTATTTCAAGCGGAAGGGTATAGTAATCGGTACGTCCGTCCGTCTGTTACACTTTGGGGTACCCATCTCTTATCCGCAACTCCTCTCATACAACTGAATGAAATTTTTTATATATCTATTACTAGTTATTAAATCGATATTAAATTAGAATTTGAAAAATGAAATTTTAGATTAATGGAAACATTTTTTTACTTTCGAGAAGTACGTGATTCTTGAAGAACCTCCAACCAAGCTCCAGATATATATCAGTAGATGTTTCTCCCAAGAATGGTTGCATCTAATCTCCTTTAGGACGTTATTATTGAGGGGACACAAGCATAACGCAGTTTTGTTTTCTACAGTATTCAATACATCGGTAAAATTATTATTACCCCCTCCCCTCCTGTGCTCCTCCTACAGCCATGAGATTACAACCGGTTTTCCTCTTTGCTTAATACAATTTATAGCTACATGTATGCGTGATATTTCAATTAATTTCCTTTTTTTAACTTCCTCTTTTAGTATTTTCATACCTGTAGTCGCGAATTTTGTTATTTTTTTTTCTGGCATGGCATCCTTATTATATAATATATTAAGTGTGAGAAAGCTTTACCAAGCACAAATAACTAACGTGGAGTAGTCATTGGTATTTTACATTTTTTATTTTAAAAAATGCCCTCTACTTATGTGTTCGCTATGCAAAGCTATAATTTTTGTTCCATACATAGTAGAGGAATGATATTTGGACACATATATATAAGGAATCTCCATTCTCTATGTACTACTAAGGTCAAGGTCATATCAAGAGGTCAAAGGTCAAATATTGTGACGTCATCTCCTGAATCTTTCATTTTTTGCCGTTGAAATTTTTTTGATTGCAAAAATATCTGAAACCACCGGTTCAATTTTCTTTATTTTTTTACACATTTTATTCTAGGACCCATTTGATTCATTCTGCTGATTTTTTGTAAAAATTGAATTAAACATTTTCTCTTAAGAAAACTTAAACTGTCGGATATTTACATGTAAATTTTCAATTCCGACGCTACGTATGTCCTATTTTTACTTAATATTTTACTCAAATTTTCCAATATCAAGTTGACTTACTAACTTAAAGCAACAAACGGGTTATCTTTATTAAAAGTATTACACAAATTTGCAAAAGATCAATTGATCATTCTAAAATAAGGCTCATTCTCAAGCCTAATGTCTAATTTCAGTCTTCTTAGAGGGGTCTGATAGGCCGTATTTCAGACTATGTGGGCAAAACAATGATGTGTGATTAAATTTCTTTCATATCATACATAGAGATTTTGTATCCTAGAACAAAATATTAAAGTTTCAGGAAAATTGAATTTAAGAAAAAAATTTGGCCTATCTCTTGTGTCCTACCTTAAGCTTGCATGTTGACAATTTTCTTGCAAATCTTGCATGCTGACACAATTTTCTTGCAGGTTGACGTAATTTATCATTCAGGTATGGGGTAGAAATATCCCATTATAAACGCTTGTTTCTGACATCATAAATGCAAATTTTAAGATACAGCGTAATTATACCATAACAAGGAGCATAACGTACTATGTTGGCATGCAAAATGCATGATTGTTACATGTTAACATGCAACTTATTAACATGCAATGTTACAACGCGAAATGTAATAACAACGCGAAATGTAATAACAACGCAGGAAATGTAATAAACCTGGACTAAATTTGAATGCAGACAACTGAAAAAAATTTTGCGTTATTACATTTTGCGTTGAAATCAACGCAGAATGAAATAACGCAAAAAGTAACAACACACTTTTGAGGATTAATACATTTCGCGTTATTACATTTTGCGTCGAGATCAACGCAAAATGTAATAACGCAAAATGCAATAACACGATTTTTGAATTATTACATTTTGCGTTGTTACATTTTACGTCGAGATTAAGCAAAACGCAGAAACACAAAATGTAATAACACATTTTTTTTTCGTCAGCCAAATTGAGTACAATTTTCAATAGTTTAGTGGCCGATGAAAAGAAAATAAAACAAAGGGGAAAAAATAGATATACGCAATTTCTTACAATTAATAAATTTTATGATATATTGATTTAATTAGCTACTTGTATTTAAATCAGTTTAATAAATGTATTAAAATTATAGGTGTTGCAAATTAGAAATGTTCATCTGTGGGCAGGGTTGTTGGGGGGTATTGACAAGTGTGGTCTTGACAAGTGTGCTTTTGCTTTTTCTTTTTAGACAAATGCAATGAATCTAAAAAAAACTATTCATTTGTACTGGCAGGTGTAAATGTATAGTGGGAAGGGGTTTATTGACAATAATGATACCATACTGTTCCATGCAAATCTCCAGCATTGCAGACAAGCAAACACAAAATTTTATCTCTTTCTTTCTTTCCATCCTATAATAAAATGGCTTTTAATGAACCTATGGTCAATCTTCGGTATCTACATGTAAGTCTGTGTTCTTGGTTAGAAATTTATTAAGACTATCAAAAATATGTTAAAGTAAAATTAATTCAGCATGATTAAGTACAGTGTATTCAATATGCTAAAATCAGAGTCAGAAAACGATACATTTAGATGTATTTATGTCCGTAAAAGCTCTAACGTTGGTCTCATTGTTTTAGTTCTAAATATTTTAACAGCCTGTTTCCCATGTTGGTTACATGTATATATTGGGATCAATTCTATGATCTTTTTTGTTAAACGCAGTCAAAAAAATTAATTATGTTTTGTTTTATTACATATTGTTTATTACATTTTGCGTTGTCTTCAGTGCAAAAATAAAATAATGCAAAATGAAACAACGAAAAAGGACGTTATTACATTTTGCGTTGATCTCGGCGCAAAATGTAATAACGCAAAATGTAATAATCTAAAAATCGTGCTATTACATTTTGCGTTTACGGTTATTACATTTTGCGTTGATCTCGACGCAAAATGTAATCACGCAAAATGTTATAATTCAGGTTTATTACATTTCGCGTTGTTATTACATTTCGCGTTGTAACAATGCAATTTATTAATGTCAACATACTCGATAATTATGTTCAAATTCAGGTTAGTTATGTCAATATGTGACTTATTTTTGTCAACATGCAAGAGAATAAGTTGCCTGTCCACATCTTATATGCTGACATAATCATCTTGCGTGCTAACTTTCTTACATGTATCGTGCATTTTGACAGAAATAACATGTTTATATAATGATGTTGCACGTTCAGATAAATAAGTCGCAGGTTTACATAAATACATGTTTGTTGCATGTTAACATTAATTATCCTGCATGTTAACTAAATGGTTTTTTATGCAAACCTCGATACAATCCAAGTTAAAAAAAACCCCACTTTTTGTTAGTGTACATGCAAACCTCGATACAATCCAAGTTAAAAAAAACCCCACTTTTTGTTAGTGTTTAGAGCTTTCTTAAACTCAGTTTAAAAACCTTTTCCATGTACATATATTTACTTTCATCAAATTTCATGTTGCATTACTAATGAACCCTGGACTGATCATTTATATCGTATGGGCATTTTTCTAGTTTTATAAATCCAATGACAAACGGAAAGAGGAAAGGGGGGGGGGACTCAGAGTGTTTTAGTCCACTGACCTCCTCCTACATTGAAAGACAAAAATTTATCAATCACAATTAATCAAAAAAAAACAAACCAAACACACATTTTCCTTGCAATGATTTTAATAATACCACACATTCATTTATACTTATCAACAATGTACAATAAAAGTATTTAACCGTTTACAGAAAACATTGAATTTGGATAAAAAAAAATAAACACCGAAGAAAAAAAACATTAAAACACCAAAGAGAATTTTAGAAAAAACATAAAAATATCAAAGATTTAAAAAAAAAAACATTCAAACATTAAAAAAAACTGCGGCCTTTAGAATCTCATGGACTGCAGCTGCCAAATGGGGGAGTTCTCAGGGATTTTTCTACCCTTCTTCTTGGGTGACCTGCAAACAAAATAGGAGACCTACATTTAGAGGGTTGAAAAGACAACATAAATAAGACAAATACAGTAGTCTTATTAATTCATTTGACGGCTTTATGACAATATATTATATCTTTGTTACTTAATTGGATTCAGAAATTGATTAAATGTTGATATTATAAATATGTTGGCTGTGATTTAAACACAATATAATAATTAAATAGTTACGTTAAAGAAATTGATATAAGCAAGTGATGCACAAAATTATATCTAAAAAATAGCACTTGAATTTAATTAATGCATGCAAGTGATTATCGGACTGATCAACACCCCCACCTTAACACGATTAGATATGTTGCCATGCCTAGCAAATTAAGTAGGCCATGGCCCTAGAAATTTGTCAATTATCTTAACATTTTATTTAAGAACAGGATAATATGAAGTAAGTAATATTAAATAAAAATACCTATCTACAACTGTAGATTTAAGGAATCACTGTCTAGTTAGTATATTCCAGGGCATCAATATAAAGGGGAAACATTGATTATTTTGTTATCAGAAGCCCAAGAATTACAATAAATTGATTTAATGTTTAATTATTATATGTGATATTATATAAAACTGAAATTAACAGTGAAAAATTGAATTATATTACAATTTCAATATAATTTAATGTAATTTAACTTTAAAAATATATATATATATTAATTACATGGAGGACTTCCATGCCAATTTCAATGTCCTCGCCCTCTCGTCAAACACATAGGCAGCCGCAATTGTGTTAGCATCAGAACAGAGACATACTGCGCGCGAAAAAGGATTTGCATGCATATTAGGCCTCCTTAGCCATTCCGGCAGAATTATTAAAGGAATCACTGTCTAGCTGTATTTATTGCAGGGCATAATAGTGGGAAACATAAAAATTTGCATAACGGGTGAAAACAAAACTTTTCATTAACTTGTTGCATTTGGCATACACATTCCTTATATTTCCATTTCATTGTAAAATAAAATTGTAGATTTAGACTTTAAAAATGCAGACATAGATTTAAATTACATGAAGATTCCCATCCCAATTTCAATAGTCCTCGCCCTCTGACGTCAAACACAACGGCAGTCGCACGAGATTTTAATGCATATTTGGCCTCCTTAGCATCAGACTCAGAGACAGATGCGCACGAGATTTGCATGCATATTAGCCTCCTTGTGTGCCTATTATGCCTAATTTACATTCCAGTAGAATTATCAAGAAATTAACTCCGCTAACTTTCAAAGAGTTATCACAGAAAAAAAAATTAGAAATGGAAATATTCCTTAATATAAGGGCAGTATTGATTATTTTGTTATTAGAACCCTCCAAGAATTACAATAAATTGATCAAATTTTTAATATGTGATATTATATAAAGCTGAAATTAATGAAGTGAACAATGTGAATTCATGGGTCTACAGTTAATTTACATGTAATTTTAAAATATATGTTATTCATATTAATGATATGGATAAATTGAACGGCAAGCCTATGAACGCCCCCTCCAAAGATCAACGTACTAAATGCAGGCCATTTTGTGACATGACTTTAAGAACACATACTGGAATGAAAGAGGAATCTATAGTATGTCAAATTGTGAATTGTTGAAGTTATGGTATAAAAAATCATTTAACATATGCAATAATTTAGCCCTCCCTGATTTTTTTTTTATCTTATACACCCCCCCCCCCAATAAAATGATATTTAAAATTATATTTTTTTCTTATCATTTCTCTTTCTCTCTCTCTGTGAATAAATTCCAAATATGTACCAATTTATAATCTACTCTTCATACATTTTCCAATGTTTACATGTACTTGTAATTGTACCTTGACCTATGGAGAGAACGATCATAGGCATTTATGCCTGCTGTTCAATCCATTTCTTTATATGAATAAAATATATTTTAAACTAACTAAAAATGAGGGCTGTGCGTTATTGCAGCAATAGCGGTGCTAATATGTTGAAAATAAAAAAAAAAACTTTTCATTAACTTGGCATTTTTCTTACATAATAGTCATAACAGATGAAACAAACATACAAAATCATTATTATAACTGAAAAGCCTCTGTTTGAAAAAAAAAATAGAAAAATTCATTTTATGCAAACATGTAGTTCAATGTGATATTGTAAAAGAACATATACATACCTCATCCCAATGTCTCGAGAAAAAGCAATTTTATGGATAAAAATGAACAATATGTATTTAAATGATGATATCAAATTAAAAAAAAGAGCTATAGTTTACCCTGCACATGTATTTTGCATTCTTCAAGTAGGAATGCTACCTTGTTAGGATTTTTAATCACATTCTTGCAGTTTTTTCTTTACAAGTACTTTAGTTATACAATTGTTTATATTAAATTAAATAACTAAAACTTGTTTTTTTTCCAAAATGTGAACATTTTCCACAGGAAAATTTCTTTCTTGTTCACAAATAGGATAATATTTTCAAAATATTCAAACTATTTTCATTGAAACAAATCCGTTTTATTCAAAACTTATATGTTGTATAATTTCGTTTTTTATTAATTTAACGAGGTCAGGTCTAATTACTAGTATGTCTGCCATAAGCATTTTGATAATTTTTTTCATAATTAATTTTTACTGTTATATTTATTGATTTAAGATTAAAAAATCGAACTTTTACTGTCCCGATTTCGAAGGGGGCCATCTCAAAAGTTTTAATATTGGACCCTATGGGAATTTCTTGGAAAAGCACCAAATTATCACATTTTTTTTCTCCATATTTTTTGTATCTCTGACCTTGAGATTTCTTTTTCATTCAAATAGATGAAAGTTATAATAAAAAAGTCACCAAATTGTGAAAAAATGGACCATCTAGATTGGTCGAGGAATTAATTACTACAATACCTCTAAAATTGCCATATGGCGGTATAGATATATGTCAGTGCAGATGAAATATCGGCGCATATGATTTTTTCGGTAAAAAAAAATAGCTATGTTTTGATTGCTAGTATGTTTCTTTGGATGTTCTGTCATCAGTTTTTAGCATAATATCCATAGACGTCTTGAACACACAAGCGAATCACGCGTCATTCTTCAGCGTCATGCATTGCTAACAATATCGGAAATTATTGAGGTCGTTAGAGCCATTTTAGCGTTTTCTCTAATTATTGTCATAAAATCACCTTTTCAGACCTGTATGTTCATTTTGTATTAAATCAAAATATTTGGCAAAGGCGTACAGTCGCACAAATGACTGCTTGAAATTAAAAAGCTGCACAAAGTCATGCATACTCGAATTAGACTCGGTCTCGTCAATTTGTTTCATACTCTTCTGAAACCTCAGGAACATAAAGCAGTTTTAGCTTGCTTATTTCAGTATAGTTTGAGTCAAATAATGTGCAATGATAGAAAACATACAAAAAATTAAACTGGCCGTTTAAAACAGTGCCCTTTTTTTATGTAATTTTAAATTTTAAGAGTAATTAAATATGAGTTACTGAAATTTCAACTTGTGGCAATGAGACAGGTTCGTTTGCCAGAAACCACATTGCTGAGAGGTTAAAGCAAATGACTGGAAATTAAGACTGCCTTAAATTCACAGTCTGGTTCATTTTCTTCCCCTCCCATTATATTTGGTACTGTGAGCAGACCTTGGAATAGTCAGGAAAGACCCCAGGTTTGATGTCTATGAGGTCTGAAAACCTGAATGGGGAAGGGCTTTGGCAGGCAGATGGATGTGACCCATGAAGCCAGAAAGCTCAGTCAGTAGACATGACTGGACATTCAGGGGGCACGGCTTCGAATCTTTGTCTGATTCATTGTGTATATATTTCTCCTGTTACAGTCCGTTAAATGTTCCCCTCTACCTCAACCTTCTGATAAAGGTTTCATGCACTTAACAGGAAAAAAAAATGGAAAAATTTAATCCCCCCTTCCCAAGAGTTAGCATACCTTTTGTTTCCACTTCTGGAATCCTTCCTCTGTTCTGTTGCTTCACCTACAAATTTACAGATAAGAATAGCTGTAAATATAAATGTTCTCTTGTTCAGAGGTAATACTTTTTTAAAATGACCCTTGGACAGCCTTTTAAATCAGAGCTTTGTTCAATTTAATTTTCCTATTTTTAAAATTAACCTTCCTCCAAATTAATGTTTTCTGGTCCAGATGGCCTCCTCTAATACTGAAAGCTGTTTCCAAATTAATTTTTATATTCTTAAAACTGACCACAAAAGGATGCTTAAAGTGATAGGAATTTAATATAAAAGTTGCCCTGTATTTCTAGAGAAGTTTAAAATGTTAATTTTAGGGATGGGGAGTTTTCTATTCTTGGTGAGTATCAATCATACTTTTTTTATGCTAATTTCAAATTAAGATTCAACGTCTAACTTTCCCAATAAATATAAACTAGGCTTACATTTGGAAGTTCTATACTGCTCAACCTTAGGACTCTGCTCCAGCAGCATGCACGGAGAGCCCGCGTGACAATTGAAGTCTTGCGCCAACTCCTGGGACATAGGAGTGACTTCTACTTCCACCTCGTCTTCAATGCTATTGGAGGATTTGGCCTGTTTTGATAGAATGGACGAAAATGATTGGAATGAAAAGAAAACAAGCAAATTCAAAGAATTGTAGTACCCGCGCTTTCTGTGTCTTTATGGGTGAGATGTTATTTTTTATGACATATTGTGTCTAATATGAACACCCTTTCATATGTCATTAGAAATTATCATTGAAGTTCATTTTTTTTAAAAAATAAAGTCAATCGTGAAGGTCAAGGAGTAAAAAATCATAGCATGCTCGGAATTATCTTGTCACAGGTAATGCACATGTCAAATATGAAAGCCCTATCTCTTCTCAATATAAAGAACAAGATGTGTTTGTGAAACACTGATGACCCCAAAGGGTTAAAGTTCTTTGTATCCAATGAAAGGTCTTTTGACAAAGATTACATATGTGAAGTAGGAAAGCCCTAGCCCTTACCGTTAAAAAATGATGGCCAAGGTTAAAGTTTTTACATAAGTATGAAATTCTCCAAGGTCAAAAGGTCAAAGTCGTTGGTATCCAATGAAAGGTCTTGCCACAAAGAATTCATATGTGAAATATGAAAGTCCTAGTATCTACCGTTTAAAAAGTTGTGACCAAGGTTAAAATTTTTTTGAAAAGTAGTTAAAACTCCAAGGTCAAAGGGTCAAAATTTTTGGTATCCAATGAAAGGTCTTTTCACATGGATTACATTTGTGAAGTACAAAAGCCCTAGCCCTTACCATTCAAAAGTTATGGTCAAGGTTTAAGTTTTTTCATAAGTACGGAAATTTTCAAGGTCTAGGTCAAAAGGTCAAAGTTGTTGGTATCCAATGAAGGCCTTGCTACAAAGAATATATATGTGAATATGAAAGTCCTTGTACGTACCATTCAAAAGTTATGGCCAAAGTAAAATTAAGAATTTTTGTGTAAAAGTGGGTCAAAACTCCAAGGTCAAGGTCAAAAGGTCAAATTTGGTGGTACCCAAAGAAAGGTCTTGTCACAAGAAATACACATGTGAAATATAAAAGTCATAACTCCACGTAATCAAACGTTATGGGCAAGGTTAAAGTTTTTGTGATGGACTCACAGACGGACAGACTGACCGACAGACGGATGAGATTTAATGTCCTCTCGCTTTCGCAAAAGGAGGGGGGGGACAAAAAATCTTGTGACTGTTATTGATATGCAAAAAATTTTCACAGGAATATTCATATAAAGACAGAAGGTGCACTATAGCGAAACGATTTAAGGTAATCCGATCCTCAGGTTCTTAAAATCAAACATTGACTAATTGAAAATGCTCACAAAAATGTCTCTAAATTTTCAAAGTAACGCTTTTTTACCCATAATAATTCTTCAGACTTCATATTTCATGTTAATAATATTATATAGAGAAAATAAGTAAAACTCAAATATATTTTCAGGAATTGCGAATAAAAACACCTGTTATGCATTTTCCAATTTAAATTTGATCAATTAAGACATTTTTGAAATGAAAATCATAGGTATCCAGGCTTTTGAAGAAATTCCATTATGTTTATCCATATAATGTATATTTCTTTCTTTTATAATTAATTCAATCATTTTACAATGCAACGTGTATAAAGATTCTCCTGTCATTGCAAAGCTCTATGACTCACTTCGAATTTCACATCATGTTAATAAACATTGGTATTTATGGTTAGATTAAAATGAACATCAATTTCTTCACATATGTATTTTTAAAATGCTTTTACGGGGTAAAAATTTCAACTTTTAATTAGACCTTTCTGATAACTTCAAAGAACCTTGAAGCACTTTAAGAGGCATATAATTAAAATTATTGCATGAAAAGATTTAATTTTCAAGCTTCATTTTGAGACTTTTTGAATTAAATTATAAAATAAAGAGTTGTCCTTCCTGGCTGAGGATCGGAGTCCATTAAAAGAGAAGGAAATATTATGCAAACATAAATTAACATGTTAAACATTTCATACAGTATATATTTATAAATAATGAGACAGAAAGCCGCATTTCATGACAATAATTATCTTTAAAAACCATTAAAATTTATGGTAAAGTTACAGAATTAAACAAAAACGATATAAAGATTTTTTGTAAAATATAGATGACCTACTTTTAAGTAATCGCTGACACTTTGTGGACTATAGACCCCGTCTCTTTTGTTTACAGGGACGTCTAATGGATCCTCCTCATTGAGCTCCAGTGAGGTCCTCGCCCTTATTAGGTAAAACAAAATATTTGTGTCAACATAAACATTCTCAGTAATAGTAGGGGGCATTAAAAAAGTATAATGGGGGTCGGGGCTCCTATCCTACATGTTATTGGGGGTGAGGAAATTTAATGGAGATTTACAACACGAAAAGCAACAAAAAACCATTATCCCTTAATGTAAGGAACAGTTATGTTGTGTACTGAATTTCAATGAATAAACATGTATTCTAAATAATTTGTAAATGAGATCCCGTAGAAATAATTAAAGGTAAGAAGTTAAGTGAAATTAAAAGGATTTAGAAACTCTTATAAAAGGATGTTGAATTAACTTCTTATACAGAGCGTAACTCATTTGTGTTATGGAACATTTTCAATACTGATTTAAAATTGTTCTGTTATAAATAAATCAATAAGAAAATTACCAATTGGCCATGGTTATCATGTTGACGCAACTCTGGTTCTGCCTAAGTATTGGAAATTTTTTGAAACAGAGAAACAGCTCTTTGTTGGTCATAAGGGGGAATCTCACACATCTCATGATGGTCTCTAAGTGCTGGACTCTTTTTTCATAATCATGGTGATGGAACCATGAAATGGCTGCCGAGAATATTTCGAATTCCGACCTGACCATAATATTCTCATCAGACAAAATTAAACAAAGAGTTTCGACGTCCAGGTCGAAAAATGCCGGACACTCTTTGATTTTCAAAAAGTTTGTCGATATATTCCTGATAATCTTGTCACTAATTTCCACTGCTTGTAATTGTGCCATATTTGGCAACAGTTGAAGCTGGTCCTCACATTTCATCTGTTCTATTTTCCTCAAATATAATTTCCTGATTTGCTCGACTTTAAAAACGAGAGAAAGTTTCATGACATCCCTCCAACAGCCCATGTTGAAATCAAGCCTTCCAGTATAAATGTAGGCTAAAAAGGAAACCAGGGCCTCTTCTGACACCCCCCTGATATTTATAACTTTGGGGGCCACTTGTTCCTTTGAAAAATGCTCCCTTTCGAAAACTTCAGCGAATAGTGGGCTCTGTGAAGCCAATACTAATTTATGCGCTGGATATAATTTATTTCCCAACTTGAATGAAATGTCACACATTTGTTGTTTTTCGTATTTCTGAAAAACATACTCTCCTACATGTGTGTAGTGGGAGACTTCATTTAGGCTCTGCTCTATAGCAGGATCACTGATCTCTCGTTTCGTATTTTCATTAAGATCCTCATCTGAAATGGCAAAATCATAAGATGATAGACAAAACACTTCTTATATCCTGACTCCGCTGATTCCTAGAAAGGGCACAACATTCTGGATTTAACAACATTTTTTAAACAAATTAAAACATTTTAAACCATTGAAAAAAAAATGAAAGGGATTGTTAGTTTTTATCATATTAGGCAACATTTCAAAATACATAACATCTAATTTAGAAATTTAAAGTTTTACTGTAGTCTTATTATGTATATTAAATACTCGGATTGAAATTGAGGATTATAGAATAACTTACGAGTACCATTTATGGAGCAAGAGCTACCTTCACTAATGCTGCTCCTTGGAGACTGGCTGTAGATTCTCGATGCTGTAAATGTGAAAATGTTTGTGTAGTTCAAATTTATAGTAAGCAGAATTGCGATAATACACCACTTGATTATCTATTTAGGTTAGTGTTATAGAAGCAACAGCATAAATCCTGAAATTAAAACACACATTATCTTTACCTGACCAATGAACAAAATTTGCATTTTAATAAGTATAATACAATTATAATATAACCCTATTCTGAAGAATGTCTCATTAAATCTGTTTTAGTTGCTCTACAGCTGAATAGAAATACATTGCTACAAATTAGAAAATATATTTACTAGTATATATTCCTTTCACAAAACAGTTGTCATTCTGCATAAAAATATATTTGCTTTATTGATGTTAAGTCTACAAATATTTTTTACTGGATATTGAGTACCAAAAAGTTCAATTCTGATCTTAAATAAGTTCATATCAGAATATAAAAAACCCTCATGGATTAAAATGAAAAAGGAAGAAGGTCATTAATAAAATTTAATTACAAATTCTAATTTCTTGCACAAAAATTTACACTTTATATATCTTTATTCTCCCTTGTCTTTATATAAAAGGAACAAAGAATGTATAAAAAACTAGAAATATGTCCATAGGACATGAATGCCCCGCCAAGGATATATTAGTAAAGCAACATGAAAATTTGTATGTGTATAAAATTTGATCAGAATATCTTGAATAGTGATGCAGCTGAATTGCTTGTTTGAAAAAAAAGGTCAGATCCAGCATCCGAAGCAAGTCTAGTAGTGTCCATCCCTAGATGCATCATCCATGCAAGTTTGGTTCAGGCAGGGCTTTTAGTTACTTGGGAATGAAAATGTAGGTCAAAGATCTTTAACAAGTCTGGTATCCATTCTGGAAAATGTAAAAGTTTGATAACACCATCTTGAATGGTATGTTTAAAACTGAGCTAAACACTAATTTTGAAAAGTGAGGAAGGTCAATCCGTGCAAGGTCAAGGTCAACAAATGTTGATGCAGTTGCATAGCATGGTTTGCTCATCAATAAAATCAGTTTTTATCATAGGTCAACATTTCAAAATGAAAATATCTAATAGTTTATGCAGTTGAAACATAGCCATGATTTGAACAAGCTATAACACAAATCTATCAGCAATATGACACTTTGACTGAAAGATATCTGAGAAAAGATCTTTGAAAATGTTTTAGTTATATTCATGGCAAGCAGATGCATAAACACAATTTTGGTTAAGATAAAAGCAATAGTTACTTGGGAATAAAAATAACTCATTATCCAGCAATCCGAAGCCATTTTAATGTCCATCCCTAATATCACTGCAATTAGGAAGGGCTTATATTCTTTGGGAATGAAAATTTAGGATACAATCAAATTAGAAAATTCTTGTAGTCATGTATATATTCCATCCCAGATGCATTCATCCATAAAAATATATTACCAATATTTGAATTTTGATAACAATCTTAAATGGTATGTTTAAAACTGAAAAACCTTTTTGATCTAAAGAAAAATGAAATCAAGGTCAAATAAAATTTGTCAAGGTCAACTGGATGTTGATGCATTGCAAAGAATCATAATATCTATAGCATGATGAAGTTTGATAAAAATTCTTGAATATTTCTTTGAAATTACATATATAACACAAAGTGTTATGTATATACTTAAGGAACACGGAAGAATGACATGAAAAACACTATATGGCCAATTCATGCAAAATTATATACTGATTTAGGAAGGCCTTAATTCTTTGAATAAATATGATGAAAAATTGATTCCCCAGTCAATATTTGATTGAGCCCCCAATATATCCATATATAGGCAGCTTTTCTGATTGTTGTACTTAAGAACCTAAAAAAATTAATTCTGAGGTAAAAATTTTGTTATCCTTTATGATTTGCAAATAAATTTGATCCTTGAGGACCCTTGGACAAAGATTCCATTTTAATTAATATATAACAAAATTATGTATTACTTAACACGTGATAACGAACTAAATAATGACTTACTAGTGATTAAAAGGCTTATATATTATAACAAATTACCAGTGATTAGAGAGATAAAATAATAATAATTTCACAGTGATTTCAATGATTATATAATAACTTAACAGTGATTAAAATGATTACATACATGTTATAATTTCACATTGATTACAAGGATTATATAAAAACTTATCAGTAATTGGCCAAGTTTTCAGTCAGGTGTAAATTTAGAATGGCTTACAAAATAATTATTGTATTAATTATCTACATAAAACTAATAAACTTGAGACTCAAATAAACAGTTAATTCTCATATTTAAACCGCCACCTTTTCTTATTTAGAAATCATGACGGTATAACGAATTTGACGATGAATTGAATTTCCCATCTTTTAGAAACAAGAAGAGTTACCTTTCTTAGAAATGCCATTTAGCATTAATTTTCTATTCTAATTATTACATACATGTACATGTATATAAAAACATTTCTGATTGAAAATATTTCAAGTTATATTTTTTAATATACAATTGTAAAACAAAATGTGCAGTGTGAAATAAACCAGTAATTAAAAGAATAATATATTATAAATAACCAGTGATTACACGGATTATATAATAAAGGCATCTTAATAACAAGGATTATATAACTTACCAGTGCCATTTATGGGGAGACATTGCTGGACTTCCCTGTCACACTTCTTGGTGACGATCTAGGGGTGTTGGATCCTATCAATGTGAAAATGTCTATGTAGTTCAAATTTATAATATGCAGGAATGAGGCTATATATATCAATTAATTCTCTATTCAAAATAGATTCTTAAAAAAGCAACAAACTAAATCCTGAAATCCTGATTACAAGGATTATTTATTAACTATCATTGATTACAAGAATTATATAATATAAAAACCAGTGATTACAAGAATTTTATAATAAATAACTAAATAATTTAGTACCTGTGATTACAAAAATTATATTAAAACTTAAGGGTTATTACAAATATTATATAATAACTTTAGAGTGATAACATGGATTATATAAAACCTAACAGTGATCACAAGGATTATATGATAAATGACCAGTAATTACAAGAATTATATAATAACCTAAGGGTAATTACAAATATTATATAATAACTTAACAGTGATCCCAATTATTACATAAAAACGTAACAGTGGTAACAAGGATTATATAGTAATTTAACAGTGGTAACAAGGATTATATAGTAATTAAACAGTGGTAACAAGGATTTTATAGTAACTTAGCTGTGGTAACAAGGATTATATAATAACTTAACAGTGGTAACAAGGATTATATAGTAACTTAACAGTGGTAACAAGGATTATATAATAACTTAACAGTGGTCACAAGGATTATATAGTAACTTAACAGTGGTCACAAGGATTATATAATAACTTAACAGTGATTACAAGAGGTTATAAGAACTATCAGTGATTAAAAGGGTTACATGATAACTTAACAGTGATTACAAGGAGTTTATAATTATTAAGGATTATATAACTCACCACTGCCATTTAAGGAGCCTTCACTGGACTTCCCTGTCACACTTCTTGGTGACCGTCTTAGGGTGTTGGATCCTTTCAATGGGAAAATGTCTATGTAGTTTAAATTTATAATATGCAGGAATGAGGCGATAATCAGTAAACTCTCACCAGTGATTACAATGGTTATATAATAAATAACCAGTGATTACTAGAATTATTTCATGAATTATACCAGTGATTATTATATAATTACTTAAGGGTACTTACAAAGATTGAAAAATAACTTAACAGTGATTACAAGGATTATGTATAATAACATATAAACAGTGATCACAATTATCAGTATTTGCCTATGATTACAAGGATAATTTAGCAATGAATAATGTATCAGTTAACAAGGATTATAAAAATATACCAGTAAAAATAGGGTAAAAATATACCAGTAAAAATAGGGATTATGAAATAGCTTACCTGTGTATACAAGAATTTTGAAATATGTTACCAGTGATTGTAATAATTAACTAGTATATGAATGGATTTATATAATAACTTACCAGTTAAAACAAGGAATATATAAAAACTGTCTAGCTATGACAAGGATTATATAATAATAATAATAATAATAACTAGATGAGATCTCGTTGCGAGCAACGAGTAGGTCTTCCTTTGAATTTCTAGATAAGATGAGATGTTATTTTGACTGAGATATTTGTTAAAAGAGAATGACATTAAGTTTATCTTCATTAATTCTAAAGTTTCTGGTTTTTTATCCAATATTCTGAACATGTTTTGTTCAATATTGCTTATAAAAATACTCCCTCTTTTCGAGACGTAAAGCATAATTAATATAGCATTTTGGCCCCTGGTGATCCCCTATTACGTAACATTAGATCAAAATTTTATAACATATTGTTGCATATCGTGAAAATTAATATCTTTGCTTCTCAAAATGTATACTTAGTACAAAATTTTGATCATTAAAGATTTAAAGATGAAAGACTTATGGCCCCTCTGAGCCCCTAATTTGAGGAGTCGGACCCTTTTTCTTGACATCAAACGAAAGGTCTTGTGATTTCAAAGACATTTTGTTCTACACCTATACAGAGATTTCTTTTCGTTTAGGAGATATGCTTGATGTAAATATTTAGGGGCCACTCCTACAAGTCCTTAATGGGGCCGTTTTACAAAAATTCAAACTATGCATATTGTTTAACACATTAATCTATCCATCTTTTCTTCAATATTGCTTATCAAAATATACACCCTTTTTGAGATATGAAGCATTAAAGATTTGACATTCTGGCCCCTTGTGATCCCTAATTACGTAACATATGATTAAATTTTTATCATATATTGTTGCAAATTGGTAATATGAACATCTTTGCTTCTGTTATGTATAACAAAATATTGATCATTAGAGAGTTATAGATAAAAGACTTCTGGCCCCTCTGAGCCTTTAATTTGAGGGGTTCAGCCCCTTTTTCTTGATATCAACGAAAGGTCTTGTGATTTCAAAGACTTTTTGTTCTACATCTATTCAGAGATTTTTTTTCATTTAGGAGATATGCTTTATATGAATATTTAGGGGCCACTCCTACAAGTCCTTAATGGGGCCGTTTTACAAAAATTCAAAGTCTACATATTGTTTAGAACATTATTCTGTCCATCTTTTGTTCAATGTTGCTTATCAAACTATTCCGCCTTTTTGAAATATTAAGCGTCATAGAATAGACATTCTGGCCCCTTGTGACCCCTAATTACGTAACATGTGATCAAAATTTTTTCATATATTATTGCAAATTGTTAATATAAACATCTTCGCTTCTGTAATGTATAACAAAATATTGATCATTAGAGAGTTATAGATAAAAGACCTTTGGCCCCTTTGAGCCCCTAATTTGAGGGGTCAGCCCCTTTTCCTTGATGTCAAACGAAAGGTCTGGTGATTTCAAAGACTTTTTGTTTTAAAACTGTTCAGAGATTTCTTTTCGTTTAGGAAATGTGCTTTATACAGTATAAATATTTAGGGGCCACCCCGAAAAGTCCTTAATGGGGCCGTTTTACAAAAATTCAAAGTATACATATTGTTTAGAACATTAATCTATCCATCTTTTGTTCAATATTGCTTATCAAAATATTCACTCTTTTCGAGATATGAAGCGTCAAAGATTTGACATTCTGGCCCCTTGTGACCCCTTTTTACGTAACATATGATCAAAATTTTATCATCTATTGTTGCAAATCGGTAATATGAACATTTTTGCTTCTGTAATGTATAACAAAATATTGATCATTAGAGAGTTATAGATAAAAGACTTCTTGCCCCTCTGAGCCCCTAATAAGAGGGGTCAGTCCCAATTTTTTGACATCAAATGGAAGGCCTTGTGATTTTGCACTTTTTTTCTTCAATATGCTTTAACAAATTATGAACAGGTATGAAGATATGAACCAAAATGTGTCAAATTTTGTGAGATATTTCTGAGACATTTTTTCGGGACCTACCGAGCTCCGGCGCCTTTCGCGCTAAAAAGATTTGGAGACCCAATTACAACTCACCAAACCTTCCTTTATTTTCACTGAAAATCTTAAGTCGATATCTTAAGTCGTTTCGGAGGAGTTTCCTGGACAAGCCGACCCTCTGAAAATCAGAAAATCCTAAATATCTCGAGATAAGAAGTGACGTCATCAATCAAAAAAATTTCCAATAAGGTTCAGATCAATACCTACCAGATCTGAAAGTTTCGTGAAATTTGGACGAGTCGTTCTAAGAACTTGCGTGCACAAAATCGGTTGGAATAATAAAAGGGAAAAAGAAACCGAACGAAAACAAAAAGGTCTTCCGTTGGAGACGGAAGACCTTAATGATTGGATTTATATAGTGCTTTTCTAGCATAAATGCTACTCAAAGCGCTTTACAATCATTATTACCCCAGCAGACCTTAACAATCCAGAATCTTTCTCAGTGCAAGCTGCCGTAATCAGCGCTAGAACACTAACATTCTGACAATATCTTTCACTGTCTATAGCCAGGTACCTCTTTTACACTTGGGTGGAGTGAGGAAATTCGTGTAAAGTGCTTTTCCCAAGGACACAACGTCGACTTACCGTGGCCAGGATTCGAACTCACAACCTTTCGGTTTGGAGTCCGGCACCTTAACCACTAGGCTACCGACGCCACTGATAACTGATAAGTGATAAAAAGAAATATACAATTACTTACCAGTGATTTCAAAGATGACATAATAACTTAGAAATTATTTTAAAAAATAAAAAAAAAACCAAGGCAACTTCATATAATTCTAAATTACTGAAAATACCAAGAAAAATTTGAAATTAACTCACTGTAAACATATTACATTTAGTGGTGTATTCTAATTAGCGATTTTGGTGGTAAGCCGAGAATGCCTTGTATATCATACAGGTATATCCAGCACATTTAGATTGCCCTAAATCAAATCTACGCTAACTTGTTGAAAATTCAATTTCCGCAAAATATCGTACACGCCAAATATAATACTTTTACAGTAAAATTACATTACACTCGGCCTGTCGGGCCTTTATGTCATTTTTAAAACAAAATTGAAAACAAAAAATTGATATAAAAAGAAAATAAAGAGCATAGAAAGATATAGGCCATGAAAAACAATGTACATGTACATTCAAAATGATGAAACAATACATATCAGAATTAAAAGAAATACTCATAGATTAAAATGAATGCAAGATGGTCATAAAGAACATTTAAGGTATTTCTATCCTCCTGTGATGTCATAGGTTTTTAAAAAGACAAACCAAAAACTGTTATTAATCTAAAATCATATCCATTAGATAAATATCTTTAGGAAGAATTCTTTTCAATAGCTGTAATACAAATAATTTGTTAGATAAAAGTAAACATTAGAAGTCTGTGAGACAATTAAAGCTCACTAGTTATAAAAAAAGATACTGACATCAGATTAATACCAAATTAAATTGTTGCATGCGTGGCGCAGTGGATAGAGTTGCGAAGTAATGAGTAAGGAGTTGATCCTTATGCCCCGGGTTCGAATCCCACTGTTAGGTATTGAGATCTGTCCATTGGATGAAATGACAAACCAAGGTCCCGTATCGCTGTAGGTGCTGGCACGAAAAAGGACCCCTCCCTGCTTAAGGTATACGACCCATATAAGGGCCAAAATTTCTAACCTTAAATATCAATTGTTTGTAAAATATTCTTATATCATATTAAAGCATTTTAAGGTAGAAAGTTATTTACCAAGAGAAATTTTAAAAAATTTTATTGCCTAAGCAGAAATTTATTATTGAAGATTGCATTGAAGTCTATGGAAAGAAGTAAGTTTTTTAAACTAAAAAAATAAGTACTTCAAATATCAAAAAATGCTGTGGTGAAAAGATGTAGTTTATCATTCGGAATGGAAAAAAAATTAGAAATAATTTTTTTACCAGACAAATGTTTTAAAAAAATAATTTTATTGAATAAAATCAAAGGGAGATAACTCTTCAAGAACAGGAAAAGGTCATAAATTAGGACATGTCCCACTCTTACATTCTTATACTAAAAGATGAAAAATTATTCTAACTGCACTAAGTATTCAGCCCATACATATTTATTATGCATTCAATTCCATTGAAACTGGGGCTAATATGGATCGGATACCTTAATGGCCCTGAGTGCTGAGTATGGGACAAAATTTGTAGCTCTCCACCCGCAAGTGGTGGCGTCTCCATATGAATGAAAAGTTCTCGAGAGTCAAGAGGGACATTTAACAACATTTCCTCAATCAATTGCAACCAATCAATAAAAAAAAATCCCATCATATGGCAAACCTCAGCAAAATTTCCAGCAATTGCAATGAGTAATGTGTTATGTACGGTACGGACAGACACACAATGGTAAAACAGTATACCCCCCCTTGCCTTCAGACTGGGGTATAATTACTTACCACTGATATTTGAGTAGCTACCCTCACTGCTGACAGTACTAAGCGAGGGGCTGTATCTTTTGAAAGCTGTATAAATAGAAATGTTTAATTTTTGTGTATTGTAAATTTAAAAAGAAAATCTTTGAGCCAATACTCACAATGCTGAGTATTGCATGTATCTCACTTGTACGTATGTGTGATGATCATATGCTTAATGCAGTTCAAGAAATTATTAAACAATTATAGTGTGACCCTAATATCACGAAGAATATGTCCTAAAGTCTTTGTTGAAGATAAATATAAATTAAACAATATTATATATTGATTATTGATTTCTTATTTTTTCATTTAAAGTCTTTGTTGAAGATAAATATAAATTAAACAATATTATATATTGATAAGATTATTAATTTCTTATTTTTTCAATTAAAGTCTATGTTGCAGATGAGTATAAATTAAACGATATTCTATAATATTGATCATAATTATTTTTTTCACCTAATTTAAAGTCTATATTGAAGATAAGAATAAATTAAATGATATTATATATTGATCATAATTAATGTTTTAGACTCTTATTTACAGTGATAGTGCATTTAAAACTAGGAGAAAACAAGATGTGTTTGTGAAACACTGATGCCCCTGTATGGCAACATAGTGAAGGTTAAGCTTTCTCAAATGCAGATCAAATATGTTGGTACCTAAAGTAAGGCCTTTTTCACAAGAAATACAAATGTGAAATATAAAACACTATCATCACCTATTCAAGGGTTATGACCATGGTTAACATTTTTAAAGTAGGACAGACTCTGAGGTCAAGGTCAAAGGGTCAAGGCTGTTGCTTTCTAAAGAAAGGCCTTGTCTCACAGATTACATATGGGAAGTATAAACGTGCTGGCCCTCACCGTTCAAAAGTTATGACCAAGCTAGGTTAAAGTTTGTAAAAAGAAGGTCAAACTCCAAGGTCAAAGGTTCTTGAAATCTTGTCAAATGTATTACGCATTTGAAATATTAAAGCCCTAGCCATTACCATTCAAAAGTTATGACCAAGGTTAAAGTTTTTCGTAAGTACAAAAATCTCCAAGGTCAAGGTCAAAAGGTCAAAATTGTTGATTTCAAATGAAAGGTCTTGCCATTTAGAATTGATATTTTAAATATGAAATTCCTAGTCAGTTATCTACCATTTTAAAATTAGGGTAAAATTTTGGATTTCTTGTGTAAAAGTGGGTAAAAATTGAAAGTCAAGGTCAAAAGGTCAAGGTTCTTGATATAAAATGAAAGGTCTTGTCACATGGAATACATATGTGAAGTATGAAAGCCCTAGTCCTAACCCTTCAAAAATTATGGTCAAGGTTGTATTTTTAGAGTAGGTCAAACTCCAAGGCCAAGGTCAAAGGGTCAAGGTCCTTGGTATCCTATGAAGCGTATTTTCACAAGGATTAAGTATGTAAGCCCTAGCATTTTCGGTTTAAAAGTTATAGCTAAAGTTGAAGTTTTTTCATAAGTACAAAAATCTCCAAGGTCAAGGTCAAAAGATCAAGCTTGTTGGTATCAAATTAAAGGTTTTTCCACAAACAATATATATATTAAGTATTAATGTTCTGGTGTATACTGTTTAAAAGATATGGCCAAAGTAAATCTTCAAAATGTTTTTGTAAAAGTGGGTAAAACTCCAAGGTCAAGGTCAAAAGGTCAAAGAAACACGCATGCTAACTCTCGATTCCCGCCTACATTTTGGAACCATTTAATTCAATATGAATAGCAATTTGGCCAGAAAATCTTTGTTTAATACAAAGAACAGTTCAATGGTAATTGATAAAATGTCCTAATACCGGCACTAAACAGTAAATTATCCATAATTCCAGCTCTTGAAAAAAGGGGGGTAGACGATATTTTCCATTGAAATCGGAGTTTCAAGCATCACCGTATTTTGAAATAGTCTTAGATATGATTAAATGTTCCTTATATCTTTTCTTGTGTTTTAGGCAAATAAATAAGACATAAATATTTCAATAAAATATAATGTTTCAGTTGTATATCGCTTTGAAATTGGAGGAAAATAAGCATTTTTATCGTTTTTAATAAATAAAAATATGTTCCCCCCAGTGTCACACAAAAAGCTTTGGTATGAATTTGTGAAATACCATTCCATATTACCTGTAAAAAAGGAATTTTTGTGACACGGGGGGAAAAGATGTTTTAAAAATATTTTCCGTTTTCCATTGATTTCTATAGTGAAAAACACAAGTTTTACCAAAATTTTAGAGTTATCTCTCGTTGTTTTCCCAAATAAGTAATGTTTTATGAAAATCCATATAATTATCTATAAAAAATATAAGAAATTCATCGAATATGTTAACTTTTGAAAATTGACTTGGAGGTAGGCGGGAGAACAATACTATCGTTCGCAGTTCTTTGGTGGTAACCCAAAAAAGGTCTTGTCACATGGAATACATATGTGAAGGATGAAAGCCCTGGTCTTAACCCTTAATAAATTATGGTCAAGGTTGTTTTTTTAAAGTAGTTCAAACTTAAAGGTCAAGGTCAAAGGATCAAGGTTCTTGAAATCTTATGAAGCGTCTTTTCACAAGAATTATATATGTGAAGAATTTATGCCATAGCACTTCCTGTTCAAAAGTTATAGTCAAGGTTAAAGTTTTTTAAATAAGTACAAAAATCTCCAAGGTCAAGGTCAAAAGATCAAGGTTGTTGGTATCAAATAAAAGGTCTTTCCACAAAAAATAAATATGTTAATTATTAATGTCCTGGTATATACTGTTCAAAAAATATGGTCAAAGTAAAAGTTCAATTTTTTGTGTAAAAGTGGGTCAAACTCCAAGGTCAAGGTCAAAAGGTCAAATTTGGTGGTACCCCAAAAAAGGTCTTGTCACATGGAATACATAGGTGAAATATGAATGTCATAGCACCACTAAATCAAAAGTTATGGGCAAGGTTAAAGTTTTTGCGGACAAACAGACTAACAGAGAGACAGACAGAGAGACAGGCAGATAGACAGGCGGACACAACAAAAACTATATACCCCCGAATTTTCGTTTAAGGAGGCATAAAAAAAAACATTGTTACAGTTGGTTTGAAAATAGTGAGTTTATAAATATTCCTCTATAAAACACAAATGAAATTCTTCATAAAAGACAGCATATTATTTAATGTAATGAAAAAAAAAAAAACATGTAAAATTTGTGAAAAGATAATGAGCACCATCTACACAAAATTAGTTTAATTTTGACCCAAATCAATTTTGTTAAAAAAATTTAAACATTCAAGAAAAGGGTCTTAAATTGCATGCAAGATGGTTATTGACAAAAATACAGGATTCCAATTCTTATACTGTCGTACAAGAATTTGAACTACACACATAATACGTACCACTGCAACCTTGTCCAAACTCCGGCAATTGGGGGGATTGTTGTGCAACCAGGTTGCTTGCTCGCCTGATGTTGCTAGTCACCGGCTCAGACGGAGGAGGCAGGGTTGCTGGTTTGGATTCAGCTGTTTTCTGGAGCTTTTGAAATAAAGTTGAATAATAAATATCATCTTTGATTAAGAAAAGTACAATAAAGCATGAGAACAAATGTTCAAAGTATTTTCAATGGAAAAGTTTAATGCACAAACAATTCTTACAGCAAAAATTTTTTTTTTCAAAATTATTAGAAATTATTCACTCTGCATATATAGAAATCCCTTTTATGGCTATTAATAAGATTTAAAACACTCAGTTTATAACATAAGTTGATGGAGATTTTGATATCAATCTGAATCTTCAATGCTTTTAACATGATGGGTATTTGCACTGGATTAATTCTAATGTAATTTATATTTTAAACTAGAAGTCTCTGTCGAGACAGTAGCTCTACTGGTTTGTACTTATATTAAAGGAGGAGAAAAGAAGCAGTTTGGACTTAAAAACTTTATAAAGTCAATAAACAGAATAATGATCCTTGATTAAGTCTCTTTCTGTGGCAAGATTGCAATAAGACTACAACTGTAGGAGTAGCTTTTAATTAAACTTTTCAGAATTTTCAATTTTAGTTACGATGGCAACATCAATCATCAAAATCAAAATCACAAAGCCGATAATTATGTATCTCAATATAGTCTACATGCATGCCAAATTATATAACAATCAGACTTAAACTGTATTTGGAGTAGCATTTTCAAAGTATTTCCCAGAAGTTTCTATTTTTAGTAACCACGGCAACACATCCAAGTCAAAATACCAGACCAAAGCTGTAGGAGGAGAAGCATTTTGAAAAATTGTTTACAGACAGACAGTCAGACAGACGGACGGACGACGGACGCATTACTATCGCATAGGCTCCTCTTGTCTCTGACCAGTAGAGTTAAAAAAAAAAAACTTATCTGTGCTTACAAGACAGATTTAAGATCTAAGCCACCCCCCCTTCCACTCAATAGGTTTTTCTCATGTAGGTCAGGAGTAATCTTTTGTCTGTTTCAGACTGTTTGAGTGTTTGTTCATTGGGTTTCTTTTACGTAATTAACTGAGTTTTATTTTTTAATATAATTTTTTTTTGGGGGGTGGGGGTGGGGGGGGGGGGGTGGGGGTAAGACCCTTCCCTTCAGAAAAAAAAAATTCTTAGATGTATGCTTTAATAAGTGCATTGCATTATAATATTTACTGGTAAATTGCCTGTCACCACCATAAGAAACTAGAGGTACTGTGAGCAATGAGGCTCACTAAATGATACCCCCACCTCCCATATCATGAAAATAATGGCAGTAGGGGGGGTAGGAGAGGGGTAAGACCCTTCCCTTCAGAAAAAAATCTTCGATGTATGCTTTAATAGAGGGCGGAGCCCTCTCACGGGCCCGTCTTCCTATAGGTAACACGTATGTATATGAAAAATAAAAGAAATCTATTGAAAACTATTTGTCATTTACAATACCTATGGAACTGAGATTCTCGTTGTTGATGAGACTTTCATCAAAGTAAAAACATTCAATCCAAGGATAATGTGTAGTTATTCTTTTTTACTCAAAATCAAATCCATTAGTAATCAGACCCTTCCTACTTTCGTTTTAGACGTTTAGATTTATTTATAGTTCGCGCTAACAAGTAAAACAGCATTTGATTGGTCAGAATTTCCCTGAAGGCGGCGCTGTCGTCTGCACTATGGAGGAGCGGATCTATCTGTGGCCCCTTTCACAAGAATATTCTTATTTATTTGTTAAATAAAATTTGCCAATAATAAATGTCTTCAGGATTATACTTGTCAATACATACCAAGCTAGAAATATAGGATTTTTTTTTGACAGTATAATTTTTGTCAGGAGACTCAATAAGAGTGTGTGGATTTCTTTTTTTCTTTTCCCTTTTTTTAAGGTATCCAAATTATTTATGAATATCTACTTGTACATGGATACATAAATATTTAACAGGTCTATGGAAGTCTGAATCTCATTTTTGTTGTGATTTTTTGAAATTTAATATTTTATTTTATTTATAAAGTTTTTCACATGACAAAATTTCAGTTTCTTATAAAGATCACTATCAAAAGAAAAAATCTAATACGATGTATGCATTTAAAAAATTCAAAAAGATTTTTTTTGACAATTGGAATTACATATAAAGTCTAAATTAGAGCAGGAAAAAAATAAGTTAAACAATGTATAATGTACAGTCTGGAGAGGTAGTTGTTCAGTCTACATACACACTGTCGGGTATCCGCGCCGGTTGTGACATGTTTGGATGCGGTGAAAATGGCGTAAAATGTACAAACGGGGAATACTGTGTACCTTTTCCAAGTCTATATTTTGGTAAATATTAATTTTTTTCTCAATTTCTTATTGAAATTTTATAGGTATCTGGTTAATCTGAATGACGTGTTTCAATTCTGTTTATAGAGTTCATTAAATAACTCGTTGATGCACTTTTTTATCGATACACTTGACATTCATACCCCTTTAGAAAGTTTTAATTCGTGATTGTTAAAATAATATCAACTATATTTAAAATCTGAAGCAGCCAAAGGAAAGAGAAAAATCATTTTACATTTAAGATATTAAACGTGTAATTTATGTCCCATACAAGAAATGTATTTTAAAACCTTTTTATTTTATGTACCCATAACAAATATAGTACGGTTTGGATGATGGGAGTGTTCTGGTTTGGATGCAAATTCAGCATCTACATGTTACGGTTTGGACGGTCTATAGTTTCAAATTTCTGAATCCTGTAGAGCTATGCGAACCAGTTTGCTTGTTTAATAACCCTTACATGGAGGAATTGGCGTTTATGATAACATATATATTAATATCAATTCATAAAAAATTAAATTTTCACAGGCACATAAGAAGTCACCTTTCCCTTCTTCATACAGTTGTTTTCATATAAAAATGTTGAATCCCTTTTTCTCCAAACGATTTAAAGGAAAGTTTTCGATCACATCCCCTTTTTTCTTTAAAATACTACATAAAATAAATGTAAAAAATGTTAAATTAAATGAAGAAAAAAAAATAAATCGTATAATGCATATTCCGTCAACAGTCCTGCCCCATTTGTAAGGCAGATCATCCCACGTTTCCAACTTTCGTTGATGCTTTTGCAACGCCCGCGAGGCGCACTGGTTAGAGCGTCTGCTTTCGAGTTGCGAAGTAAGTAGTCAATCCTCACGTCGCAGGTTCGAATTAAACTGTGGGAGAGAACGATCCTTATAAGGCGAGGTCCCCTGTCGCAGTACGTGCATGTAGATGATGCTCACAGCTGTATTGAGCGACTGATCGTATAATGCCAGACCCCACTTTGCAGAGATTTTTACTACATTGATTGCATACGTTATATTCTCCCTCACTATGAATTTATTTTCTAAGTATGCGAATAATAAGAAAAGAACTCTATATTACATACGCATTGAATCCGAGGTGGGGGTATCATTAAATAGGCATGCATTGAACATTGGGGCGTTGGTTACCCCCCCCCCCCCCCCCTTTTCAACAGGCATATAATCAAAAAAAGGTAAGCATTATATAGAGTGTTTGAAAAAATGGCAGAGGAAGTAATTAACACCCCCCCACACACACACATGAAATAGGATTTTCGGGATTGGAAAATTTCAATTCTTTTTTTGGTCCATCAATTAGCCCCCCCCCCCCCCCACCTCCCCAAATTTTGCTTCCGACGCCAATATGCCAGGTACTCGTTATAAACTTTTATTTTGCATTGTATTATATAACTATAATATTGATTAATTTTATTGTAAATAATTATTTCATGAATCAATATTTTCAGAAAATAGTATGTATTGTACATATAAACCGAATATGTCTGATGACATAATAAGAGAATGAAATGAAATAAACCTAAAAGGAATCAGTATTTTGACTTTAAGGGCTAAAAAAAAGGGGGGGGGTCGGCTTCTTACACCATTTCCCCCAAAATATTAATCATAATTAGCCTCTTGCTGTGGAACTTGTTCATTGAAAGGCCTGTAAACCTACTCTCTTTTTGCGGGGTTGCAGTACTGTCAAGTTATCCTTTCATAGTATTTGTTTGTGACCCCCCCTTTTTTCTAAGTATGATTTATGAAGTCCTGATTTGTTACCATTTATTTCGTTTCTAGGTAAGTTTTCAAACAATTTATCTCGAAACCCCTCCCCTTCCTTTAAAAGTGTTAAAATTGACATATACTATAATGTTAAGTATGATTTATATCAAAGAATCTCATCCAATCCGTATCAGAACTTCATCAAAACCGTACACAGTTTTGTAAACACTGGCATCCAAACATGTTACGTTGTTCTATAGCATGTCACAATCAGAACAGTTTCTTTGCATTAAATCCATGGATTAATGGCAGAGCTACAGGATAAATAATTACTTTTAAACAGAGGCTGTCTCTCAGTTGCAAAATTACATACTACAGATTCCATTTAAAAAGACTAAATCCTTTCGATGAGTCGAAGCGGTTGATTGACTCCGCCATTTTCCCTGCATCCAAACATGTCACAACCGGCGCGGATACCCGACAGTGGTAAATGCATGAAAATATCCACAAAGTTATATTGTTCAGTCTACATACATCTTTCAGTAAACGCATGAAAATATCCACAAAGTTATATTGTTCAGTCTACATACATCTTTCAGTAAATGCATGAAAATATCCACAAAGTTATACGTTCATAACTTCTCAAAAGTGTACCCTATTATTATATTATTCACAAGTGTTGGTTTTGAAATTATATAATTAACTATTAATGACAAGAGTACCAGAAAAAAATTTAATTTTAAAGTTTTTTCCCCAGATATATAACTGTTTTCGATACAATTATGTTAGAAAATCTGAAGACTATTTAAATCAAATTTGTTTTTTTTTTAAAAAAATGAAAGGTGAAATATACATTTTTCATTAAAGTAAAGAAAACAATAATTATAATTAATGGGTTGTCAATAATGTAAAATAAAAAGAAATAAATAAAAAGAAAAAAGATATGTCACAACAGGGACATAGTATTAAATGTCCCTGATCATGCATCCTTTAGTTTGCATTTTTTTCTAATAAAAGTTGTGATGCTGTTAAATTTTCAACTCTTGTGATAGTAACACAGTCAAATGTTGGTCTGATGATTAGATTCATCCAGGAAGTAGATCATCTGTCTGTAGTTTGGGTCCCAAGTTCGCCTTCTGATCTGGTCTTGATAATAATATTGTTCTTACTTTAGATGACAACATTACCATGTAATGGGAGTAATAACAGTTGAGAAATGACTTGAGGTTTCTAGATAAGTTTACAGTTGTTAGATAAGCATATAAATCAAGTAGTGAAAGAAAAAGAATTGGTGCTCAGAAAAAGTCAATGAATTGATTATTTTTTTATATTACTATTATTTGTTGGATATACTAGTATTTTGGAACAAGTTTACTGTTACGTGTATAACTATTAAAGTTTGAGGTGTCATTGGACGGAGGCGTCTCACATTTCTTGGGCCCGGTATGTTGAATCCATTACTAGTCCAATGCATGCCCCTCTTTTTTCCCACGACGTTCTTTGACTTTAAGTGCATGCTCTGGCTAGACAAACATTCATCTCATGATGAAATATCTTGCATTATTTGAATGAAAAGTAATGAAGTACATGTAAGAGATGGCTTTTTTTTTTTTAGTTTTTTCAAGAGAACCGAGTTCTTTGTTATGATTTTCTGACACTGACCATAGACCTGCATGAAGCAAACCCTTTGCTTTAAGTCTATGCATTGACAATTTCAGAATTTAACTGATCAACTGATTTATCATTAAACAATAAAATGTAGCAATTTTCTCTTCACGACTCCGCCCTCACTAACGGTCACACCGTCTAACATATAAGTGTATGTGCATTATAATCTTTACTGGTAAATTGCCAGTCACTACCATAAGAAACTAAAGGTACTGTGAGCAATGAGGCTCACTAAATTATACCCCCTCCTCCCATATCATAAAAATAATGGCAGTGTCCATGTTTTGCAAAGGAAAAAACCAAAAATATGTATTGGATCAGAAAGTTAAATAGGACTAGGAGGTGCAAAATGGCAAGGTGTAATAAAGATTCTGTGTAAGTTTCATCAAATTTCATTCAGTGGTACAGTATGAGAGAATTTATTCTTCTCTCACACAAAGGATAGGTACCCCAAAGCTTAACAGATGGACGTACAGACAGACAAACATCACGATTACTTATATATACCCTTCCTTAATTTTCCTAGAATCATGAAAATGCACGAATCTAATATGTAAAATTGTCGCTATGAAATGGAAGAAAAAATCTTACATTCATTTTTCTTCTCCGTTCCCACGCTTGCTGGGGGAAGGCATCCTCCCAACAGAGGAAACTTAACGGTCCTCTCTCAAAACACTCATCCATTTTTAAGAATAAAGAATGAGCCTAGCAACGGCTGTAACTAGGAAATGACCCTGTAAAATCTGAAAATTCCCGCTCAGAACACTTTGTTTCCGGAAGTAAGAGAGAGATTTTTAAAACTCCAAAACATTCATAAAATATACAAACATGTCAATGTTACTTAGAATATAATAAATATTTAAATTGATTTTAATATCCTATATTGACGGTGCGACCTTTAGAGCGAGCACAAACTCTTCTATTGTTTTAATTTAGATCGGGCTCGTCAAACCGCACGTGACATTTGGTGCGTCTAGACTCGGAGAAGAATGAGAATACCAAATCCCCGGATGTGCACATGGCTTTATTTGTGGCACTTCACCGACCCTCAGACAGACGTGGCCTCGGGAGTTACCCGAGGCCGCCATGTGCGTTCAAGATGTCGATGTTCAATGTGTCCTGCAATTCACATTAGCACAATGTAGATTCAAGGCTTAAATATAGGTAGGCGTTATCTGATTGGCTAAATTCAGGTAAGTAATTATCTTAATTTTAAAGTAAAAATATTAATGTTTGAAATAAATGATGTTATGATGGAATGAGGAAATATAGAAAGTATAGAAAAGCCAGGGGAAGTTTTAGGAGTGGGGGTTGATTTTTGACATAGCATGTTATTTACTGCCGATCTCTATAAGTTGTGGAAAAGGGCAATTTTGACCTATAAACGCCATTGGACCCTATATTTCTTTCAGTATATTTTGTAACGCAGCTAGGATAAGGCTGCCCGTAAAATATCAAACTGTTCAATCTGTAGTAAGTAACTTCTCTGAACTACCTAGATATGACGTCATAATAGAATATGACGTCAAGTCACTGCATACTTGAGCTGACATGACGCCGGGAAAGTGTCATAATTATAACATGGCATGTAGATTAAAGTAGGTCTATACTCGCACTACGTCATTTACGAATAGTAAAACCGGAACCGCGCTTCCTTTTTCCGAGATGAGAGTTTTTAACTATATTGGTTTGACTTTTACTTAGTGTTTTAAATATCCGGTAACGATTTTGCTCGAAGTCGGTCGCGTCAACAAACACATATTCTACAGTTTAACGAGGCTCGGGGGTGGCAGCCATTTTTAGACTATTTCAATCTCCTTTAAAAGGAGAGCTCCATATAAAGATATAGAAATTGATCAAATTTTAAAACTAAAATATTAGGGACAATAGGTTTTGGGTGTGTATAATTATTGTTTTAAATAATGTACAACCTTGTTAATACAAGTATACACTCAAACATTAACAGTACAATGTATTACAGAAATATATGGCAATATATTACTTCTGGAAGAAAGAAAATAGGGGGGGTCCCTTTAGTGTAGAGCTCATACCACTTAAAGTAATGCGTCAACATATAATTTTTATGCCCCGCCATGAATATGGCCGGGGCATATAGTGTTTGTCATGTCCGTCTTCCGTCCTTCCGTCCTTCCGTCCTTCTGTCCTTCTGTCCTTCCGTCCTTCCGTCCTTCCGTCACACTTTGCGTTTAGCTCTGTTCAAAGCTAAGTTTCAAAGAAACTATCCAAGATATTTTCATCAAACTTCATATGCTGATAGATATTGATGAGAGCTATGGTTCTTCTAGGGATGAACACTACCAGACTTGCTTCGGATGCTGGATCTGACTGACATTTTCAAGACGAGTGACCAGGTAAAAGTTTTAGGAACAGGTCCATTCCTAAGGAACTATAAGCCCTACTTTGACCAAACTTGCATGGATGATGCATCTAGGGATGGACACTACCAGACTTGCTTCGGATGCTGGATCTGACCTACATTTTCCAGATGAGTTACCAGGTTAAAGTTTTTAAAGCAGGTCCATTCCTAAGGAACTATAAGCCCTACTTGGACTAAACTTGCATGGATGATGCATCTAGGGATGGACACTACCAGACTTGCTTCGGATGCTGGATCTGACCTATATTTTCATTTCCAAGTAACTATAAGCCCTACCTGAACCAATCTTGCATGGATGATGCATCTAGGGATGGACACAACCTGACTTGCTTCGGATACTGGATCTGACCTATATTTTCATTCCCAAGTAACTATAAGCCCTACCTGAACCAAACTGACATTGAAGATGCATCTTTGGATGGACACTACCAGACTTGCTTCGGATGCTGGATCTGACCTATATTTTCATTTCCAAGTAACTATAAGCCCTACCTGAACCAAACTTGCATGGATGATGCATCTAGGGATTGACACTACCTGACTTGCTTCGGATGCTGGATCTGACCTATATTTTTATTCCCAAGTAACTATAAGCCCTACCTGAACCAAACTTGCATGAATGATGCATCTAGGGATGGACACTACCAGACTTGCTTCGGATGCTGGATCTGACCTATATTTTCATTCCCAAGTAACTATAAGCCCTACCTAAACCAAAATTGCATGGATGATGCATCTATGGATGGACACCACCAAACTTGCTTCGGATGCTGAATCTGACCTACATTTTCCTTCCTAAGTAACTATAAGCCCTACCTGAACCAAACTTATATGGATGATGCATCTTTGGATGGACACTACCAGACTTGCTTCGGATGCTGGATCTGACCTATATTTTCATTTCCAAGTAACTATAAGCCCTACCTGAACCAAGCTTACATGGATGATGCATCTATAGGGATGGACACTACCAGACTTGCTTCGGATGCTGGATCTGACCTATATTTTTATTCCCAAGTAACTATAAGCCCTACCTGAACCAAACTTACATGAATAATGCAACTAGGGATGGACACCACCAAACTTGCTTCGGATGCTGAATCTGACCTATATTTTCGTTCCCAAGTAACTATAAGTCCTACCTGAACCAAACTTGCATGGATGATGCATCTAGGGATGGACACTACCTGACTTGCTTCGGATGCTGGATCTGACCTATATTTTCATTCCCAAGTATCTATAAGCCCTACCTGAACCAAACTTGCATGGATGATTCATCTAGGGATGGACACTACCAGACTTGCTTTGGATGCTGGATCTGACCTATATTTTCATTCCCAAGTAACTATAAGCCCTACCTGAACCAAACTTACATGAATGATGCATCTAGGGATGGACACTACCAGACTTGCTTCGGATGCTGGATCTGACCTATATTTTCATTTCAAAGTAACTATAAGCCCTACCTGAACCAAGCTTACATGGATGATGCATCTAGGGATGGACACTACTAGACCTGCTTTGTATGCTGGATCTGACCTATATTTTCATTCCTTAGTAACTATAAGTCCTACCTCAACCAAACTTGCATGGATGATGCATCTAGGGATGGACACTACCTGACTTGCTTCGGATACTGGATCTGACCTATATTTTCATTCCTTAGAAACTATAAGTCCTACCTGATCCAAACTTGCATGGATGATGCATTTAGGGATGGACACTACCAGACTTGCTTTGGATGCTGGATCTGACCTATATTTTTATTCCCAAGTAACTATAAGCCCTACCTGAACCAAACTTACATGAATGATGCATCTAGGGATGGACACTACCAGACTTGCTTCGGATGCTGGATCTGACCTATATTTTCATTCCCAAGTAACTATAAGCCCTACCTGAACCAAACTTACATGAATGATGCATCTTTGGATAGACACTACCAGACTTGCTTCGGATGCTGGATCTGACCTATATTTTCATTCCCAAGTAACTATAAGCCCTACCTGAACCAAACTTTCATGGATGATGCATCTAGGGATGGACACTACCAGACCTGCTTCGGATGCTGGATCTGACCTATATTTTCCAAACAAGCAATTCAGCTGCATCACTATTCTGGATATTCTGATCAAATTTTATACACATACAAATTTTCATGTTGCTTTACTGATATATCCTCGGCGGGGCATTCATGTCCTATGGACATATTTCTAGTTTTAAGCTTATTATTTTTCTTAAATATAATTTAGTAAAAATAATGCAAATTTACGAAGATTGAGTCCATAATTTTTGATTAAATGACCGAGATTGTCCTGGGAAGCATATTTTCTCCCATTAAATTTTGATACAATAGCCTAACAAAGTGCATCTATTTAAAATAATTCATGCAAAACAATGATATTTTATTGTTTAATAACATGTTTCTACTCTATTTTGGGTATTAAAGTTGAATATTTAGACTTAAATTAATTTATATACAACAAAATCTAGGATAGGTAAAATTTCAGTATTTTACATTTCGGGGTATATACTCCGATAGGCTATAGCGGAAAAGTGAACATGTTGACATATAATTTTTCTTGTGTCTATCCATTGCTGGGATGTATGTCTATCTTATAAAAGCAGATTTTTAAAGATTGAGCCCATTTAGTGCCGAGTATAGAACTACCTTAAGCTTGAGTGTGCTGTTGTGATGTTTAAACATTTGAAATATAAATATCTTTATTCCTATCGCGTGTCCGATATGCACATATTCAAACAATAGCAAAATATTATGTGTGAAACGCTCCCCTTATACTTCCATAGACAGAGTTAGAATTTATGAATCGTGTTTATACTGGACTGGCACAAGTGACAAACAAGGACATATTGAACATGTTGAAGATATTCTGTGTTAATCTACAAGAGAAGAATGTCATCTAACAGAATTTTGCTGGGGGATTGTTTGTAGTTTATCCATTTTTAGCTCACCTGAGCCGAAGGCTCAAGTGAGCTTTTCTGATCACATTTTGTCCGTCCGTCTGTCCGTCCGTCCGTCTGTAAACTTTTCACATTTTCGACTTCTTCTCAAGAACCAATGGGCCAATTTTAACCAAAATTGGTACAAAGCATCCTTTGGTGAAGGGGAGTCTCAATTGCTAAAATGAAGGGCCAAGTCCTGTTACAAGGGGAGATAATCAAGAAAAGACAAAAATAGGGTGGGGTCACTAAAAAATTTTCTTCTCAAGAACCACTGGGCCAGAAAAGCTGAAACTTATGTGGAAGCATCTTTGGGTAGCGTAGATATTAAATTGTTAAAATCATGACCCCTGGGGGTAGGACGGGGCCACAATATGGAATCCAAGTTTTACATAGAAATATGTAGAACATATCGTTAAAAATCTTCTCAAGAACCACTTGGCCAGGAAAGCTG